ATTTTCAGATTTTCTTACTTTTTTATAATAGTTGTATGCATGATGTATGTGTGACAATTGATGGGTTTGTGTATTCTAATTATGCAAGTCGGCCATTGAGGATCTGTGATTGGCTGAAGCAAATCACATGACCTAAAACAAAGATATATAATAAGCGCAGCTAAGCTGCGAGGTTCCTTTAGTCCGATTGCCAGAGGGAAGAACAGGCAGATTTCGGCGATATGGTTAGTCGAGTGGGTGGCCTAGTACTACTGAGGCTTACCACAATATTTTATCAATACTAGGTGGATTGCCTGACAATGGAGGCTTGCCACAATAAAGAAGTTAGTATTGTGTGACTAACCATTTAGAGGCCGACCATAGAATGAAGTCAACCCTTGAGGCTTACCTGGTAAGCTTCTATGATAGTGTAAGTCTCTGATAGCAGTGGATGACTGTGCGTCCTGAATAAGGACAATTCAGTATCTTCTGTTGTCACAGGCTGACCACTAGGGGATTGGACTTAGCGCCGTGACTGACACTACGAACCTGAATAAGGCAATATTGGTGTCAGTCCGGTGCTACTGGGCGAACCAGTGATTTTGTAAATATAAGGCCGACAATCAAGTGTGATTTTCCCCTAAGTAAGGGAAGGGCCCTATTTGTATATATTTGCAGGCCAATCATTTTATCTAATCATTTTGTTTAAGAGGAAAATTATTTATTGTAAATATCATCTTTACCGAGATCCTGGAATCAACCAGGTACGACCCCTCAACACGTTACAAAATTTGGTGGCAGCGCGGTGGGATCTCGGTTTACATTTTGATCATTGGTTGATTTTTTAAATTTGTAAATTTTGTTTTGTATATTTATTGCTGGGTTGTTTTTGTAAAATATGATGGCTGCTGTTGAGAAGGAATTAAAGAGCTTACAAGACAGCTTGTCAGAAACAGTTAAGAAGGCAAACGCCAATGATTCAGGCATACCTGAAAGCAGGCGTACCACATTAGGTGATAGGTCATACAAAGGGACTGGTGCAACACCTAAACACATAAGGAAGACTACCAGTTTCCTCGAAGATGACGAGCCTAGCTTTGCACTAACGGAAGATAAACAGACAAGCCTCAAGCCAAAGCAAGTATCCAGCACGCCATTCATTGATACCCCGGCAGTACTCAATGATTTTCATGCAGACAATGTTACAAGAAGACGCCAAAAGAAAAATGACACAGAGGCTGTCCGTACAGGTGTGAAAGCAGACAAGTTTAACGGCAGTTCATCCTGGCTGGACTTCAAGTCGCATTTTGAAATATGTGCCGCCCTTAATAAGTGGACAACAGAAGAGATGGGTATGCACCTCGCAGTATCTTTAAGAGGCCAGGCGCAAGGTGTCCTGGGTAATTTACCTGAAGGAGAGAAGTGCAATTATAGGTTACTATGTAGAGCACTAGAGGAGAGGTTCTCCCCAACGAATCAGACGGAGCTGTATAGAGCTCAGCTGCGTGAGAGGCGACAGAAACCTTCAGAATCATTGCCGGAATTGGGACAGGATATAAGGAGGCTAACAAATTTAGCTTACTATACCGCGCCAGTTGAAGTGAGGGAAACGCTTGCTAAAGAACAATTTATAGATGCCGTACGGGATGGAGACATGTGGTTAAGAGTTAAGCAAGCTAGGCCAGTAGATTTAAACGACGCTGTAAGGCATGTCGTGGAATTGGACGCATTCAGTGCTGCTGACCAACGTATGCATGAAAGTCCAATGTATGCGAGGGCTACACAAAGAGAACCTAAGAAGTCAGATCCGATTGCGATTTTGACTAGAGCTGTGGTAGACCTACAGAGAGAGATAAAAATTCTCAAAGACGAAAATGCTAGCAATGGTCATCCAAAAAGAAATAAGACTAATTATTTGGCTTCATGATTAGTATGTTGACAAATGACCTGTTTAGAAAAAAGTTAATTTTCTCCTGTGTATATAATTTGAGTTTATTACCCTGATTATTTTAGAGATAATGTTGACACAAGGGGGTTGTCAAAAAAAAAACTTAAGTAAAGAAACCTTTAAGATTAAGTTAAGCTTGGAAATAAAAATAATAAAAGTAATAAAATAAAGAAAAAAATATATCTGGTAAAATTCTCTTTGGTTTACATGCGGGTCGCATGTCATCGAAGGCGTGGGTAATGTGACAATTGATGGGTTTGTGTATTCTAATTATGCAAGTCGGCCATTGAGGATCTGTGATTGGCTGAAGCAAATCACATGACCTAAAACAAAGATATATAATCAAGCGCAGCTAAGCTGCGAGGTTCCTTTAGTCCGATTGCCAGAGGGAAGAACATGCAGATTTCGGCGATATGGTTAGTCGGGTGGGTGGCCTAGTACTACTGAGGCTTACCACAATATTTTATCAATACTAGGTGGATTGCCTGACGATGGAGGCTTGCCACAATAAAGAAGTTAGTATTGTGTGACTAACCATTTAGAGGCCGACCATAGAATGAAGTCAACCCTTGAGGCTTACCTGGTAAGCTTCTAAGATAGTGTAAGTCTCTGATAGCAGTGGATGACTGTGCGTCCTGAATAAGGACAATTCAGTATCTTCTGTTGTCACAGGCTGACCACTAGGGGATTGGACTTAGCGCCGTGACTGACACTACGAGCCTGAATAAGGCAATATTGGTGTCAGTCCGGTGCTACTGGGCGAACCAGTGATTTTGTAAATATAAGGCCGACAATCAAGTGTGATTTTCCCCTAAGTAAGGGAAGGGCCCTATTTGTATATATTTGCAGGCCAATCATTTTATCTAATCATTTTGTTTAAGAGGAAAATTATTTATTGTAAATATCATCTTTACCGAGATCCTGGAATCAACCAGGTACGACCCCCGGTTCCGACGCCTATGGATTTCACATATTAAAGAACTAAACCGTACCTGTAAGTGACCACTTACAGGTAAATTAGTCAGGTAAATTAGACCATAAAATTTTCAATTTTTGAATGAAATATAGACGAAAAAGATTGTCTCCCTTAAACAGTTAACTTCCGTAAAGGTAATTCAGACGGGAAATTATAACGTTAGATATATAAAAGTTTTTCTTAAAACCAATGTAACTTTTATTTACTGCTATGATTTTCAATTTTAATGCTGAAAATTAACTTCCGTATCGAGTACTTCCTTAACGATATTTTTGCAGAAGATTTATTTATAATACAATGGATCCATGCGAGCAAGACTTCAATCAAAGTATTGAAAGTACTGAAAGTCGGGCTTTAATTGCTCGACTTCACGGATACCGCACATAGATTCTTCAAAATCCAACGAATCTATTAATTTGCTAAAACACAACAGAGAATAAAACCACTCACATAGCACCGACGCAAAAGATAACGAAATTCTTCAATATTTCAATAGCCCTTTAGTATCCTTTCGAAAAGCCCGCACTTTTAAAAAAAAATGTTCGAATACATATGCATTCAGTAGCGTATATGCACAAATTGCTCTATCGAGAGTATACCCTAATATTAAAATTTAATTTTCAAACAAAAATATTGATTAACAATTCCAAAGATTGAGAAATGTTAAAATATGTGTTTAATTAAGTACTGTATCTAATTGTGACTATTTTGTTTATCGGAAGCATCGATCTGCTTAATTTGACGCTGGTTTTTTTCTTTACTTTTTTCTGTGGAGCTATTTAGAGTACGAGAGGCGATCATGACGCCTACAGCCAGGACTTTGCTTTCAGCAAAGCCCGACTAAAAACAGTATTTAGTGTTCCATACTGAACGTCAGAAAATGAAAACTTAAGTCAAGTTCAGGTTAACTTAAAACTAAAAGGTCGTGTTTAATTAAGCAATAACTTCCGTAACATACTGAATGTGTACTTTAAAAAGCAGGCATAATATTTTATTATTACCTAACCACTATAAAAATTGTAATTAGGCATTTTGAACTGTTTCACGATTCATTTCATACTTTTGCGTGATCATGAATCAGTCGAACTGTAACCCTGGCCACAGAATTAACTGGTGCCTGGCTGAACTATCCATTATGGATACCTCGGGACAACAGTTTGACTGTTCCCTTCGTAGTCATGAAATAAGTGTATAATGGCTCTGGCGCAGACAACATGAATTCATGAATATCGTTAAAAAATCATTTACATTTACATTTACAATACACTGAATGGACATGTGTAGCGCTAATTTATGACTACGTCAACCACTCCATACCTAGCGATTGCGCTAAATTTTGAATACGCCAAATAATGTACACGTACAGTAGCCTTTTGAAAAAACGAATGATATATTGAAATTGTTATAAAAACTAAAAAGTTAAAGATACAAGATTTGTTGATTATAGATTTTTTTTCAATACTAGTATGTTCCCTTGTGAAACATGGTGTGCAATTAGCTGTTTGAAACAATTAACATCCTTTTTTTTATGTTATTAACCCTAAATTGGCCTTTTATCATAGAATGACTGATAATACTTTAAATATACTCGAATGTGGTTTGATGTGATGTTATTTCAATGCATTGAATTTATCCGAGTTTTTACACCCCCACCCCCACCCCAATATTTCGGTTATTAAGGACCCCATTGGAAATAACCTTTTTTAAAAAAGACTTTTATGGGCTATCCTTAGGTAGTATCTATCATCTGTATGTCATGCAATGTATTTAATAAAAATTACATGTATATGTTTAATTAAACTTCCTTAAGTAGCATAGTGCTGAGATAATGTGTTTTTTTTTCTAATAGTATGCTATCTGTAATGTTTTAGATGTGAATTATGACATTCTATGATATTTTTACCTGAATAAAATGAAATGAAATGAAATGAAAAAGTGTACTACAATGTATATTGTGATGTAATTACATATATTACAATTGGAAACTTTTTACTGAGCTAGAAGGATTTGGAGCGAAGTAAAAAAATATGCGTTTTTAACAAATCGATTTTTATTGATGAAATTTATGCAATTATAGCTCTCCGTAGATGTCTGTAAATGGCGGAAGCGCTTGATGTAGCTAAAGGGACCGAAGTAGTCAATTTGACAATATGTTCTATCTGTTACGAAGTTTATAAAAGTCCGAAATCTCTACCATTGTGTCTACATACTTTCTGTAAGAACTGTATATCATCGTATGCTTCTTCTGTTCTTAAGTCGTCAAATAGTGACAACAAATCGGAGTTACTATGTCCCATTTGCAGAAGGAAGTACATCATAGTAGATGATCTAACAAAATGGATTAATGGACTACCGCATAACCACGTGATTGATCAGTTAATTGGGCTGATGGAGAAGTCGGAAAATGAGTGCGATTCTTGCAAACGGCGTGAAAAGGAATCAGTCGCAACAAACAGGTGTTTAGACTGTTGTGACAATTTGTGTGATGACTGCACATGTTATCATAAAGGTCACCGCTACTCTATGGATCATACAGTGCTGAAGATAGAGGAACTAAAGTCACAAAAACAGGCTGGTTTCCATATGTTTTGCAAGAAACACGAAAACAGGAAACTGGAGGTTTACTGTTTCGATCACGAGGGGCCTTACTGTTTGATGTGTGCAACAATGGAACATCGGACGTGTAAACAAGTTGAAAGTTTAGAGGAGTGTTCGAAGCTGTATACAGAGGAGAAACTGACGTCATTCCGCCAAAGGCTAGATATGTTGTATAGAAGAAGTAAAGGACATCTTGAACATTTACACGTGCAGAAAAATGATTTCCATTCAAACGTTTCTTTAATCCTTGATCGCATTAGAACTGACAAAGAAAAAACATTTCAATTCTTAAATGAGAAAGAAGCTGCAATTTGCAGTGAATACGTTCCATTGAAAAAGTTAAGGAACTCGTATACAAAGACAGAGAAAACCAAACACAAATTCATTGTACATCTGAGAAAAGCTTAGAGCGTATTAAAAATGCTAGCAGAAAAAGTAAAGTTGAGGTGTTCTTAGAAATGAAAGAGGTGGAGAGGCAATGCAAAGGCTTTGAATCTATGTTGAATAAAATTAAACATAGTGAAAACTACAGCATTAAACTGACAGATGATGAAGCTCTTCAAAATTTTATGCAAACAACACATCCGTTTGGAAAAGTAAACACTTGTACAATGCCAGAGGTCAATTTCCAAGCTGCAAATGTAAAATTTTCCAGTAGTATCAAAGCAGAGAATTTTCGATTTACAGATGTGTGTTCATATTGTAAGACCCACATTCTGGCAATATCAGAAGATAAAAACATGTACATTTTTTCCTTATCTGGAAATCTTAAAAACAAAACAATGCTGTCTGGAGAACCCTGGGCACTCACTAAATTCTCGAAGAAGAAAGTTGCAGTATCCATAAGATCGCCGCATCGCTGCATCCAAATTTTGGAAATAAAACCAAGTTTAAATCCACTGTCAAAAAAAGAAATTCAATTAAAATTTGAACCTCTTGGAATACAGTGGGAGGATAACATGTTTATTGTGTCATCAAATGATTCAATGATTCGATGGATAACTGATGACGGAACAGTGAAACAATCTATTCCAGTGTCCAAAGGATACATCTCAGGATTATGTTGCCAGTGCACACTTGGAATATTATATTTTACTAATGAGTCCCAAAACAAAGGCAATATGGTTCATTATCCAAAGAGTTTATGTTTCACTCAGACAAAAGATATTTTACAGCTCAAACAACCAGTTGGATTGTGTTGTGATTCACAGGACAACATCTATGTCGTTGGGCATACATCCAAAAATGTTGTCCAGGTGGATCAGGATGGAACATTCGTGAGAGAGCTCATACATGATGTAGGGGGAATCATGTCCGATTGGGATATGGGTGGCAGAGTTTGGTGCTTCTGTCAAATTGTTTCTGACTTTTCAAAATGAGATAAGAATTTACAATTTTGAATTCTGAAAGAGTGTTTAACTTTTGGCATTTAATAAACAATAGTTTAATCGCTTACTGTATTACTCTATTTTGTTTCTCAGAAATGTAATTTGCAATTGTCCTGGAAGTAATCACTGGATAAAATTATTGGGGTTTACACACTTCTGAAAAAAGCATTATAATAATCAAAAATAGAAGCATATTTTTGGGGGAAACAGTTTGGTTAGATGATGATAAATATGGCACGCCAAATTCACAAAAATGAGCTAAACCTAGTTTCACAATTGATAAACTACATATGTTTATCGACTGTAAACAGTTTACAAACCGTGAACTATAGTTAACAATTCGTTAAGTATAGTTTTCATCTGTTAAACTATATTTAACGGTTGTTAACTACAGTTTACGAATGCTAATCTAAGTTTATCTGTCTGTAATAAAACGTTAACAATAGATTTTGTTGATAAACATAGATTCACATCTGTAAACTATAATTTATAATCGTTAACTATAGTTAAGAGTTGTAAACCATAGTTTACAAATCGTGAAACTGTATTTATCAGATAATCTATGTTTTCCAATCGCAAATGATTGTTTTCGGTGTTAAGTATATAGTTTACCGTTGTGAAACATTGATTATCGCGTAAACTATAGTTTACAGATGTAAAAATAGACTAACATTGTTACCTATAGTTAACAGTCCATAAACTATAGCTTACATCCGATAAACCTAGTTTATCGACTGTGAAACTAGGTTTTGCTCATTTTTGTGAATTTGGCATGCCATAGATATACATGCAGAAAATTCAAAATTAAAATCGGGCATGAGCCTCCTTTCAAATCTGATTTGTTTAACAGATTCATCAAGAACCTGGCTTTCCAGTCCAGTGTACTGCCGATTGTGTTAAATGTTTAATCCATTAACTGATTCGGTAGAACATGTTGGACTAGCATGAAAAAGGTCCCGGGTTCAATTCACAGCGGAGGCAAAACCCCTTCACAAGTATCGTCATATCCACAATTATCGTCATACTTTCATATCATAACATGAAAAATATTAAAACTATATTCCAGAAAACTCAGAGTAGAAATATTGTCAGTCCGTACAGTTGTGGTGAGCAGACTTTAACAACTGAACACACCTGGTGAATCGTAAACCTAAACAAAAACAGAGCTCGTGCCCTGTTTACAAAAACTGTGTACGTTTCACGGATGTGTTTAATTTGCTAATCTCTGTACACAACACAAAGCGCGGAATGACGATACTTGTGAAGAGGTTTGCTTTCGAACAGTTCTACTCCGAATATAATTTTTTTTCCTGGATTAAAGTTTTTATATTTTTCATTTAACATTGTGTTTAATACACAACTAGATTGCCACTCTTCCTAAGCATTAAGAATAAAATTAAAATTTGTGAAAGTACAAGAATGTGTCAATCAAACCCGTCCAAAAATTTGAAGTTTCAATAACTTTTAGATGAAATAAGATTTTTAATATATTTTCGTGTGAAATGCTATTGCAATATATAAGTCGTGATATTATACAGAAAATATTAATTTCAAATCTGTGTCTATGCACCTTTAAGAATAAAATTAAAATTTGTGATTCAAGTGCAAGGATGTGTTGACTCAATCAAATCCGTCCAAAAATTTAATTTGAAGTTTCAATAAATTTAAGATGAAATAAGATTTTTAATATATTATTTTCCATGTAAAATGGTATTACGATATATAAGTCGTGATATTATACAGAAAATTTGCGAAAATATGAACTTTAAATCTGTGACTATGCACCTTTAAGCAGAATAAGATCGTTCAAGAAATTTTCACTCTCTGTTCTTCCTTTCAGTTTTTAACACTCCATATACTACATGTAGTGCTACAATACATGTACACTAAAACGTTTTAATTGCGTGGAATATTAATCCAGTATGTCTAATAAACCTGTACAAATAAACAAACACAGGTTATTACAATTTGTTTCAATTCATGATCAATTCTTATCAATTCAATAAGCCGAATTCAATTCATCGAACATTCGTATACGCACTGAGGAGTTTGCAACCATGATTTTATACATCAATACTTTGATTTGTTGTTTTTGAACCGTTTTCTCCCATGAGTGAATGATAAACTCAACATAAAACGGGAAATGTTTTTCTTAAATATTTTTATCATACTTCTTGCAATATCATATCCCCCCAAACTTTCTTTTTGGACCTCATTTTCATGAATGAATGATTATATTGTTGTTATATAGGTGTACCGTGTTGAAGGGGAAAATTGACGAATGGGTATTCTAAACACTATCACTATCACTGACGTCACTTTCGCTGTCCTCAGTATCGTCGTTGCTGTCACTCTCATAGGCCAATTTATCAAGAGACACATCTAGATCTCCCATCATTATCAACAACCTATAGGCTGCTTCTCTTCTGGATTTTTGGTCAAGGCGATCATCATCTTCCAGAAATATGTCGATTTCAGGAAGGAAGAATCTTGGTAAACAGCCTTCCTTATTAAATGTCAAGAATTTCTTAAAGATCAACATTGTCAGCTCTCGTACGGTCGAATTTGTGTCAAATCCCTCTGGTTTGTTTGGGTCCCATCCTAGGTCCTTCAGGACATAAAATATACAATTTTTTAACATGTAACTGGTAAAATCATCTTCGCTGCAAACGTTAGCAAACAGTTTAGCGGCAACATAGCTTTCTCGAATTGTTTTTGGAAGTGACTGCATCAGACGGATTTCAGCTGGAGCAGTAGATACCAGTAGACTGGTTGAAATGGGTTCGATGCGGTTTATGCTGTCCATGGTGAATTCTTGTGAGTAGTCTGAGGTGAATGCACTAAAATCTGTCTTGAGCTCATCCTTGGTATCAAGCATCAGGAGACATCCAGCATCGTGGATCTCCGGTGACATCAGTGGTAGGGAGTATGGATCCATCGGCCACCAAGCAGGCTTTCTGATGACAGGAACCATATCAATTTTAATTTGCATGTGTTTATGTTGACATCCCATCCATGTCAAATGTATCATAAATACCGTCGTATTCATGTGATTCTTAAGGAAAGGCTGTTCAAAAACATAACATAAATTTCGAAGTTTCTCGTCCTGCCACATATGTGGGTCATAAACAGCCCGCCGAAAATACCTGTTTAAATGCATGAAAGCAGTTGGAGTTGTAAATGTACCATTTCCGTCAAAATACTCTAGGAAATTGCAATTTTCTGGATCCTTAAGTTTTAGGAAGATATTTCGATACTTTTCTCCGCTTGTCGTCTTTAGAATCTCGGTGATTTCACTAAAGGCATCTAAACAAAGGAGGAAATCAAATTCATCTGGAGGACCTGCTTTCGTTCCCTCGGACGAACTGCCCGATTGCAGCACTGACATTCGAAATCGTGGATCATATTCTTCAACCTTACTGCAAAGCTTCTCAACAAAGTATCGAATTGCAGAAATGATTGATTTATCTTCATCTGAAACCTGTCTGTACATATGCTGAAGGAGCTGATCAAAAAATTCATCTGATTCATTCCATTGAAGGGGTTTCTTGTTTCGAATTCCCTCCAGTTTAAGGAGAAATTCTTGATTGATATCATACACCTTTTTGGATCCTGTGCTTTTCAAAATCATTTCTTCTGTTCTAGATCTAAAATGTCTCCTTGCTGTGTCTATGGGCGCGTCTTCCATCTTGTCTTTGATATCTGTTTTTGCACCTTTTCCAATAAGCCATTGGGCGAATTCTGCCGCATCATGATACGCTGCGTAATGCAGAGCAGTTGCACCATTTTCATCCCTCGCGTCAATGTCTGAAAATTTATCTGAAAGTTCGTTTAAAGTATAAAAGCAGTCGAAGTCACACCAAGCACTAATGTACATCAATGGAGTGGACAACCATCTATCTCGGCAGTTGAAGTCAACTTTAGCAGCTTTTCCTAGATTGCGCAGAGATTTAATTGTTTCATCTGATGACGTAATACTTTCCCCGTAGGTCCGCATTAAATGTGCAACCGATTGCTGAAAAATATTTTTGGAATCTGCACTGTTGCCTAATTTCACAAGCGTTTTCAAAAGATCAACAGGGGTAGCTTTTTGTGAACAGGCATAAGCAATATGAATCGGATAATTGCCTAAATTATCTGGTGTTGTTGAACAGCCTGACACACTGGACATTTTCTTTAATACATCTATAGCGTTTACTTTTCGGTATTTTACAAAATGGCCGAGAAGAAGAAGAAATGGTGTAGCACCATTTATGTCTTGTTGTTGCAATAATGTTTTCAAGACATTCGAGGAAATGAGTGAAATCTTTTTGCTTACAATATCATCAAGTAGAGCAAATTTCTCTTTTAAGTCATCCGATGTGGCGGTCCCACAGTTGATACTTTGCATTAATGTGTGCAGAAAGTTTTCACCGTCATCGTTGACTATCAATTTATCAGCTTGAGGAAAAGTCTCCAACAAATATCTGAGGACACTCGGTGAAGTGCCGTACCTGCATGCCAGATGCAGAACCGTGTTGCCACATTTAGTCTTCTGGTTTATATCAATGCCAAATCTGAGCAAATTTTGGATCATTCTTTTCCAGTCTTCAGGCATAAAAATGTTATAGATGTAGAAATGCAGAACGTTGTAACCGTTTATATCCTGAATTCGGGGATCACTGTTTGGTACCGCTAGCAGATTTTCAAGAATAGTTTTCTTCACGGCTGCGTAGTGAAGTGGTGTCTGACCCCATCTGTTCTGAGCATTAACAACTGAAGGAGGACCCACATTAAACCAAATCTGCAGTAAATCATAGCGTGACTCTTTTATAGCTGTATGGAGTAAGGTGTCTTTACTGAACGCTTCTTTGGATTCAGGGTTTGTACAGTTTGCGTCCTCCATGTCTTCTATTTGAAAAAAGAAAGCAAATCTGAGAATGTACGTATAATTTTTTCTGAAAAGAATCGTGGCGAAAGAGGAAACATTTTAGTCAATGTCCGACAACATTATACAGCGGTTTCACTGTACACATACTTGCTCTGAAAGAATATTCCTAATCAAAAGTCTTACCGACAATTAAATATGTAAGCAGCCACTTCTATACATGTTTATACAGTACAGTCCAGTGAGTTTACCATGCAGTTTGGGTCTTTTTTCGCTGAATATTTCAAAGAAAATTTGGAAAAAAAAATCGTTTGGCAAAATAGGGATTCAAATTGAAAAAAATAAAACCCAACCATAACAAAACTTAATTTGATACTTACATATGTATACTTTGTGAATAATCTCCTCATAAATAGTCTAAACATTTTAGTTCTATATGAAATAAGGAAGTGGGCAAAATAGATAATGTCTTTAGAACTAGGATAACTTGTAAAACACCAATGTTCCCGTTTGGTAGCTTATGGCGAGGATAAAAGTTTTCGCAAATGTATCATAACAAAAATTGCAGTAAATATAAAAATGAAACAGATTTTATGAGTTTGCACTATTCGGCTTAAAGAGATAGCAGATGCGAGATCTAAAGTTAAAAATAAATCATTAGAATCAATAAAATTTACTTGTGTATCTAAAGATGCACATGTATTTGGTTGGAAGTAATTAGAGATGCTTACCAATAGAAATTAAACTTTTATCCCGGACGGTCCCACGAAATATATCATGGGAATGCAACTGTTTATTTCTTGTTTATGAAGATGTATTTGGTTAAAAGTAATTAAAAATGCTGACCACTATAAGTTTAACTTTTTACTCAGATAATTCCAAGGAATAAATCATTGGGAAGGTAGTTATAAATTTGTTGGTGAAAAGATGGATTTGGTTAGGATTAATTAAAGACGCTAACTACTGGGAATTGAGCTTTGAAATGGATAATTAATTTATAAAATGAGCGGAACCATACGCCAACATGGATTGTGTCTGTCTCTGTTTCATTTTATACAGGTAAGATTATTTTGTAGACTTGCGCGTTTTTGTAAAATTATTAAGTTTTCAGATGGTTTGGTTTATCTACTTTAGTTTATTTACATATTTAAATAGTTTGTAACACAGTGATCTTATTATAAGGTTTAATATTGTGTGTAAAATTATTTATTTCATGTAATCGGATTTTTTATTTAAGATATGACCAATGTTAAGTCAAAGTCCAAGGTTAAATTAAGAGGTCAAATTTAGCGGTACCCGAAGAAACGGCTTCTCACAAGGAATACTAGTTGCAGAACTGTAGCTCACTGCTTGAAAAATTCGGACAGATAAAGCAGAGCTCTCTCTCATTTTTTTCAAAAAAGAGCAATAGTTCTGCAGCTAAAGGAATACAATTTTGAAAAATGAAAGCCATAGGTCCGACTCCAAAGGTATGGACAAAGTTAATGTTTTTGTGGACAAACAGACAGACGAACTGACAGGGCAAAATTACTACTATGTAAGCATAATAAGAACCATATTTCCAGATACAGGTAAATGGGTTTTCGTTTCGCTTCTTCAACCATAAATACACGCATTTTTACGTTAACAAAAATCGTGAAGGAAGGGTCCTCTCTATATAGAGTATATATGTACCTTAAAATTAGACTTTTAATTATGAACACCCCATGCGTTCCTTTCCGAGAAATACCTATTATATTCAAGGTCATATCACAAATGCACTGTCTGTTATGGGTTGTATGGCGCGACCACATTTTTTTTAAAATACTGAACCACTATATAAGGTATGAATTGAAATCATGCAGACGAGGATTTTTTGTATAATTTTTTTGTGATACACAGATACAAAATATCTAAAAGATTAAGAATCTTTAATAAATGATATAAATTGATGTTAAGCTAGGATGGCTTGTCTATTGATGAATGATACTTAAAAGTTAATTTAATAAAAATTAAAAAATTGGAATCAAATGCACATTATACATTATTTCGGTCCGTATAACACTTAACAATTCAAATTTCTAAAATGATTTTGAGTTAATATAATAGTTCAAACGTATATACATGTATTAGAAACTGAATTGTTCAGTGTTACACGGACCTATTTCAAGATTACATGCATCAAAACATAAAGGATTATTATAGCGATTCCTACCTGTAGATATTGAAATGAAATACCCGTCTACTTTCAGCCTATTTATAGTCTCTTGACAAAATGTGGATTGTTGCACACAGCACGGAATGTTAATTTCCTGTTCTAAAAGAAGTAACAAAACACGGTCAACTACCGTGACTGCAACAGCCATTGCATTGCCATGTACGAACTACACGTAATTAATGTTGTGTACTATACTATATATACATGCTGTATTATACTTTTTAAAAACAGTTAAAGTCAATTCCTCGATTGATATATGATTTACAACAAATCTTTTCTTGGTAAAGAGTGACTGTAAATTTCATAATCCTTAATTTTATTTTTTAATTTTTTTTTAAGTATATAGATCTAGCTAGTTAATAAATATGCATGTAGAACTATCGTGTACATGTGTAAATTTCAATTCCGACATTACAGTGCAAAGTTGACCCCTGGATCCCAAACAGGGGGAAAGATGCCAAGCCTCGGACAATTTCGTGTGATTTAAAAGATTTTTTATATAAAAGAAAGAATAAATGTATAAATATCCAAATGCCCCTTGTAGCCATTTTACATTTTGCACATGACAAAGGATAACAGTACAACGTACATACCTTTTCTTATCGTGTCAAGAGAAAAGTAAAAACGCATGTATGCACGAAATAGTTAACCCTTTCGACGCCAAAGCGACAAAAATGTCGTTTACTATGTCAACGCCAAACCGACAAAAATGTCGTTTTCCAAAAAAATATTTACTTTATCTTTTATTTACCATTTATCTTTTGTGTAATTAAACAAAGTCATATCTAAATTTTGACGCAAGTATAGGCCTTTATTTTTGTATATGTACTGGTCTTTATATGACGTCATTTTGTTACGTTGACGTTGAATTGTGACGTCAGGTTATGAGTGAGTACGCTAGCGTTGAAAAAAACAAAGTATGGCGCACCATTCGGACATTACTTCTGACATAGATTCGGACGTGTTCGATTCCGATGATGATGATAATGAAGAATTTACTACATTTCGAGGTCCGTGGTTTAATGTAGTGGATCCTAGCTCGTTTATCATGCCGGACCCTGATTTCCAAGAAGAAACAGGGCCCGTCAATTTTGATCCAGGTATGTCAAGTTTGGAGTTTTTCATGAAGTTTCTCCAGCATGATCAACACGACATTGTTGAAATTCTTGTAAGGGAGACAAACCGTTATGCAGATCAGGAGATATCAAGAAGAAGCAGGCCCCCCATGATTTTAGGTCCACATTCACGGTTCCGTGATTGGTATCCCGTAACCCGAGAGGAGATGTTGGCTTTTATGGGCATTGTGTTGAGCATGGGGGTAGTGAAGAAACCAACATATGAATCTTACTGGGAGAGTAATACACGTGCTTGGTCAATGGAAACTCCAAATTTTTCCCAAATCATGGCTAGAAATCGATTTCAAGCCATACTGCAGTTTCTCCATTGCAATGATAACACAACGGCAGCAGAACCTGGGGAAATTGGGTATGATCCACTTCACAAAATTTCTCCAATCATTGAGTTTTTCAACGAAACCTTCAGCCGAAATTACAAGTATGTTTTCAATATAATACATATACACATAGATACATGTATCTTAATTTTTTCCTCACGAGGAAAATGAGCAAATCGAAGTTAAAAATTATAATGTGAACAAAATTTTATATATATCTCAGTATTCAGCCCTTTTTGTGCTGCCATTATTGTTGTAATTTTCTACATGTGGATCCAAAGATATTTGACGTTCGAACATTTCGTACATGTTACAAAACCTGTATTTTTCACAAATATCTTACTTGTTGTATTGTGCATCTTTGATTTGTACCTCTATGGTAGAAATGCTTCATATTCTGTCATGGTATGATATTTATATATTATTTAAATGTGAAATAACTGAATATCCTCCTGGTGTCGGTGAATAAATATACTAAGTACTCGTATGTAAAGTTTTGAACGACAGAATGTTGATGTTAAACGCAGTCAGGTTATTGTTTTTAATACCCCCCCCCTTTTATGTGTCAATTTTTTTTAAATTTCTTTTTAAGAATTCAGTAAAAATCTGCAAATGAGAGCTTCCTGTTAACACATATTTTTTAATTATAAACTTATTTATCTGTCAGGATTTTATTTTGTTTTTCAAATAAAGGCTTAACCGGGATGTTTGTGTAGATGAAAGAATAGTAGGTTTTAAAGGAAGGCATCAACTCAAACAATACATCTCAAATAAGAAGGCACACAGATGGGGGATCAAACTTTGGGTGCTGTCCGACTCCACTTCTGGGTACACTCATCACATTAACGTATACAAAGGCAGGAGAAATGAGCGACGTAGTCCGAACGGACAAGTAAGTGCTTTTGACAGAATAATAATAATTGTAACTGTTAAGAAAGTATTTGACACGATATTTCATTAAAAAAGTATATTCTCACTGCGATGATGCAGTATCCTACAAGTAGAGCTATTTGTTAAGTCACGTGCTCTGATCTTGACTTATGGGTGTGGTCCTGCTTTTCTGTATTTTTGTTTTCAAATCTCAAGCATCATGCATTTACGTGAGTACTCTAGCTGGCATGCTTTTTCCGCGAGAACTTGAAACTGATTTTCCGCTATTTGATTTACACGGGCTTATGTAGATTTGAAATGTCTTTTCCATGAAAAAAAAACAAAAAAAAAAAAAAAAAAAAAACAAGTCGAAATATTCTGTTCCGCGTCTTTTCTATTATTTGTATATCTTGCTAAACTGTGATTTTATTTCGAGGAATTTAACAAACAGCGGCAAATTTTTATTTGTCAATTAATTCAATGCTTAGAAGACTTTGTGATTTTAAAAAATAACTAAAAGATTTTTTTAGCAGATTGCATATTTACAAGCTAAAGGGTATAAGATCAATTAATACCATAGTATATTAATTACATAGCATTTTTTTTTATCAAAACGCCCCCCCCCCGACACACACACCGAAAAAAGAACACTAAGTGAAAATCACGCGAACTCGTATATGTTGTAGGGTTATCAGGCAGTAATGGACTTGATGGAACCCCATTTCTACAAAGAGCATCATGTCACTTTCGACAGTTTTTTCACCAGCCCCAGACTGGTATACGATCTCTTGGACAAGGACACCCATAGTACAGGAACAGTTATCAAGTCTCGAAAGGATATGCCTTCCAGTTTTAAGAACCCAGCAATGCAGAGAGGAGATGTGAATGTTAAGACACGTGCTGGAGTGATGGCTGTACAGTGGGCGGACAGGAAAGTTGTATCTTTGTTGACCACTACTGGTTCTGCAAGGTATTGAATTTAATGAATCTCTTGAGACTGTAGCTCTGTTGGTTTGTAATGAAATTAAATAGTGATGAAAACATTTTTTTTCATAGGGTTTGTAATAGCTTTTTATATTACCTTTACCTCTTAGAATTTGGTATCTGTATTCAAATGTTAGTGAAATTAAACGAAAACTATGACTAGTTGCCAGCCTTTCGATAGTATTTTACACCAAGTTATATTTATCATCACGTAATCGCTTCTCATCATAAATTGAAACATATGCATGTACATGTAATTCACTTGCTTTTCTACATATATACCGGTTGTACACTTTTATTTTTAGTTTATTAAAATATTTTAAAAATATCAAATCTATAGGATGAGTCAAGTTTAAAAGCGCTACATATTTATAGGCAAATACAAACAACAAATGGAAAGGGTCGCGAAGTTTCTATTCCTGCCATAATAGATACGTACAATCTTACGATGGGAGGGGTCGATCTCGGAGATCAACTAATTCTCCAATTTGAGCCACAGTTCAAGAGTTTAAAGATGTGGAGAAAACTCCTATTTCACTCTCTTGTAACCGCAGCAGGTATATGCTTTAACATACACTTCCATGTATATAAAACATAATATTATTTGATTAAAGCTGTTCGGAATGTAAATTGTTATAAAATATTTTTGTGAAGTCGGAATGATTTTATCTGATAATATCTTTGTAGTAAATGCCTATATTTGCTACCGAGATTCCTTCATTGTACAACACAAAATGGATCATCTGAAGTTTCACCAGCAGCTTTGCCAAGAACTTATTGGAGGGTTTCGACAGGGTAGTAGGAACAGACAGCTGCGTTTGATACCAATCCAACACAGAACCTTGGCAAGATTGTCCGAGAGGCACTTTCCGTCCAAAATACCAGATGGTAAGCGTAAGAGATGTGCTGTTTGTGCGGGACATGGAGGCGAATTCAGGAAGACAAGAATTCAGTGGTGGTGTGAGGACTGCAGGGTCGGACTCTGTGTAGAGGGATGCTTTAGGAAATTTCACACGAGGATCAATTTTGAGGCGTAGTTGGAACACACATATAACAAACGATTACTCTATTCACTATGAAACTACCTTGCATTTAATCTAATTATGGTGTGTGTGTTTGACAGAGAGAGAGCGGGATTTATTTATTACCTATATTTATATTCTTATTACAGATAAATTCGAACCTATTTATTGCAGGGCTTGCGTCTGTCATAATGCTGTCTTAACTAAAACGAATGGGACTAGGAGCTACATCTTTTTATGTTCGTAAAAATTAGAGAGTACGAGTATTATAGCAATTTAGCTAAACACATTGATTAACTTTGTTGACGGTGGCAAAATCAAATATATATGTATATTAAGTAAATTATTTAACAATATCTGTCAATCAAATGTTACGCACTTATTGAGTTTACAAAGAGGATATGTTATCAGTTTGTTATTTTAAAAAAAAGTTTTAACAACTTAAACACTAGTGACTACATATATTGTAATTGTATATTGATTTATATTCTTATTTCAAATTATAAATATGTGACAGTGTACACTGTAGTATACACTTATAACAATTATCAGAATTTCAATATATCATTTGAAAATATGAAAAAGTTTTTAAAGACTTATCTTGAGTATGCTAGCTACAGACATAAATATTTTTTAAATTTTATTTTATGCCAATTAAAAAAAATTATTGGTATAAAAAAAGTATAAATTAATATAACATAAATATATAGCATGCATTTTCCAAGACAACATGGAACATCCTATTATCTTGGTTATACAGGTGCTCGTTTTATAACCAATTTGATGCTTTTTTGTGAAGCAATTGTTTGACGTCCGGATTGACGTCATAGTATGGCATTCATGACGTTATAGACGTAACGTTATTCGGCGTCGAAAGGGTTAAAAATTGATATCAATTATCATGAAGTGAATATTAACAGTAAACTTATAATTGATCGTACTTACATCGAATAAACATAAGAAACATGCACTTGAAACGTTACTTTTAAATGTTTAGACAACACCCATTATTAAGCAGGCCTGTAATTTTGACTCATCGGGTTTTCCGAATATATGGCGTCTCTTATGAGCTTAGATTTCATGGAAATCAGTCCCTTAATAATTCGAATTTTAATTTTGCTTTCACATTATTTCTTAAGGACGAACGTAATTATTCTTTTTTTTTGGGGGGGGGGGGGCAACTTCTTTCAATATCAGTTTTTACTTATACATACATTACCCTTATTTCTATGCAGCAAAAAAAAAAAAAAAAAAAAAAAGGGGGGGGGGGTCTTTCAACATTTTTTATAATAACAAGATGTGTTTATTAAACTCTGGATGCCCAATATGGAAGCTTAACTATGGTAAGGATGGAAGTTTCTCAAATGAAAGTCAAAGTCAAGATCAAAATAGTTGGCATCCAGAGGAAGGCTTTGTCATAAGGAATAAACCTGTGGAATAAGAAAGTCATAGTAATCACTGTTCAAAGTTATGGCCAAGTTTAATTTTTAAGGTTGTTCAAACTCTTAAAAAATATTATATTTATGCCCATTGAAAGGTCTTGTCACAGTAAATAGTGTGAAGTACATGTATAAGGCCCTAACATTAATTATTTAAAAGTTATGGCCAAAGTTAAAGTTTCATAATTTTTTGTAAAAGTGGGTCAAACTTTAAGGTGAATGTCAGGAGATCAAATACAGCTGTAAAAAGGTTTTGTCACAAGGAACACACCTGTGAAATATGAATGCCATAGTCCAACCCACCCAAAATTTATGGGCAAGGTTAAAGTTTTTGCGGACAGATGGACTAGGCAAAACTGTATACCCCTGATTCTTTAATTAAGGGGGCATGACAAGTCGATTTCACATTAGACACTTCCAGTGGAAGATTAATTTTCTTCTAAAGATCTTATTTGGTAGAAATTTTCAAATGATGAAACATACACACACTTATCATACTGTGTTTATTAAAACCAATTTGAAATGCTCCCAGTATATCACAAAAACACAATCACAAAAGATGTTAATTTCATTTTGGTCTAACTGACTTAGATGAATTACATGAATATATGTATAAACATATATAATATGACTCCTGTCAAACTGTCATTAATAAAAAAAATATATAAGGATTGTATTGCACTATAGTTTGTCAAGACAATGACCTGTTTCATGTACAGTGTAAAAAAATAACCTTCTATAAATTAAATGCTAAACTCCATTATGCATCATTTTTGTAAAAAACAATTATCAAAAGCAAAGTCAATTAACAGAACATGTTGAAGAATACCTCAAAAGCTCTATTCTGTCAGATTTTACAAATTTTAATTTTTAAAATATTCAATTACTATAATGAGTCTTACATAGTGAATAAAATTTAGCGCATATTTATTGGAAGAAATGTTTCAATTTCAACAATCATTTTCATGTTAAAACACTTTACTAATATAAATATTTTACTTTTCTGCAATATATTTTTATTAAGAAACTATAAAAGTAACCCAGTTGCATGGGTCCCAAAATTTCACACCTGCCTTCAGCATTGATCAATGACATGACCCTAAATTTAAACAGTCAAAAAACACTGCACTTTTTTTCTAAATCTTCTTTAAGAAGTGTGTTCTGTACTGCCATTGAGAAATTATTACATGATAATCATCTAGAAACCTTAATCTTATTAATACACTGTATATGACATACTTCAACATTACTGTCACATCTCTAGCTAGCAGCTGACCATAGATGGTGATAGTTAAATAACCTGCATTTTGACATCACTTTAAAAAAATCTTTTATGGAATTGGTCTACAATCTCATTCATTGAAATTAATTTAAAACAAAGTCCAGCTTCCGAACTCATTCACAAGCTGTATATATGACTTTAACAAACACATGTCCTACTTCATCTGCTCTGGTCATGTGTTCTCGTAAAGCTGTAAATCTAGTTTGACTACGACTTCCCCCGAGGAAACTTCATGTAATAATAAACGCTTTGTGATTGGTCCTTTACGTGTCTGGGATTCCTTTAAAATGTCATTGACTCTCACCTCTGTACGCCCAAGAAAGTCTGCAAAAGAAAATGGGGCAGTTATCAAAATTCAGGTATCTACATGTGTGTCTGCTTAATTTTCCAATATTAATTAGAAAGAAATAAATGTTTAAATCTAAAGGAAATCTAGACTAAATATTCAGATAAAATGCTTTTTTGGCTTCCTGAATTGGCTTGCATTATCTGGTTTCAATCATTACTCAAGAGTACGAAAGACGAATAGGGCCACATAAAAAAATATTTTTATCTCGTAATTACAAAATATTTCTCGTTATTACGAGATAATTATCTCGTTATTACGAGAAAATATCTCGTAATTACGAGAAAAGATCTCGTAATACCGCTTCGTTATTACGACCTCGTAATAACGAGAAAAGTCTCGTTATAACGAGTTAATTATCTCGTTATTACGAGAAAAGATCTCGTAATAACGAGAAAGATCTCGTTATAACGAGTTAATTTTGACGATCATTACGAGTTAATCATCTCGTTATTACGAGAAAAAATCTCGTAAAAACGAGAAAAGATCTCGTTATTACGACTTAATTTTCTCATAACGAGAAAAGATCTCGTAATTAAATTAATTATCTTTATAACAAGAAAAGATCTCGTAATTACGATATGATTATAAATATATATTTATGCCATTATCTTGGAATTTTTTCTTTCATAAAAATGTGTGAAGAGGACGAAGTTATCAAATTGTGCTACTATCTGGGATTGAGTAACAATGAGATCCTGCAATGTTTAATAAGCTATACATGCATATCAAAAAGTGTCAGGACATTAAAGAGAAAAATGAAACGTTTTCTTTTTCCATCTGCTTTGCTCCTTCTTCCGATATTTCTTTTACTAATTTTATGAATTCCGTAGGTTCATCCATTTTACATTAACGCACCATTTTTTATAGATCTTTTCTCGTAATAACAAGATCTTTTCTTGTAATTACGAGATAATTAACTTGTAATAACGAGATCTTTTCTCGTTATTACGAGATCTTTCCTCGTAATTACGGGATAATTAACTCGTAATAACGAGATCTTTTCTCGTTATAATGAGATAATTAACTCGTAATAACGAGATCTTTTCTCGTTATTACGAGATCTTTTCTCGTAATTATGAGATAATTAACTCGTAATAACAAGATCTTTTCTCGTAATTACGAGATCTTTTCTCGTTATAATGAGATAATTAACTCATAATTTCGAGATAATTAACTCGTAATAACGAGATCTTTTCTCGTTATTAAGAGATCATTAACTCGTAATAACGAGATCTTTTCTCATAATTACGAGATAATTAACTCGTAATAACGAGATCTTTTCTCGTTATTACGAGATCTTTGTCTCTAATAACGAGATAATTAACTCGTAATAACGAGATCTTTTCTCGTTATAACGAGACATTTCTCGTAATTACGAGATAAAAATATTTTTTTATGTGGCCCTATTCGTCTTTCGTACAAGAGTGACCATTGGCAAAAGTTTTGAGAAAATTAACCTGTAAATCTTCAAACCTTAATTACCAATGAAAAGTTCCCTAATAAACACAATAGTGTACAATTACTTTTAATTTGAATCATTGCTAATCTTGGGAATCTTCTGTATATACGATTTACCCACAAAGTTATCTATTCATCAACTGGTAAAAAGTTTTGGTTACCCAAAAACATTGACCCCCATGAACAGAAATTGATTCCAACAGTACGTACCTGATTTAGAGAAACTACTTCTAACTTACCGTTTGGAGAAAACAGGTCTCTGTCAAACACAGTAATACACAACACATCTTGTTCTAAGTCCTTGATGGTGAACTGCATGGAGGCATTCCATCGAGGGTTCAAGGTTGCATTGATGACCTTGGTTTTGTGTTCTTGTACTCCCATACTGACTTCACAATAAGGGTCACTCTTTCCTGTATTACATTGTAAAAAAAGATTATTGCAATGTGATCATATATACTGAATACTTAACAAAGAATTATTATTTTATTACATTAATCTGGTACAATTATGGCAATTTTTTCCCCTTCAGAATTAACAAAAAAAATTACGTTATGTGTATTTTATTTTTAAAAAAGAATTAAGTTTCAAATCTGGATTTAATTTGTATTGTAATTTTTGCATTAAATATTATCCTAAAGATATTTTTCTCACATTTTATCATGGTCTCAGTAAATATTACTGTGTGATTTTCTAATGTCTCAATAATTTAGTCAAACTTTTAAAAGCAATACATCAGTTTTGTAGTAAGATTCTACAATGAAATTTTTCTTGTAATTTCAGAGAAGAAAAATTATAGATTAAGTAAATAGGACAAATGCATTCTAGTCTTAATATCAATAATCATGCTGCTGATATAGTTTTACCATTGACATCACTGGCCTGTAAATCACAACCCTCCTGCAGCACAACCAGTAACCGACCAACGCCATTAATCTTGCGCACTGCATTGTGGGTAGTCAACATCATGCACAAAAAAAGGAAACAGAAAGAAAAAAAAATATTGAAATACTTCTGTGACACACAACATGCATTAGACTAAATCTATAATGGGAGCTAAAGCAACTGTGTCCTGATTTCTATCAAACTCAGGTGTTTGTTTGCATGCAGAGTGATGCTGAAGGAGTCAAAGGAAATTAGCAATTTGGCATACAAGAACTTACATTTTTTGAAAAACACAATGCTGTTTTCCCCTTTTCTTTATAGTAATCTCTTGTTTTCTTTTGTTTGTTTATTTTTCCTTTCTTAAGGTTGCTGTATAAATTTTCTTCATCTCAAATAAGGGATTCATTACTCTGCATGCAACCTGTATACTACAGTACTGTTTCTATAGAGTTAACTTCTGTTACTTTTCACTGTGTGGGAAACACTTCTAACACTGATAACTTATAATGTTCAAAGCAAGAAAAATAATACTTTCAAATTACACTTATTACTTAAACTTGTTTCTATCCAGCATACTGGAGCTTGTTGGTCATCTCTCTGAGAAATATACCATGTTACCCTTTCTAGGGCAGCACACAAAATTCTGATGATTATCGATGGAGAATGAAATCTTTGCTCAAGTTAATCCCAACACTTTTTTTTAAAATCAAGAAACCATTCTGAATGATGCAAATGTATAAAATGAAAAATAATTTCATTTGTTCTTTATGTCTGAACTCATGCATTAAATATTTTTCTAGAAAAAACTGCTACAACATCAATTTGAAAATAAAACAACATCAACTGTGGCAAGCCTTCAACTGTCCTATAGGGTGATTAGTATAACCAAGCTAACAGAAGGGAACATTCTCTGCTGTGATTAGTACCACCCGAGAATTCCTTGGGGCTCTAGGGCGGGGGTCTTACCATCAGCTGTGGGGGCGAGGTTAATCCCTTCCTGGATAATCACCAAAAGCCTACCCATCATGTGGGATTTCTGACCCACTGTCAAGTGGAGAGGGAAAATGTCAAAACTTGTTCTTATAAAACACACCTACATCATATACACAGTTCTTCAGGTACAATCTACTTCTACTATTAAAAGACATTCTTTAATTTTTTTTCAATATTCAGTAGGTTAAATGTATTTAACAGGTAATATATTCTGCCTTATAATCTATACTTCCCTCCTTTCAAAAATATGGCATTAATCCATTAAAAGTTCAAACTTCAAATGTCTATATTAATTTATTATTATGTATTAAAACCAGAATATAAATGGTAATTGGCCTTTTGCAATGATCTCATCCACATTTTCAATGTCTTATGGAATATTAAGTCAGAAGGAAGTGATATACATGTACATGTATTGGAGCACTTCACACTGTAACCATATAATTCAGACGTTTGTTTTATCTATAAGTATATAAACAGTGACAAAACTTACAGTTGAAAAGCTTTTCTCTTTTCTTTTTCTCTGTGTCAAGGAAGAGCTTAGAAGCAGCATCAATATGTCTGACCCAGGACTCCCTGAAATGGGCAGGAAAATAGAGTACTCATAATTAATGTAGTGAAAAGAACACACAAATTTATATAATAAATTCATAGATTATATCAAAAGATTATTTTAATTCCTGGCAAAATTCTTATCAATTTCCTTTCAAAATTTTAGGGATACAAAAACTTAAGAATTTAGTGAACTGATTTTGTGACCTGAATTTGTTTACATCTTTTAAAACCAATTTAAGCATTTCAAACTTTTAAATATTGAATCGATAATTTTTTGTTAGCTCACTTTCACTAAACTCGATCCTTTCTTACTGGATCAATTCTAAATTGAACAAATTTAAGAAACATCATTTAAAAGTCACTGTAAAAGGGACCCCCACCCCTCAACACTGTAAAGTGATAAAATATTCAAGTATACAAGACTTGTATCTCAATTATGCAAAGAATTCGCCTTTGCAGTATTTATTAAATTAAATTGTAATTTTGAGTAGTAGTTCACCTTTCTGTGAGATTGGGAGCCTTCAGATTGTAGACACGGTCTACATGTGACACCTGTAGTAAACAGTCATTGTCATCCTCTCCTAACCTCCGCACCATCACCTCATTCAGGAATATGGGCTGTAAATCAAATAATGAAGATTTCAACAAAGTGCTGGAGTAATATTGCTGATGAGAAAACATAAGTATGTATCCATGCATTGAATATGATATGACTGTGATATATTCATGTTTATTAAACTTTTATGTGAACACTTTTTTTTTTTACAGAACCTTTGTGTAAATGTCATAGATAATCTTATTTTTAGGTTATGTATAATTTAAATGTCTATAGATTGGTACTAATAATTAACCTACATTGTGCAGAAACATTTTTGACCTAGCTTTTGTACTGAGCTAAGATACACATTTGTACATTTTGTACTGAGCTACATTACTCTTACATATTTGTACATTTTATACTGAGCTATGTTACCCTTATGTTTATTTTGTACTGAGTTAGGCTATACTCACACTTTTATACATTTTATACTGAGCTATGTTACCCTTATGTTCATTTTGTACTGAGTTAGGCTATATTACTTACACTTTTATACATTTTATACTGAGCTATGTCATACTTACACTTTTATACATTTTATACTGAGCTATGTTACACTCACACTCTGTATATTTTTTACTGATCTGTTACACTAGTCTAGCACTTTTATACATTTTATACTATCTCTGTTACACTTACAGCTTTATAACACTGTTGTACATTTTATACTGAGCTATGTTACACTTTTATACATTTTGTACTGAGCTATGTTACCCCTATGTTCATTTTGTACTGAGTTAGGCTTTACTTACACTTTTATACATTTTATACTGAGCCTTGGTTTTGGAATCAAACAAAGAAGATGAGGTAGCACTACCAAGGGGCGTGGCCAGAAGCAGGAAATCATTGGACAGGAAGCCACACAGCTCTTTGTGACCTTTGGCCTGAAAAGTGAATAATAACAGTTTGTCAATATTGTCAAGTATCACACGATCTATTTTATTCCTTACATTGCTGAGCAAAAAGTGATGAATTAAAGACAGTACTTCCTAGAACTACTTTGTTTGTGAAATAAAAAATCTGAGCTCCTATGTCCATGTTTCATTAAACCAATTGACAGCAGAGTTGAACAGCATGGGATACACAATTTGAATTCATTATAAACATAATTTGTAATAAATGATAAGTAAAAACAACATACAGGGTGTTTCACAATATATGTCACACATCTAACAGATAGGCAACAAAAGCTACATATACATTTTATATATCGTTTTAATCAGCATATATTCAAAATTATTTTTTTTGAGTTAGAAGTATCCAAAATTCTCCACTTCAGTTACTATGGCAACAAATCCTTAAATGTTATTCTCCAAGTGTTTTCCCAACATTGCCCTAAATAATTTAAGGGACTAATGCTTTTAAATTTCTGATCATTGTTTTGTAAGTTTAACAAGATTTTTGAGACTTTTCTTGTTTTATATCTGGCTTTTTAGAACCAAAGTGCATATCTATTTTTATTTAATAAAGTTGTTGCATTTAAATAAATGTGTCGTTTCAGAAATACCGGTATGTGTTACTTGGTTTCCACTTCTTTGATCTTCCTTCAGTCAATCTTGCAAACTTTATCCCCAGTTCTGAATGTCATTTGAAATCTTGTATGCAGACACACTGCATTACACACACTGCCATTGTTACAAACCATTTCCCTAAACTGAGACATGACTTTCATGAGGTTTTCTCAATGATTGACTTCCCTCTGATATTGTTCTCATCTCTTCTTGATTTTTGGGGGGTGGGGTAGGGTGTAGAGGTGGGGTGGTTTAACTGTCTTTCATCATTACATTATATTTTCATTTAAACCCTTTAATTATTCAGACAGTTATTTCTGGTCTAGTTATTTTTTATCATCTCCCCCTGTAAAATATTTAAGGCACAGTTCTTATACACACAAATTTTTGCTGCAAGTTTTACTAAATTTTGAGAACAGCTGATTTTATGACATCATTGATTATATCATCAGTTACTTCATGGTTTATTATAATTTTCCCGATACTTTGCAATATAATAATTTTAGATCAATATCCTTAACTATAGTGCTTTGGTATTTTTGGCATCATGTTCGATATTCAGATTATGCCCATTTAGATGTGTGACATATATTGTGAAACACCCTGTATGTATTAAAACTACAGCAAATGGGAATGAAAAAAAAATTTTTTTGATACCTTATACAGAGTTCCATGATAAAGTAGTTTTCTGGGTCCTAGACAGTTGGTCACAGAGTTAAAAATCAGTTTCTGAAATTAAAGGGGAAAAAATCAATTTATTTTTTTATATGTCTTTTTATAAAACTGATTTCTTAAAGTAAAGAAGGACTGACTTTATTGTATGTAACTACCTCCTGAAGGCCGTCACACTGGACATGACTCTGCATCCACTCTAACTTATCTGAGTTTTCCCTCTCCCGCACCCCCTCATTGACCTGATTACACAGTTCCTCTGCCTTAGCGAGGGCATCCTCAAGGTTCTGACGGTCTGGATGGTTTTCTGGGGTATATTGTAGAATCTGAAAATGTTCACCCAATATTGAAAACATTACATGTATGTGGTTTCTAATCTTAAAAGAAAAGTTATTGGATAATGGAACAAGTAAGGTTTTGTGATTTAATTTTGTTTATTTTCTGAAAAAAAATTTTAAGGCTAACATTAATATGTATGTTTTTTTTATTTATAGAGAGTCATTAGTGAAATATAAGACATTCATTTAACATCCTTTAAAACCAACTAACATTTGACATATTCTAAACACCCTCATTTCTTTATTTAAACATCAAAACCTTACTTTCTGTATCATGAGTGGATATTTGGTGATCCTCTGCATTGGTTTCAATAGAAAACTACTGAGGGGCATCCCTTTGGTTTTGGGATTCTGAACACATTTCTGAAAATCAGTAATAAAAATTAATAAACCATATTAATAATCTGGTATACATTCAAAACATATATTTTCAATAGGTCTAAAAGATCCTTTACAACTTGTAAGTTGTAATTTAATGTAACAGTTGTTTGTATGAGTAAAAAAAAAAGTCACATTACAGTTTCTCCATATACAAAAACATACATATCAAACAAGTTTTGGATGTACATTTACAAACAATTCTTTGGATTATTTCCCTTTTATAAACCTACCTTTTGGATTTCTCTGAATTCTGGACTGTTTTCTGTGTATCTCTGTATCAGTGCTGCAGCATTCAATTGACAACTGCAGAATCTGATGTAGGGGGTCATGTGGGGTATCTAAAATAACACAAATAAGATGTTTGGTTTCATCTATTATCTTCCTGTATAATAGGAAAGTTTACTCATATTCAACATTTGGTGATGTATGTACCTACATTTTCACAAAGAACATCTCCAATGATCTGAATGACTTGCCCTTTCCCACACATCTTTTTCCTAACTCGTACTGACCTAGGAAAAGTATAACATGAAACATATTTACAAATTTGTGACAAAATTCAACTTTAGTAGAAAAAACATAGGTAATCAGAGATTACAGAGCTCACCTAACGAATGTTGTCTTTAAAGTAGGGCAAAGTCACACAATTACCCAACAAAAAGTGTACCTCCAAAATGCAAAATTTATGCAATTTTGATCTAATACTTTGGAATAGACCTATATAAAAACTTCAAACTAGTTCTTCATCACGAAAATGTGATCAAAATCCAGCATCTGAAGCAAGTTTAAGAGTTTTCATCCCTTGATGCATCATTTGGGCAAGTTTGGTTTATTAAAGCCTTATAGTTTCTTGGTGATAGACCTGCACCCATAACTTTTACCTGGCCCATTATCTGGAAAATGTATGTCGAATTCAGCATCTGGAGCAAGTCCATTAGTATGCATCCTAAGATGTATCATCCATGCAAGTTTGCACAACATAGGGCTAATAGTTACTTAGAAATGAAACCTGCATAAAAATTTAACCTTTTCACTCATCCAGAAAAAAATATAGGTCAGATTCAGCATCTGAAGCCAGCCTGGTAGAATGCAACCTTAGATGTAGAATCCATGCAAGTTTGGTCATTAAAGAGCTCATAGTTACTTGAAAATGAATCCTGTATCAAAAACTTTAACCTGTTCACTCATATGGAAAATGTAGGACAGATTCAGCATCCGAAGCAAGTCTGGTAGTATGCATTCTAAGATGTACCATCCATGCAAGTTTGGTCATTATAGGGTTCATTGTATCTTGGAAATGAACCCTGCACCAAAAACATTAACCTGTTCACTCAACCAGAAAATGTAGTTCAGATTCAGCATCTGAAGTGCATGTATCATCCATGCAAGTTTGGTCAACATGTGCATCCCTGTTCACTCAACCAGAAAATGTAGGTCAGATTCAGCATGCAAGTTTGGTCATCCATGCAAGTTTGGTCAACATAGGGCTTATAATTACTTGGAAATGAGACTGCACCCAAAACATTAACCTGTTCACTCAACCGGAAAATGTAGGTCAAATTCAGCATCTGAAGCAAGTCTGGTAGTGTACATCCTTAGATGTATCATCCATGCGAGTTTGGTCAACATAGGGCTTATAGTTCCTTGGAAATGAGACCTACAGCAAAAACTGCATCAAAAATGTTAACCTGCTCCAAAAACATTAACCTGGTCATTCCTTTGCTGAAATTGCAGCATCTGAAACTTTGACTGGTACAATGAAACACATCAGAAGCATATTCCATGCATGTCCAATCAATATAGGATATAGAAGTACTTAAAAAGAAAACTGCTCCAAAAAACTTAACCTTAACCCGGGCCTCTGACGCCGACACCGACGCCGACGCCGAGGGTATTACATAAGGCAAGCTCCTCCAACTTCGTTGAGGTGAGCTAATTAGGTACCATCGTAAAATTCAAAATATTACCAACATATCATAGATGTAATAATGCTTGAAGTTTTAATTGTGTCAATTGAAAATGAAGCAAAAAGTACAATTCCTTGACAGTCTTATCAAATTAGTAGTTGAAATGACTTGATTTTTAAACATAAAATGTATTAATTAATTAAAGTAACCTGGCATAAATAAAAAAAGTTGCACTTACTTGAGAAGTTTAGTATTGCACAAAATGAGTTCTTTCCAGTTAACAAAAACTGTATCTAATTCTTCTGGAGTCATGACTTCCGCAGTAGCCATTGGCTGATAAAAAGCCTGAAAAACAAAATTAACATATATCATTTAGTAAGAATATAAAGTGGCACAATATCATAGATTCCTTACAGTGCAGAACATTGTTTGTTTGTTTATGTCCTCTTAGGAATTTTTTGCATCATAGCACTCTCTGAACCTTTGTTCATACAATTTTATTCAGGGGACCTATATCTCCAGATCCCATTGTAGGATTCTAATCACTGCCCCACTTGGGTGGCATGAAATTTTCTGTCATATTTTTTGTTATATAAAAGATTAAGTTAAGGAGAATAAATGTAATTTTTCTCCATCTCTGTATGAAGTTTAACCTTGTTTTAACACATGATAGTATATAAGCCAAATTGATGTAATATTCAAAGTCTGCAATCAAAACTTACATCTAGCACTATAGACATGTCTGACATGTAGGTTTCTTCTGTGTTGATGAGCTCGTGTATATAGTTCTGTCTCTTACTCTCCACAGAGGAGGTCTGGGCCAGGACTGAGGGATCACTGGACCCTGAAAACACATAGTATGTCATTTAATCACTGACAAGGAAAGATCAATAATGGAAATCCCTACATAAAAAGTTTATTTTAAAGCAAAGTTCACTGCATAATACACATTTGACTTGATATTTAATAATAGTAGTATATTACATCCTGTATTAAAACAATAGATGTGATTTGTATCTGAACTATTCTTAAACTGGGGTGAATAAGTCCAATTATATAATTGATTTAATGGAGATCTGTTATTCTCCCCAATATCATGTTGTTTTAAAAATCAATGGCCGTTTAAAAATAGTAATTTTGCTTAACATGCATGGCAGAGTTTTGTGCAATTTGTACTGTGTACATCCATTTCCTGTTCACTTTTTGTATCCAGTTAAACTTATTTCTGAATTTCAATTATGTACATTTTTACTATAGAGTATTATTATTAAGGTCCTTACCAATTATTGTGTTTAGTATTTCCATCTTGTTATAGCTTTCACAAATACTTGTTTACAGAGCTTGATATGTTTTTTTCTGTTGCATCACTGTACTTGAAATGCAGACATGCTGTAGAAATGATTCATGAATTGTTTCATATGCACTGCAAGTTCGCCACACTTCAAAGAATCAATTAAATCCCCCCACATCCTGAGGCACTTAATAACATTACATGTTTCCTACTTCTTCTCCTCCGGAATTTAATTTAAGGAGTAATTTCCTCCTTTTTATGATTATTTAATAAAAAAAAAAAAAAGAATTATAAAAAATGTGATCATTTCATAATATTTTGCAGAATTTGAGGTCATATTTTCTTCCTCTTGTTTATATTACAGTGTACTTTCAGTTATGTAATTCTGTTAAAGCACTATATATTTTTGCATTTCAACACATCAAGTCAAAAATGCCTAAATTTTAAGTAAAGGAATTGAAATGTCAGTTTAAAAAAAAAAGAGGCCCATGGGCCACATCAGTGAAAAAATCCTTTGACCATTCTGTTCTTTACCAGATTTCCCCTTGTAATACATAATGCATCCCCACCCTACCCCACTGATCATAATTTAGACATTTTGAAATCTACACTACCCCAGGATCCTTCCATGTGCACATAAGTTTCAGCTTTTCTGGCCAAGTGGTTCTTGAGAAGAAGATTTTCAAAGATTTTTCCTATATATTTCTATGTAAAATTTTGATTCCCCATTGTGGCCCTACCCTTCCCTGGGGGGTCATGATTTGAACAATTTAGAATCTACACTACCCCAGGATGCTTCCACTTAAGTTTCAGCTTTTCTGGCCAAGTGGTTCTTGAGAAGAAGATTTTCAAAGATTTTTCCTATATATTTCTATGTAAAATTTTGATTCCCCATTGTGGCCCCGCCCTTCCCCAGGGGGTCATGATTTGAACAATTTAGAATCTACACTACCTTAGGATGCTTCCACATAAGTTTCAGCTTTTCTGACCCAGTGTCTTGAGAAGATTTATTAATGACCCCACCCTATTATTGTCTTTTCTTGATTATCTCCCCTTGTGAGGGGACTTGGCCCTTTATTTTAACAATTTAAATTCCCCTTTACCCAAGGATGCTTTGTACCAAGCTTGGTCAAAATTGGCCCAGTGGTTCTTGAGAAGAAGTCAAAAATGTGAAAAGTTTACAAACGGACAGACAGACAGACGACGGACGACACCTTCGGCTCAGGTGAGCTAAAAACTGGTAGTTCAGTGAAAAAATCCTAACATTTCAGAATCTTCTTCATTAACATCCACTGTTGAAGCCCCCTGGGGGTACATAATATGGAAACTGCAAATAATCATACTTGACCTCGTGTGCACTGAATTTTAAAACTTCATGGGGAGGACCATTTGATTTGAAAAGGGGAGAAAGAAGGAAATAATCTGTCCTTGACTGAAAATATATTTATGTAATCCTAGTGATCTGGCTAGACTACCGCAATAGTTGAAATATTACAAACAATGTATATTGAGTGAGAATTGTCATTTAATAAATAACAGTAAGTATATAACACAAATAAAGTTAATTAAGGGGAAAATATATACAATCTGACACCCCCCCCCAACAATTAAATTGAATGTTTCCTTACCCATATTTGAATTGTAACCTTTTATAATTTGACACTAAAATCATGCAAGTTATTTAATCCATAGTCAGTGTCTATTACTGGTCCAATCCTCAGTCATACCTCTTCTCTTATGTGAAAAGTATGAATTAAATATAATTTTCGACAGGAAAATATCTGGGGGTTTCTCCATTAAATTGTCATTTTTCAATACATGACAAAATTATTTTTTACAATAATTTTATTAATGAAGAGTGTGACAAACTAAGACCCAAATGTGAGCACACTTTCAAACACTGTCTATATTTTCTATTTTTATTTTAAGAGGTAAAAGCCAGAACCGATTTGAAGAAGACAAGACTAAAATGACTGCTTTAATGAATTTATTGACTTGCTAGCTATGAACACATATATAAACTACTATTGAAGATACAAGGGAGTGTGCACCTGTCTCCATGACAACCCCTCAACAATATTATCATTCTTTTTACCTTCAAAATATTTTTGGAAATACAATATAAATCAACAAGTCCTATACTGGTTCTTCAGCTAACAAAGTTAATACATCATTCAAAGAGTTTTCAGAGACTTGAACGTAAAATATGGCTTCATATATATCACACCAACAACTTTGCATAATCTATTGCATCTTTCAACTATGAATATCCACTTTTTTTAAACTAAAATAAATAATCATATTTTTCTAAACAGTTAAATACCAAGTACATGTAATTCAGAGAAAATATCTTTGATTGAAAAACTTCAATATTTCAACATAACTACTCTGACTTTTTCATAAAAATACAAGTTACAATTAGCAGAATTTGCATAATATTGCCAAACAAAAGAAAGATCAGTTTTGGGTTTTACTAATTTAGTAATAAATTGTGAAAAAACTGCACTAAAAAAATCATTCCCATATAAATAGTTTTTTTTTTCATTTATTGTTTATTTGTTTTTAAGTCCATTAAAAAATATGTGGGAATTTATAACAAGCACTTCAATAAATAAAACACATTTATATACTTACTGGATAAAATTTTACAACATAATTATTCCTATACTGCTAAAAAAAAATAACTACTTATTACAACAAAATCTAGTTAGTAAAAGAGCTTTACAGATTGTTTTTTGTTAAATATTTATATATCGTCCCACTATAAATAAAATTTATTTGCTTACACATGTATTTCACATTACATGTAATCTATATTGCACATAAAAGAGAAAAAAAATTATAAATCTTTAAAATTTTGACTTCACTTTAATGATCTGGTGGGATTATTTTATCTTGAATAAATAAATTCCAATTTCTTCCCATGTGACAAGTATGTTTTGGCCTATTTAACTTCAAAAATTAGCAATACATTTACAAATGTTTAAACTTCTGTTTTAATTTTCTTAAATTTCAATACACAAACATACATGTAAGCAGTAAAAAAAAAATAGGGATTCATTTTCAATTTATTATGGATTTGCTATAAAATTTGTAGCTTATTTGTCTGTAATAATTACCTATTTTCTCACAGAAGAAAAACCCATTTTTTCAAACTGCCCCATTGTTATGCATTTGTATATCCCAAATATATAGCAGACAAATAGTAAGTACCAAGCATTTACTTTATAATTTACACATATACTTATAATGTAATACTCATGTACATGTATATAATTTGTGAGTGCATATGTACTCACCGCTCTGTTGTACAATACTATAAAGGTTTGAAACTCCAAGTGTTTAACTCCCTAAAGCTAATAGAAATCATACCAAACAAAGCAATTAATAAACATTTAAAAGTGTCATCATCAAAAGAGCATAATACTGCTGTGTTTTTAAAATATCATCTTTTTCAGCAAGACACTTTAAAAAGAGAATACTTCTAAAAAAATCTTTTTGCAATTTTTTTATCTTTGCTAGCCAAGGGTTTCTGATCTGCTTTAGTATGTACTCACAAAATCCTGGCTATCATGCTATCAAAAGTCAGGCTTGTTAATGTTAACTAAAAGTTGGATGACACCACAACTAATTATAGAACCGCATAGTATCTTTGAATATTCTCTATTCAATTGTAGGTTTCATTCCCAAGTCGAATCAAGCAAAATCTGTAAAAGACTTTTTACTTTAGCTTTGCAATGTAGCCTAATCGCTGATTGGTTGAATAATATCAATAAGCTCCAATCATATCTGTAGAAAAAAAAAATCCAGACTTCTGAAAGCAGGACTGGCCAATGGTCTGTATATTTTCTAATTAAATTACACCCTACATGTATATTATGTTTGTCATAGAGTATATTAAATAGTCCTGATAGCTTTGATTATGATTTAATCACATAAAAATGTAATGCCAAAATCATACTATTCATACATAAACCAATCTACATATACCCCAATAATTAACACTTACTGATAAACATGACAAAGATGTTGGATGGCATCAAATTTTTGTGTGAAAAATGACTAAGCTTCACATTTTTTCTAGCAATCTATGAGTAAAGGGTAAACAAGTCTCTGTCCGGCTGATAAACTTAAATACTAAGTTCTCCATGTACATGTCTATGAATACAGTTTTCATCTGTTTACAAAATAATCATGCATTCCTTACACCACAACTTTTTACCAAATTGAAAATAGGGCAGCTGAAAGTAAAATCATCTTAATTAATGAAAATGATGCTTTTTAACTTATGGACCATATTCTTCAATATTAATGACTTTTAATCAATTTTGATATTGTGAGTACATGTGTGATATCTTTGCAAGTGTGAACACATCCTCTGCCTTTTCCAATGTACACAATCAGTTTAACCTCACATGTGCAGCTGAACTATTTGGCAAAAAAACTGAGTATCTTTAAGGAATTAAAAAACTTAACAATAACAGAGATGCTAAAAAATGTCAACAATACAACACAAACATCTCAATAAAGTAGGATTTGGTGACAAAAAAATCAAGTAACAGGTATGAACTTAAATTTAGTACTGTATTGAAATGATAAAAATATGTCTACCAACGATGAACTACACACGTCATAGACATGATAAAGTTTAAAATATATATTTACAATAAATGTAAAATCATATCTATTGTATAATGGTTAATAGTCAAACCCTTTGCAATAAAATTGAGAAGCACTCAATAAATACAAGTAGCTTACAATTTTTGCATTAATTCAGCTAAGGCATATTTCAGCTGAAAAGCTTATCCATTCTACACTTTTTCCTTTGAAAATGCCTCTCAGACAAAACACTGGTATTGAAGCTTTATTACACTTAATAACATTCAACTATCACAATGGCCTGAAAATTGCACCAAATTATAAGATAATAATTCTCAGATTTTTCACAACACTTAAAAATATTCACATAAACTGAAATCTAAGTACACATGTACAAAACATCAACTCTTTACTCCCCATTATTAGCATTAGTGCACACACCCCCTACAAAATAGCCTATTATAAAGTAGATGTCAAAGAGTTATTCCCCTTGCAGAAAAGTGACATGTGACAAGGGGGTGTGGCCAGTTAAGTCTGTCTGACCCGCCTCTTTCTGAATCTCAGCAAGGATAAATAACCAAGAGAATTTGATGGCCAAAAAATAAACTGAAATCAGATATTAGCATTCCAAAAAATCTGATGTTATGCACTGAAAAACAAATTTTATTTGCATTTTGTGCAAAATGTATAAGGTAGGCATATTTTGTGTGGGTGTGGCATTTAATGCACTGTGGGGGTAGGGTGGAATGAGGGAGGGGCGTGTCAGGGGTGAGGTCAATGTGGGGTCAGACAAACTGTACTGCTCCCCGAATCACTCCGATTGTCACTCCTCCTGGAATCAACAAAAACAGCTAAGGTTAGATAGAAGTGACACATTATACTGATGTTGGTTACAAGTATATAAAATGATAGACAGAAATATTCACACATAGTTTTTATTCATTACTTAGCATAGTTAAATTAGTTGAGATAAAACCAAACTCAGGTACAGCAAAACTCGTTCAGTACGAACACGGATATAGCGAATTTACGGATATAGCGAAGTCATTTTGGATCCCCAGCTAAATAAATTTAAAGAATTTCTTATACATTTATAACGAATTACGGATAAAGCGAAGTGATTTCTTAGGTCCCAGTGACTTCGTTATAACCGAGTTTTACTGTATTAAACTATTTGATTTCACTATTGTTTTCATTTCTTTAATAACAGTGAAACATTTCTATCACTCAAAATAAATTTCTGTATAAATCTGTTTCTCCTCTTATCTTCAAACCATAATCCATAAAAACATTTCTAGGGTTATCTGTACTTAATCAACTATATATTAGCACTGTACAGTTCATGCCAACTAATTCTAAGAAACAGCAATTTTACTTACATGTGTTTTCTTGAGGAGGAGAAGAGACCAGGGGTCCGACATAGTTAGAGGGGAACATTCCGACTGTTCCATTTACCTCCCCCTGCCACCAATCAGCATCGTCCTTATTGACAACATTAATCACAGAGTCCTTGTGGAATGTCAGTTCATCGTCATTCTGAGCTGTGTACGGGTATAGGGCTATCACCTGATCAACTGCAATCACAAATAGTATCTATATTTTACACTGAATTAATTTTCATATTGCAATGTTAAAAATATTGCTATGAAATGAGGACAAAGAGCTGATAAACCTTAATAAATATTGTAAAATTATTCATGTTTTAAATGTGTCTGAGCATTTTACCACTATAAAACATAGGTAATCAGAGATTACAGAGCTCACCTCAACGAATGTTGTCTTTAAGTAAGGCAAAGTCACACAATTAACCAACAAAAAGTATACATTCCAAAAATGAAAATATTTTCAAAAGCAATTTTGATCTGATACTTTGAAATAGACCTACATAAAAAATTTAAACTACTTCTTCATGAAAATGTAATGAAAATCCAGCATCTGAAGCAAATTTGAGAGTTTTCATCTCTTGAAGCAGCATTTGTGCAAGTTTCATTTATACAATGTTATATAAGCCTTATAGTTTTTGGTAATAGACCTGCAACCATAACTTTTACCTTGTCTACTATCTGAAAAATGTATGTCCAATTCAGCATCCGAAGCAAGTCCATTAGTGTGCATCCTTAGATGTATCATCCATGCAAGTTTGCTCATTATAGGGCTCATAGTTTATTGGAAATGAAACATGCATCAAAACTAACATTTTCACTCATCCACAAAAAGTAGGTCAGATTCAGCATCCGAAGCAAGCCTGGAAGTATGCATCCTTAAATGTATCATCTATGCAAGATTGGTCATTAAAGAACTCATAGTTCCTTGGAAATGAAACCTGCACCAAAAACTTTTAACTAATCACTCAACCAGAAAATGTAGGTCAGATTCAGCATCCGAAGCAAGCCTGGTAGTGTGCATCCTTAGATGTATCATCCATGCAAGTTTGGTCAACATAGGGCTTAAAGTTACTTGCAAATGAAACCTGCACCAACAACATTAACCTGTTCGCTCAACTGGAAAATGTAGGTCAGATTCAGCATCCGAAGCAAGCCTGGTAGTATGCATCCTTAGATGTATCATCCATGCAAGTTTGGTCAACATAGGGCTTATAGTTACTTGGAAATGAAACCTACACCAAAAACTTTAACCTGTTCACTCAAGTGGAAAATGTAGGTCAGATTCAGCATCCGAAGCAAGCCCGGTAGTATGCATCCTTAGATGTATCATCCATGCAAGTTTGGTCAACATAGGGCTTATAGTTACTTGGAAATGAAACCTGCACCAAAATTTTAACCTGTTCACTCAACCGGAAAATGTAGGTCAGATTCAGCATCCGAAGCAAGCTTGGTAGTATGCATCCTTAGATGTATCATCCATGCAAGTTTGGTCAACATAGGGCTTATAGTTACTTGGAAATGAAACCCTCACCAAAAACTTTAACCTGTTCACTCAACCAGAAAATGTAGGTCAGATTCAGCATCCGAAGCAAGCCCGGTAGTATGCATCCTTAGATGTATCATCCATGCAAGTTTGGTCAACATAGGGCTTATAGTTACTTGGAAATGAAACCTACACCAAAAACTTTAACCTGTTCACTCAACCGGAAAATGTAGGTCAGATTCAGCATCCGAAGCAAGCACGGTAGTATGCATCCTTAGATGTATCATCCATGCAAGTTTGGTCAACATAGGGCTTATAGTTACTTGGAAATGAAACCCACACCAAAAACTGCACCAAAAATGTTAACCTGCTCCAAAAACATTAACCTGGTAATTCCTTTGCTGAAATTGCAGCATCTGAAACTTTGTCTGGTACAATAAAACACGCTAAAACCATCTTCCATGCATGTCTAATCAGTATAGGACACAGAAGTAATTAAAAAGAAAACTGCTCCAAAAAACTTAACCTTAACCTGGGATGCCAACGCTGACGCCGAGGGTATCACATAAGCTCCCCCCAACTTCGTTGAGGTGAGCTAAAAAGGGTTGGAGGTAATGGCATGACAAAACTTACCATATTTATTCTCCACAATTGCAGATTTCTGTGGCTGGGGTGCTGGAATTGTGGGTGTGGCAGTCCGATGCAACTAAAAATAAAATGAATTTTCTGACAAAACTTTTTAGTTTAGACTCAAAATCATAAAGCCGAGTTATTTCTAAGCAGCAACATAAAAAGATTGTGAATCGTACTGTGATAGATATTCTTACTGTGCTTGCGGGTGAGCCACTCTGAGAGGAGTTATCTGGAGTGGATCTAGCACTTGACCCCGCACCCAGAAGCTTGACATAGTTAGCAGGGAACCATCCAATCTTCTTTCTCTGACCACGGGCCTGGAAGAACATCATGTACTAATAATTTACTGATATATCAAGTTATGTTTATGCACTTAAAAAACTATGGATTTATATTTTAGCAACTTTTGGGCTAACAACAATAACACTAATTAATGAATACATTTAATAAATCATTACTATGCTAACCACTCCAAACCAAAAGTTTGTCCAAAATTTTGAATATAATTATCAATTTATGTCCATGTTCAGTATTTGACTTTTAAGCTTTAACTGCATTGGTATAGATAGATCATTTACTTCTATGAGGTTTCTTTAGCCAACTTCTCTTACAGGATCATATTCTTACTATTACCCTTGTAGGCATTTTAAGAAATCCAGACCCTCAACCCTGACTTTTACACAGACCTGTAGCTCCCCCTCCCACCAGCCACTGGGGCTCTTCTTGCGGACCTGTATCAGCTGACCAGGACTGAGGGACAGCTGTTCACCTCCTGTTGCGGTGTATGCGGCTATCACTGAAGCTATTTCTGTAAATAATGATATAATTTTCAATTTATCTCATTCAGGTCATATATGTTATACTGGTTCCTCATTATTTATAAGCCTAAAGAGTCAACTGTAAAGGTAAGTAATATTTAGAGATCAAAGTTTGAAAAACAAAGTGCATATTATCTAAGACTTTAAAGCTTTTCTCATTACCATTAACAACTACAAATTATTATCAGGTCATAATGAATGAATAAAGGGATTGGGGTGGGAGTGAAGGATTAAATCATGTAAGAAACCCACAGATAAAAATTACTGATTAAGAATAAATTGAAATAAAATCAAGCTTATTTGAGTTGAAAAAACATAATTTCATATCAAATTTCTTGAATTAAAATATTGTATATTGAAAACTAAAAATACATGTATGTCCATGTGTCACTGGGAACAGTAATGCATCATAAAAATTTGTATCAGTATTTGAAGTTTAATAAAAATATCTTGAATATTTTATTTAAAACAATTTTAAACATACAATAAATAGTAAAGTCAAAAATCACTGGGAAGGTCAAGGTAAAAAAAAGGATATATTTCATAAATTCTAAGCAAATTAAGTGTCAGTGCAAAAGCTTTCTTGAATATCTTATCAGTTTCTCTGAAAATGATCTAGTGTAAAAGGATGCACAGGACTGAATACAGATATGACAGACCCTGTATGCCCCAGCTTCAAGAAGGGCATTACAAAATTTACATTCAAGAGTAGATTCAAATTAATTCGACTGACTTTCTTACTTATTTTATTTAAAAAAAATAATTATTGACAGATTTATGGTACCTTTTATGTGTATCTTTAGCATCTGATACATAAGCAGTATTATATTTTTTGTTAGAAATTTATACATAATTATATTTAAGTAATAGGCATCAAACATACCATTATTTGAGGTGGATCCTATAGTTATACAATCAAATGGCAAATAAATTTAAGCAATCAACCACATATTTTTTTTAATCGAATGAAAATGTCGAGACATACAGGTAAATTTTTTTTTATCTTGGTTTACCTGGTTTTTTGAGTGTTGAACTGGTTCCCGTTTTCTGTTGACTCTGTGCTGGTTGACTGGTGGCCGGCTGTGGTGGAGGGGCCTGAACTGTGGGTTGTACAGCTGGGGCAGGACTAGGTGAAGGTTTGGACTGAAAAAAATAATACAAAATGTAAAAAAATTAAAATGATCATAGTACAATGGCATCAAAATTTTATAAAATTCTTATGATCAAGACATGATTTTATACATAAATTTTTAAAAATATTACCTGATAAGAAAAATCAATAAAATATGTCAATCATTTAAACTTATATTTTCTGTATCATATTTATGTTTAAAATGTTTAAATACTCTTGTTTTATCATTTTTAACTTCATAATGAAAAAAAAAAATAAGCAGAAAAAGAGCAAAAATAAGCTATGGATGCACCTATTTCAGGTGCTGATGATGAATGTGTGTTTGTGCGGGGTAATGAAGTGTTCTTTATATTTATGCTAATGTATTTGTGTTATACCTGACTGGATGTATCACTAGACCCTGTTAATAATGAACGGAAATTTTCTATAGGTTCATACGTGTCATCCTCCAATGACTCATACTGTTGTGCAGTCAACACAGAGGAGTTGGGGTTTGTGGGGGTGTTTTTGGACAAACTTTGAATAAAATGAAAATTCTCAAAAACGTGTTGTTCAGAAGCTTCTTTCTGATTTTTTGATGCTTTGTTTGACTTATCTTCATCAACTATGTCAATATAGGCATGTTCTTGAATGATTTCCTCTGATTCTTTCTGGGGATTTTTGGTATTATTAGTAGGATCATTAACACTTAGAAATTCTTCATATGCATCATCTCTTAGAACATTATCTTCAGTTTTCTTTTCTTCATCTGAATTTTTTACAATACCAAGAAAATCTTCATACACATCTTCTTTCTGCACATCAACATCCACTATTGCTTCTGTTATGTTCTCAGTAAAATAGGGAATATCATCATAAGTATCATCTCTGATCTCATCTATCCCAGAATTCCAGTTTTTCACTTCCTGTGCTGGTTGCCCCTCTGGAGATTTTGCCTGTGGGGATTCAGGATTCCTTATGAATCCACTCAAATCATCATATTCATCCCGCCCCTCTGGCACTTTCTCCTTTGGTGATTCAGAATTTAAGATGAAGCCACTTAAATCATCATACAGATCCTGGCCTCCCTGGTTTGCTTCTTCTGTGGTTTTAGGACTTGGGTCCCTTGACCTTTTGAACTCACTCAAATCATCGTAATCATCATCCACAGCAACATCAGTCCCTTCAGTAACAGGTGTCTTCATGAATGAACAATCATCATACTCCCCAATAGACGAGGTAGCAGAATGCTGTTTGATTTCTTCAAGCTTTGGTATATTTCTCTTCACTGTAAGATTCTGAATAAAAGAAAAATTGTCATCCAAGTTGTTCTCCGAGACCTTGTCAATAGAACTATCAGTTTTTTCAACAGATGCAGATTTAGATGAGTTCTGAAAGGTTGCAAAAATGTCTTGAAACTGATCTCCAGTCCCTTTCTGTGCATCTTCTGCACCTTTCTGACTGTTTGGGGCAGCATCTTTACTTGATGTTTCTGAAAACCATTCCCCAGCTAAACTTTGCTTGGATGGTTCAGTATTTAAATCATCAAAATCCCCAAACAAGTCATTTTCATCTGTTTTGTTTTTGCCTCCATCACCATTTTCTGTCTCTGGAAAATACTTTTTAAGTTCTGTAAAAGAAGAGCTTGTTTTCCTTAATTCTGGCTTCTCATTGTCATGTTTTCTCATGACGACCTGATCTGTATCCTCGGAACTAAAACTGAACAGATCCATACTAGACTTTTCCTCATTCAATTCTCCTAGATTAAATGATACTCCATTGTTTTCTGATGATCCAGTGTTATCAACACTGGTCTGGGTGGCTACTCCAATACTAAATTTATGAAAGGAATCCCCGAAACTATCTGAGGGTAAGAAATCTGATGATTTAAAAGGATCCCCACCCTCTGTAAATAGTGAATCATTTGAGAACGGCTTCTCTGAGGCAAAAGGATCTTCAGAGAAACTGCTTGATGAAAATGGATCCTCCCCTCCAAATGGTGAACTCTCAGCATCAAAAATATCCTGGCTGCCTCCTGCTGTACCCTCACTGGGAGAACAGACATTGTCATTAAATTGATCTTCGAATGTGACAGATTTCTTTAACTTTTTGACAAAAGATTTTGATTTGTCTGGTGGAAGAGCAGGGAGAGGAGTACTTGTTGAGGATATTGTGGAAGGGGTTTCATTTAGAAGTGATGGGTCTGCGGCATTTGAAAAGGAAGGGGGTGAGGCAGCTGTCATCGTGTTTTGTGTCTGTGTTGACTGCAGTAACTCAATGTCTGATTCAGACTGTAAGGTTAGATCAATAGAGGGAGATAACTCTTGTTCAGTGTTAACAGAATCTAGTGTTTGTAAGCCTGGTTCCACTTTCTACAACAATGTAAAACACTGTGACATATTACTGTCAAGAAAATGTTTTTTTAAAAATTTATACATGCAGGAAATCTTATAGTTTACACAATGTATTACATGCTTTTTTGAAGGAAACATGAGTAGTATGATCCAAACACATCTAAGAAATAGAATTGAGATCACTCCATTTTTGAGTTCTCCCTACTTACCTGTTGTTCTGCGGCCTTGACATAGTTAGCTGGGAAAATCCCTGACCTTTCACCTATTGACCCTGTCCACCAGTCACCCTCTTTCTTGGTCACCTGGATTGTCTCCCCCTGAGTGAAGGTCAGGTCACCTGGTTCTGTGGAAGTGTAGGAAAACATGGCCACATAGGGTTCTGTAAAAAGGAAAACAATGACACTCATTTTTATTATCTTTTCAAGTGCCACCGTCACAAATGAAAAAGCTGTGTATTTTTAAGCTTGCATATATTGGCCCCATTGATAAAAGCCCATCTTCTTAAAATAGAAATTATGTCATACATGTACTGTTGATATACTGACCAGCATCAGCAGTGTGTTCCACAATGGTGGGTGTACTACTCTTATCATTGGTTTCTACAGCCACAGCAGGTGCTGCACTTGTTGCCATTGGTGTTCCAGATCTCGATCTAAAAATATCATATCTAATCAGATATTCTTCACTCTGTTTAAATACTTGTGTAAAATGTGAACCTGCATATAAACATTCTGTTCCAGCACGCATTTTAAGATTTATTATTAATTAAAATGAAAGTGTATAATTTTGTCTGTATTCCTTTTTAATGTTGATACAGTACGTTATTTTTAAGGTACTACTTGTCAAGGACTTACGTTTGTTTGGAGCCTGGTCCACTGACCAGTTTAACGTAGGACTTCGGGAACCAACCAGTCTTAAAAAAAAAGACATCAAATCGTTATTAATTTCAAAAAGAAGAGATACATAAATATAAATTGGCTCTTTATTTTATGATTATCCTGCCAACATGACAAAATTATTTTTTTCAATTTGCTGCTTATTTTTCAAATTTTGTAGACTTTTCGTGAAATTGTAAAGAGAATGCAATTCATTTTTACTACAATGTAATTACATTTAAAAACTCAGCTTCCCTGAATTGTATAGGGTGAATTCACCATGCATCGGATACCCTTGTTCTTCAACAAGTTCTAGCGATATCGCTACCGACGGAAAATTATCAAAATGGAGTTTAACATTTAGTTTGTGATTAAAATATCAATTTGGGACACAATTATATGCCCTTTATTGAGAAAATATCCTCAGAAATCGAGTTTTTAGGAATAACTCCAAAATTTACCATGGATCGGACATTGTTTACCATGCATCGGACAGACGGTATTTTGACCGGAAAAATATCATACCTTTATTAAAGTGCTTTAAAATGCTTGATATGGATATATTTTTATCTTTTATCTAAGAAAGAACCCTCAACTTAAATTTAATTGACGATATCGTTGCACAAATGTCGAACGATTCAAGAGACCTCACTCTGCCTTAGAAATGCTTTAAAATGCTTATAATGCGGTAATTTGCACCTTTTTTGATGGTTTATCATACTCTGGTTTGTAGAAATAAATTGAGTCAAATTCCAGACGTCATATATCGATAACTTGTATTTTGACTGAAAATATAGTTTTTTTATTTTCTTTTTCCGCAAAAAACAGCAATCAGCTGGGTTCTGTATGAAAATGGTAGCGCTTACCTTTGCATCGGAAAGTGTCCGATGCATGGTTAATTTGTGTCCGATGTACGGAGAAATGAACATATTAGTGAAAACCAGCTCTAAAAAGAATTATACGAACATTGAAGTAATATTTCTTTAAAATTTATGTAAAATTACCAATCTTTGACTTTATTCACCAAAGTCTGACTCGTTCCGTTGAAGTCGAATTTTAAGAACGATAACTCTAAAAATCGCAAAATCATAAATTTCTGGTTATTCCCCTTTGATGATGTAAAATATGACGTAACTTCAAGGCCATTCTGGCGATATTTTTATCACAACATGATAATAACAAACGGTATCATTAAAAAATTTCAATCTTCAGCTTTAAGACAGAAACAAATAAATACACGGAACTCTTAAGTTGAAAGAGAATTTATTGTCTAAAGTTGTCCGAAGCAAGGTATGTGTCCGATGCATGGTGAATTCACCCTATGTGTATAAAATTATTTTTCTAGATACTCTGTAAAGTGAAATGTAGCTGTATCAAAACAGATAGCAAAGTATTAAAAGCTCATGCAGTAAAAAAATTAACATTTCATGCTCAGCTACTTACAATCAAGTTCTTGTTCAAACCAATAGAACTTTTCATTCACAACAAAATCAAGGTTTTATTTTCTGATTTAAGATATGTTTTCCTGATTTTTTTTTTATATGCTGTTAAAAAAATCTTTTAAAACTATTTTTAACAAATATATATATATTTCTGTTTTTCCAAATACATGTACTTGTGAATATGACCTTGCAATCTTTTCAACAAGTGTTACAAAGAGCCCTCTTTTCAACAGTACAGCAATGATTTACAAGCAAATTCATGCACACCAGGCATAATGGCCCATTCTGTGCCCTTTCTGATTTTTTTTTCAAATTAACAGAAATGTACTCATTAGTATTCAATATCAAACACCATAGTTATTGTGCATCAATTTAAAGTTTTCCCCTCAAACTTAATGCTTTTTTTTATACAATTTTCCAGCCAGCAAGTGGTCCTTTAATTTTATAAATCAAATAACTTATTTATTATGGGCTCTGATTTTTATCAACTTATCCTGCCATATTTTCCAATTTAGAAATGAATGCCATTTCTTTTGCAAATTTTATGAATCCTGTAAACGGTCAAATACAGTGACATTTGTAGGTTTAATTAATTAATTTCTTCACAGATGCCTCTATTCTACGACACTAAACCTATCACACAACACAGAACGGCTGGATACCTGTCCATTCAGCTCCCCTGACCACCACATTTCTTGTTGTTCTTTGACATGGATTATGTCCCCTTTGTTAAAAGACAAATGATTTTCTTTCTTGGCCTTCCACGGATAAAGGGCCTGGGCCTGAAGGCCCTCGGGGGCAGTGGATCCCTGTAAAGGCACCATCTAATGTCCATAAAAAGCGCTAGTTACAGATACTGTGACCAGTATAGGAGTTAGTAAGTGATAGCAGATAATGCAAGCAAAGATTTTAATAAAGAAAAATTTTAATTGAAAAAAAAGTCAGAAAAGTCATTTGATAAAAGTTTTGAAATTGAACTAACATTGATAAAACATGAAATTTGTATACAAATATCTAATTTTTGTTTAAATATAAACACAAACTAAAGAAAAACAAAGATTAACTCAAAAATAGTCATTTCTGCTATAAATATACGTCAAGTAGTAATTTTCTATAACCTTTTATACACAAAGAACAAACTAATTTTCTGATTTACCTGGCCAGGTGTTGGTGAGTCAGCTGGTGTATCAAACAGAGATTCTTTCTGGGGAAATGCTGAAGCTACAGGTTCTGAACTGTAAGCAATCAAGTTAAATACATATCAAGTACAAAATTAATATAAACTTTGGACTTTGAAAAACTGCAATACCTTTTACGTCATTGTAGGAATGTACAATATCTTTGACTTAAGAGTTAAACCACTATACTAGTACTTAATAAGGCATTTAATCTATTCAATTTATTACCTGAAAGCATTGCCAAAGGCGTTGAATTGACTAGATTGCTCCTCTGGCAGTTTCTCCACATAGTCTTTAGGGAACCAGCCCTTCTTTCCATTCATCTCTCCTCCCAGCCACCCCTCCTCTGCCCCCGTCTGGTCCTCTGGGACCTGAAACAGAAATTAATGCATGTTATCATACCATTAAACTATTCAAATCTTAGTTATCCAAGGTTTGATAATTATGTAATAATTACATACTTGAAGGAAAACATGTATATATTGCAAATTCCCTGTAGTTATACGAATTTGTTACATGTATATAAGGAATTACAGATATAGGGAATTAAATACACAGGTCCCAAGGACTTTGCTATAACCAAGTTTTACTGTATTGCTGAACCCTACCCCAATGCATTCTTAATCAAAAGAAAGTGGCTTTGGATTCGGTGAGCTTAAGTTGTACTTGTATGTGTATGTCAAATGGACAGGTACTAGACAAATCTATGCTATCAAAGGAAGAGTTTGTTCTCTTACCCAAACAATGTCATCTGGATTCAAACTTAATTCATCTGGATTTCTGGCCTCAAAAGGATACAAGGCCTTATATTTACAACCTTTACTACTGGATGAGGTCACTGAAAAAAGTATTAAAAAACTTCTAATGAATATATCAAAACAGGACTTTTGAGATTTCCTCTCATTTGAAGATCTTATCTTTCATATGAAGATTTTAGCTGTAATACTCTGTCGTAATTCTACTTGCTTGATCATTATGCTTTGACAGTTTAGATTTTCTAAATATGATAAATAATGATTTTTCTCCAATAACTGACCTGTAGTTTGACTAGAGAAAGCACTGCCCCAGATATCGCTCCCCGTGGCTGTATCAGTCTTAACATCTGCGAAGGCAGCTGACCAGATATCATTAGACGTAGAGGACGACTGAGTGTCGTTAGAGAATGCCGCCCACGTATCACTCGAGGCAGGGGATTTTCCTGAAAAACAGATTTGCGAAATTCATATACAATAAAATATTTACATAATATAATGTACTTTAAAATGAAAAAGACTTAATGAACAGCTTTTAATGGTTGGTGGTAAAAAATTACAGTATTCAGATTCTATTGGACATACCTTTTGCTTCTTGCTCTTCCCTGAAAAGAATATTATGACAATCATATTAATCATTTTATTTGATATTTTCAGAAATTGCATTTATAATGAATTATGATAAACTCCATGTACATGTACATGTATATCATAAACACATATAAAGTAAGTCTTAACATTAAAGAACCTTTATTGTAAAACAAAATTCAGAATGCTATAAATGTATTATATTTTGCCTGCAAGATATTTGGTGGAAATTGGTTGGCTTAGATTTGATTAAGTGCATTTCTTAAAATTTTTATTTATGTATATATGTGCTGGTCATTTAGTGTTGTACTCTAATTAGTCAAAGTTTCTTTACAGGATAGACGTGAAAAGGAATAAACAGCTAAATAAAGAATTTGTTTACAGTATTCAAGAAGCTACACATGTAGGTTTTTTAACAATGCATTTCATTAACTGTATAGGGGGAAAATAACTCGCGGTGTTAATATTCACTATATTCACGGTGATAATAAATCCGTGAATTCAAGAAACAGTGAATAATTTTTCAATAATCTCCTTGTCTTATTTGGAAATTTGAGAACAGACTACGATAGGTTTAAATACATGAACCACAGTACTGGTCATTTCAGTAATTACGAGTAGTGCTTGTCATTCAATTATTTTAATTAGCACGCTTTACATTAATTCAAATCAACAGATAATAACCTGTATTTTTTAAAAGGCTTTAATAGCCAACGCTACACGTTTCATCAATCAAAACACGTGGGCCATTATATGCATTTACCAAATTATTTAACATCGTGCATATTAAATTTTTATTTTAAAAAATCATTCAAATAACTATCGAACTAACTGAAGATTTGGAAGGATATTTATTTCGTCGACCAACATTAACACATTTATTACCGTCCAGTGTTTTTTGCGGCGATGTATTGAAGATCTTGGGGTGTACATGCACTCATTGTAAGAGAATAAAGGGAATAATTTGATGTTTATAGTCAAGGACTTTTGATAACTGCACCTGTTTTAATTAATCGTCAATTTTTTATTAAGTCTAACTATTTTATATTATCCTACCCTGTTGTTCGTGAAATAAAGACGTAACAGATGAATGTCGTTTACATGTAGCTATTGATTAAACGGATATAGACAAGGGAGGTCATTTCTATTGCGTAAGAATTCCGCGAATTCAAGAAACCGCGATCGTGTCCAATGACAGAAAACCGTGAAAATTACAACCCGTGAAATTAATCCCCTGTACAGTACTATTATAGTTTTTAAGCTTAGAACTTTATCATCTGAGTGTATTTATAAAATTGAATTGATCAACAGCACAAATTTATTTTTAGAGTTTTTAGGTCATGAGTGCGAGCCGATCATTTTAGAATTAATCAACCCCACAGTTTATTAATTTTTTGAGCCTCCACTCAAAAATAATTAAATAAAAACATGGTGTTCTTGCTATCTCTTCTGAAGCAGAGTGGCCTCCTGTTTTTGTTGTTGTTGCTTTTTCAGAGAGGACATATTGTCTTCAACTGATGACAGCTTTTTCTTCATCTCCTTAAATCAGAAATGAATGTATCAAGAGCAGATTTCCTAAACAATGAATACATCAACTAAGATTTCAATGATAGACACATCAATAGATGTACACATTCAGCGTTAGTACATATATACATCAGTTTTGTAAAAATGTTCAAACCCATTTCTGAAATATTTACCGCCATTTTGCTAGTTTCTTTGTTTCCTTTGCAATTCGGCTTATTTTTCCTTTTTTCCCATGATTTTTGCCATGTGGTCCGCCATATTTGTTACAGGATGTTTATATCAATCTTCTCTAATTCATGTGTTCTTCAAGAATACTTTCTATTTCTAACTTTTGACATGTTACTTTCAGTTTTGTGTCTGAAACCTCCACAACGGTCTACCGTGTTGAAAGGAGAAATTTTATCAGACCGTTGTGGAGGCCTACAGTGTTGAAAGGGTTAAAGTTTTTATTTATGTATGTACATGTATGTACTGGTCATTTAGTGTTGTACTCTAATTAGTGGAAGTTTCTTCACAGGAAAGGCATGAAAAGGAATTTACTGCTAATAAAAAATATGTTTACGGTATTCAAGAAGCTAGGTTTATTAACAATGCATTTCATATACTATAATAGTTTTTAAGCTTAGAACTTTATTATCTGAGTGCATTCATAGAATACATACCATAAAATTGAATTAATCAACAGCACAAATTTATTTAGAGTTTTTGGGTTTTATTGTTTTAGAATTAATCAGCAGCACAGTTTACTAAGTTTTTGAGCCTCTGAGTGCACTCACTTGAGCCTCTGAGCCGCCAGCTCCTTCCTGATTTTAATTGCACTCAATCTCCTGTTGTATCTTATTTGTGTTCCTGAAAATCACAAAAATAATTGTTTTTGTTGTTGTTGCTTTTTAAGAGAGGACATATTGTCTTCAACATGTACAGTTTTTTCAATTCATACATCTATAAACAGAACATCATGCTAGCATTCATGAATGAACTTAAGGAAATGCATGTAACTGAATTTTTCATACACTACAAAATAAGTGTTGCTATTTATTTTCATGAAGTTATTTTGGGAAAGAAATTATGTAAATTCACAGATGTTTATTTATCAAGAATAAAAAAATGCATATTTTCTATTTTTAATTAATTATTCATCTTTAAAAAATGCATTCACTGTTCTCTTACATGAAAAATTTGATACTGTATGAATAACTTCAAAAGTACTTTTAGTTAGGAAGTATTTAGGCACCTTGCCTAGAATTATGCTTTGATATCATTTTCTAGTTTGTCTATTGCACTGGTTTTTAATGTTGACATACACTTCCGTTTATCCTCATAATATGGCCTCTATACATATTTTGCAATAAATGAAGTCTGTATATTACCAAAATTGCAGTTTTTGTACTTTGAACCTATAAAATTGTGAGGGTGGAAACTCCTTAAATGCCAGACACATTAAACATTTACCTTGCTGTAAAAATAAAAATGACATGGATTTTAATCTATATGTTAGAAAAGTTATGCTGAAAAAAGGTTCATAAAAAATTTGAAAAAACTAGAACTGTCCAATTTCAAAATAGTTTACTTTCAGTTTCTCTTTCTGTGTTTTCAAGGGTTTTTCAGAAGTAAGTTTTTCCACTATGTAAAGATATGTATCACACATGAATTATGAAATTTTTTCTTCCAGTGACCTTAATTCCCCAAATGACCTTGGGTCAATTTCATGACACACTCTCATGGGTCATGGGCCAATCTTTGTGTGAAATGAGAACCTACCAAGTTTATCCATAAGAAAGATATGGACCGGACATGAAAAAAAAATTTTTCTTCCAGTGACCTTGAACTTCCCCAAATGACCTTGGGTCAAGGTCATACAACTGGATTTCATCAAATTGGTCCAAATGGGCAATCCTTGTGTACAAAGATATTCATTCAAAAGATTTTTTTTATCCATAAAATGTAGACCGGAATTATCAAAAATTTAAAAAATTTTATATACAGTGACCTTGAACTTCCCCTAAATGACCTTGTGTCAAGGTCATGACACACCCTTGGGTCAAGGGCATTTTTTGTGTGAAATGAGAACTTACCAAACTTATCCATAATAAAGATATGGACCGGACACAAATTATGAAAATTTTCTTCCAGTGACCTTGAAGCTCCCCAAATGACCTTGGATGAAGGTCATAACACACCCTTAGGTCATGGGCAATCTTTGCGTGAAATGAGAACCTACCAAGTTTATCCATAAGAAAGATATGGACCGGACACGAATTATTAAATTTTTCTTCCAGTGACCTTGAACTTCCCCAAATGACCTTGGATGAAGTTCATAACACACCCTTAGGTCATGGGCAATCTTTGCGTGAAATGAGAACCTACCAAGTTTATCCATAAAAAAGATGTAGTTACTTTCGGACACATTAAAAGTTATGAAATTTTTCTTCCAGTGACCTTGAACTTCCTCAAATGACCTTAGGTAACACATCTTTTACACACCCTTAGGTTATGGGCAATCTTTGTGTGAAATGAGAACCTACCAAGTTTATCCATAAGAAAGATATGGACCGGACACGAATTATGAACTTTTTCTTCCAGTGACCTTGAACTTCCTCAAATGACCTTGGGTCAAGGTCTTGACACACCCTTAGGTTATGGGCAATCTTTGTGTGAAATGAGAACCTACCAAGTTTATCCATAAGAAAGATATGGACCGGACACGAATTATGAACTTTTTCTTCCAGTGACCTTGAACTTCCCAAATGACCTTGAAAACCCAAGGTCTTGACACACCCTTAGGTTATGGGCAATCTTTGTGTGAAATGAGAACCTACCAAGTTTATCCATAAGAAAGATATGGACCGGACACGAATTATGAACTTTTTCTTCCAGTGACCTTGAACTTCCCCAAATGACCTTTTTTGGTATATAGGTCTATCCCGACATAATTTTCACCCTTAGGTCATGGGCAATCTTTGTGTGGAGTAGTTTTTGCATATAATAAACTTTGTAACTAAAACATCGTTGAATCAATTCACTAGTAACATTTTAAAAATTTCACTGTTCCTGTACATGATGTATTCTGTATAAATAACTTCTATGTACAGTTAGAAGCTGTTCAGGTACAGTACAAATCATTACACATGCAACGCTGGTTTACATGCAATGACCTTTACATGGGAATTTATAATGAAAAGGTAACTTTGACAAGATTAGCCAATAGATTATGACAGGATTTTTTTAAAATTCATTGTAAACTCAACAATATTAAAGATACAATTTACATAGTTTGTTTTTGCATATAATAAACTTTGTAAATCACTTTTTATTCACAAGAACTTTTAAAAATTTTTTCTTAATTATGTATTCTGTATAAATAACTTCTATGTACAGTTAGAAGCTGTTCAGGTACATGTACCTTGTCTACTTACTTTGATATCATGTTCTAGTTTGTCTATTGCATACAACAAAACCCATAGCTCACCAAAACGTTATCTCGCTTATCAATTCCTAAAAGCTATCATGCAAAAATAAGGTGTCACAAAAAAATAGTGATTTACAGTATATCTTTAGGGCTCAAATACTCAAGACATGAAGAGGACTAAGTTAGTATAACTTACCTGTGACTCGAGTTCACACTTGAGATTACTGGCCCGTGACTTGATTATACCCAGCTGTTCGTACTCGCGGCCTTTCTCAGATAATAACTGCTCTTTCCTCTGTCTCTCCCACTCCATCTGTCTCTGTCGCTCTAGTTCTCGCCTCGCAGCCTATTTATACATAAAATGTAAAATACACACTATATGTGTAATAACCATCGTAATCCTCAATGTTTAACAGTATTCATTTGTTATCTGCTACATCATGTTTTTTATGTGTGTCTACTTTGAAAAATTATGAACATTCTTCTTTTGAAATGCTGCACTATAGAATTATTTTTATTTAATAGATTATCCAATTTGGCAATAAATTTAACCTTGTGAAATAAACTTTAACTTGCAATTTATTGATACACATTTAGTTACTGTACCTCTCTTTGTTCCATCATTTTCTGTCTCTGTTCTTCTCTCTCTCTTTCTATCTGTCTTTGTTTCTCCATCTGTCTTTCCATTTCTGCCAATCTTTTTCTTTCTTGTTCTTGTCTATGAAATACACAAGATAATGCTCAGTACATGTACCTTTCAAAAATAACAACAACAAAAAAATTTAAAAATCTAAATTACTGTCAAAAGCTTGATAATAATATTGTTGGAAGTTTAATCCTCAGAAATTCTACACTTTCTTCACATTTCTTAACATCACTCCTCATGCCAAAATACCGTATTTACTTTTCTACTTTCTACTATGCTTATGATCTTATGCATGTTACAAACACATTATTGTCAATCCTTCGTACCTGACTCTCTCTCGTTTTTCCTGTTCCTGCCTCTCTTTCTCCATCCTTGCCTCGTTTTCTCTCTTCATCTGTTCCTGTAACATCTGACGTCGCCTCTCTAACTCTGCCTGGCCCTTGTCAAAGTTCTCCTTACGACGGTCCTCAAATGTAACTGGCAAATGAAAGCAAAAGTCTCACTGTTGTTCACATCATTTGATTGATAAGCTATCCAAAGTAAAATCTTTTCAATTCTTATGAGCAGGCACAGCTTTAGTTCATCAAATTTAATTTCAAGATTAACAAATTTCCAAACTAATTTTTTTAAAAAAGGAAAACGTTTAATACAGCTATGCATATACAAGTAAAATAATGATGATAAGCATAAAAAGTTTGAATCAAAGATGAATATAATGCACATTTATCATGTTTTAAAGCAAATTATTTGAATGCAATGAATTAGAGACTGCTGCATCCTCCATGCACTTTAATATCAAGGCAAAATAAATACATACAGCCATGGACATCTTCTTGTTGAGCTTGTTCCTCCCCATTTGTGGCAGCAGCTGGAGGGGCAGGTTGGGGAGGGGGCATTCCCATCCCCCCTAGAAGGTCACCAAAGGCATCCCCCTTTGAAGGAGCTAAATTCAAAATGGCAACATGCAAACAATTAAATTTACATGTACATGATTATACAATAATTTTCATTCCAATGATATATCAAAATATTAAAAAAATCAAAATATCAAGTAAAAGTTCTTTATTGTCAAAGCAATATGCAATAAAAATATTCCATAATAAAATTATCATTATAATGGCCATAATAAGATGCAGCAAATGCTAAAGTTAAAATTCAAAATTTAAAAAAAACTGAGGAAATATTCAATTTGGTTGTAATTCCAATCCTGAAAAAAAAATCAACTTCATTCCCAACGTGCTTTTTAAATAAATAATATACATTCAACATCAATCTTTTTTGAACTGGTAATACGTGTATGTGTTTGGGAATCATTTATATATCTCCTGTGTAATATATTGGTAGCATGTCCAATCTGAAAATTTAGCAATTAACCTTTACCTTGAAAATATGCTCTATATCAAATCTAGCTGAACAGTTATCAAAGTTTATGAAGTGGACAGATATAAAAATATATGTAAATGATAATCTGACCCCCATTACTTAAAGGCTTTACAAGATTAAATGAAGTTGATATTATGTACAAGTACTGTATGCTAGAAATATATTGAACATGTATACTATGTGTTTTCAGGAAATTATTACCTTAATTTTTCACCAACTTAACTTTTGAAATTATATATTAAAATTGCATTTTTTAGTGTAATGAATTTCCATTAATAATCATTTTTAAAGTCACTGTACAGTTATGTTCTCAGTAACAATAAATGCATATTTTGTAATATTTCAAACAATATATATCATTGATATATCCATAACAAGTAGATGCATAAAGGGTATATTATACAATGTACATGTAAATCCTTAAAAATGTAAAGTAGATCCAGGTACAAACTTACCCCAATATGTATATAATTCTAAAATGCAAACAAACTAGGAAAATAGTGAGCTGCATCTTATTGTTATGTCTCTGTGATAGAACATGGCAAAAACTAGTAGTCCTCAAAACACAAAGAAATAGCCAGTGTAAAAAATAACTTTGGTACCTTGTGAAGCCGGAGGGGCTGGGGCGCTAAAGCTCCCGGACCGAGCTTTACCAGGAACAAGTTCAGGGGGCAGCACTGCGGGGAGGGGAATCCCCGTTTTGGCCAGGTCAGCGAAGTGCATGGCAACGCAGAACTCATCACAGGTTAGTTTACCATCCTTATCATGATCAGCTAACGTCCTGTGATAAAGTATATAATATTTGATTACACTTATTTACATCAATTTGTCATTTAATGTAAGAGGTGGATAATGATATCAATTGTTACATCATTCCCAATATATAATGTAACTTATATCAGTTATATGAGAAAAAAAGATATTGCAATACACATAAATTATAATAAAGTCCCATCCTAAATACAAATGTACAGAATATGTATGGTACATATATGCTGATATTCCAGTATCATTGTCACTCCATTTTATGAACAATTCCAGACACATGTACCGAAACTTAGACAAGTGATGAATATCATAAATTAATGAATTTAACACTGTTTAAGTGATACATGTAATGATATATAATTTGAATAAAATTAGATTGTTATTATATAAATATAAACATCATCATTGTCTTTAGAGTAATACAGGTGTTGCAAATGTTGTTAATTAATCTTACCAGATTTGAGCCAGAATTGGTTGTGGTAGACCAGTTTGAACCAGCAGTGATCTTGCTTCAACACCTGAAATACAGCAGTACATGTTTGTATCATTACTTATGAATTAGGATCTTATCACACAAAAAATTGTAAATTACAGTATCAGACCTGTTTACCCATATCGTCATCTCTCAGTATTTTTGATTAGATATCTCCGTGAGATTTGGCATTTCCCAGTAAGATTTAAATTTACGTCGATTTTATATACAATGTATATTAAAAGAGAACAACTACTATACTGATTACAAAAACTTGGTTTAACAACATGGTCATTGTCTTTTTATAATACCACATCGTTTTTGGCAACCCTATATCACTTAGGTGTTTAAAATTTTTCTCGTTTTAATCGACTCAAATACATGAAACGAAGAATATCATAACGAAAACTAACTGATAAATTCCAAACGAACGTATTTCCGATTTCCGTATTTTCATACAAGCAAAACGTGAGACGTTTTTTAGACTAAAAATCCGTACAAAATATGGTGAAATCATAAGAGTAAACAGGTCTGCAGTATAAAACAGGAAAATGAATCATTGTTTCTGGAGATGCAAAACAAGAGTAACTTCCATTCTAAAACTCCAGAGACATGGTAAATCCAGAGACATGGTAAAAGGAACATACCTGTTAAATGACCTCGTTTGTGTCTATCATTAGAATTGAACATCTGTGTATACTTCAGTTTGCTTGGATGAGGCATTGCCATATTCCTACAAATTCAAACTCAACATGTTCTATCTTGCAACAAAGCATTCATCTTTAATATAATCTTGATAAGTGCATTTTCTTTTCTTTTACAAGGTTTCCTTTATATTGATCAAATTAAAATGAAAGTGAAAATACAAACCCTGCTGCTGCAGCAGCTGGTACTGGCCCTGGTTGTCCAAAAGAACCAGTTCTTGGTTTGTTGCCCATCATTGCAGCAGGAGCTCCCATGGAAACTGCAGGTGCTCCCATGACTGCTGGTACTCCTTAAAGACAAGATCAGCCATGTTCACCACAAAATGTTCTTATAAATGGCAGAAATAGTCCATAAAATTATTTGCTTAAAGCTTTTTAAACTATCCGAATGCAGAAAACTCATAGAAACATACTTAAAATGTTTACCATCAACAAGTTACATCTTGCTTAATACTGTAAAAGCACAAGTATTCGAGGGGGATTAAATTTCGTTGTTAATAATTATCAACGAAATTAAATCCCACACGAAATTTTATATCACTATATTCTGAATATCCTTACTCTCAAAACAATGAAATTAAATGCTCACGAAACTATTTTTGATTACAAATCAACGAAATTTTATCCCCACAAAAATTTGTGCTTCTACAGTACATGTACTTTGCACTTTGTACATGATGCGGTACATCACTCACCCATCATTCCCTGTTGACCCATCATTGGGACACCATTAGTCATGATGGGCATCCCCATACTGCTGGGTGCTACAGCTGTTGGAGCCATTCCCATCACAGGCATTCCTATAAATAGCAACAATGTAATTTTTATCTTACTCATGGAATAGATGATGCAAGGTAAAAAAACTACACAACATCCACACATTTCAATATTTTTAAAATCATAATGCTGGTAGTTCCACTGATTTCGAGATATAAAAGTTTATGTGAAATTTAATTTAAAACTTACCCATTCCCATCACAGGTGGCCCTGCAGTGGACATTGTACCAAATGACCCCATAGCTGGGGAAGGGTCGGCCTTTAGTGAGGGTGGGAGGGTTTTAGGAAGCTCAAATCCTTGCAACTTCTTTTTTATTAAATGCATTGCTATTGAAAACTCCTTTTTGTCCATTTTCCCATCATTGTTCATATCAGCAAGTTGCCTAGTAAGAAAGATAATGTATTTTAGGCAGGGATGGCGGTAAAACGGTGTTTTATATAGCGAGGAAATCAGAACTTGGGAATCTTTTTGGCGGTAGGCGAGGGTGGCATTATAACGGGAAAATTACAATGGGGAGCACTGTATCTTTACATTCTCATAAGTGAAAATGGTTATTGTTTGACCTATCTACTGCTACACATGAAAGATAAATTCTTTGTAATTACAGCCATCCATCATTTGAGACTTTCAAAATTCTTCCTTCATTAGTTATGTCTGTATTTGGCTCTCTTACCATATTTGTCCTAAAACAGCCATTGGCAAGCCTGACTGAAGGAAAAACCCTCTAGCCTGTTCCCCTGTAAAAAAATCAATACTTTCTCATACACAAACAAACAAAATCAATGTCTTAGCATACAATACTTTCCTCTTCAAAATTGGACATGGATTTCTTTCAATGCATTGTCAGCAGCACTATGGGTATTGTAAATGTGCTTCAATAAAGGCTAGATAGAATACAGAGATAACAATTTACTTCCTGAAACTAACTAAAGAATGAGAATTGATACTTTTACTATGAATAATTCCTTTCTTTTCATTTTTTGTCGACAGTTATGTTGGCCCCGAGATTATATAATTTCTTATACTATGAACATTGTAAATTGTGGTGATCCTGACATAGCTAACCTGTGACAAAGCCATTGATTGGTTTGAGTTGGAAGAACTGAGAATCATGCTTGGCACGATCTTCTCCTGTTATTTTCCAGGCTGCTGCCCCTGAAACCAAAACAGACATTTCAAAATATAAGCCCTCACAAAGAAAATAACCAATACATTGTATGTCAACTCTACAGTTTCATTGCCAGAGGCCAGAAATGAAGCATTTAATTGATGTCTGGTAGCTCAGATTAAACTCCAAAATGATGGTTTCAGTATATACAACAAAAACAGAAATCTAAATTTATTATTAACATGATTAACATTTGTTTAATAGACAATTCAGAGAGAGAGAGTTTAGAATTAAATAATCAATATATATTTATAACCATGAATCCCTCTTTTACTTCTAATTTAGCTAATAGAGAAAAAAAAATCTAATTTTTTCATGATGTTGGTGATAACATATTACATTGTAAAAAAAAGACTTGTGTCAGGTCTTGTTCTATGGTGTATGCAATCAATAACTTTAAAAAATATTAAAAAGTAAAGATTATCAAGTGCAAACAGATTGACCTAGCATTTTAATTTAACTTGTGCATTTATCTGCTTAAATCATGACATTTTATGTTTATCAACATGATCAACTCTAAAGAGCTACAGTAATGAATGTATCTTTAGATAAGTACAAAGGTAAGTGCATTGTTTTCTCTAAGAACCGGCTACCGGCAAAATTGACAGCTTCAACTGAAAAAAAAAACTGCTTTGAAATAAAATTGCACAGAGATTCTGTTCATAAACCTCAGCTCATAGCCTGTTACAACCGATCTCTACTTTGCTTTACTTTGAAATAAAGGGGAAACACTGTAAGTGGCAAAAATTGAATGTTATATAATTTGTATTACTTGGCCATTTTTAAATCATAAAACTTCTGTATACTTAATTAATATTTGTCTTTTTTTTTTAAGACTATTAACTTTCAAATCAACACAAGTCAATCTGGACCAGGTCCTTTCACTAACTGAATTGGTAAGGATACCAGAAGTCTCTGTGGAGACTGAAGCTCTACTGGTTTGTACTTCAGGAAAGGAAGAGAAAAGTTGGGAACTGAAACTTTACCACAGCAATAAGGCCAGCATTTTTTTATTTTTAGGTTTACAAACCCGGCGCTCAGGTTTTTGAATTTTCAGAAAAAAAATAAAATTGAGAAAAAAAGAATTTTTTCTTTCCGATGTCAAATTTGAGTCGGGATCGAGATTTCAAATTTAGGCCAAACTTTTTTTTTCTCTTGGTTTACGATTCCGCCGACCCTATTTTTCCCTATTTACGAAAATAAAAATAATGTGTCTGACTCGAAATTTTCTCGACCAAATGACTGTTTTTATAATTTACAACACATCTTAATTAATCATTAAAGCCATTCAAGTGACTTCCACAAATACAGATTGCCAAACCACATGGCGGGACACCAATGACCAACCTAGGGGGCGAAACAGACTATTTCTATACTAATGACCAATGCATCGAATACTCTGTCGGAACTCCTCTAGATTTTACTCTTCCGAGTATGAAAAGTCCAGCGTTACAAGATATACACAACAAGACGCAAAACAGCTGGACAGCTATCGATGTCGTGCCAAAGATGTTGGAGAAGATTTTAGGTCTTTTTATTGTCAAATAATTAATTCATGCTGTGAATACAGACATATTTTTACTGTTAAATTGTAAAGTTATTAACTTTCTAAGAAGTTACACACCAGATCCGATAAACATAATTAGTTCAATCGGCATGCAGATGTGCATCAAAACTTTTAATAGAAAAAGAATTTTTTATTGAAAATAAGTTTGAAGGGAAATTAACAAAATTATGACTATGCCTGGATTGCCAAAAGCCTGGAAATCTAATGAAAGGAGAAATTTTAGAAGTTTAAGATTGACAGCTACTATGTAAGAAATGAAAAAAAAAAGATAAACAATTAATCTGACAATAAGAAACTTTTAAATTTTAATAATAGTAGTAGTAAATTTTATTCAATGTCAATGTTGTTTTATGATTTTTTCTAGATATTTATTTACCTTGTAATTGGGGGGAAATATCTTTTAAGATTCTTTTTTTTTTCCTTTTTTAATTATTTTAAATACAATGTTTTACAGAAAAATTATTGAAATGTATGTAAGTTATAAACAATGAAATAGTTTTATAACGATTTATTAATGTGTGCCATGTACGCGCGCCAAGAAGTCTCCCTAAATTTCAAAACTTCTCCCTAAATTTTTTTGAGGGAGATCGAAGGGAAGTCTCCTTAATGGGTCTAGGACTCTAGGTTGATCCTTTGACACACGTATCTTAGGGTAAAAGTTTGTTGTGAAAGCAATCCATCACTTTTGGAGTTTCCAACAACTTTTTCATAAAAGAAAAGGCTGACCAGAGAATAGCCGATTCACTTTAATTTTACCCATATTTGTCCCAGTGCAATGTGTCTAATATGAAAACTTGGACTTGTAAGTCGGAAGAATGAAAACCATCAACAGTAACAGAGCCTAGCTGATACTCCCATTTCTGTTCTTGAGTCATTTGTTTGTTGACGTAAAACCGAATGGTAAGAAAAAATAATAAAGTTGAAAAATCTTATGTGTTTATTAGTTTTATTTGATTCATTTCAATGCTACTCGAGAAAAAAATATGTCAAGGTTCCAAATTATTTTTATTTTTATTTTTCGACCGCCCAATGCATATTTTTGTGTCAAAAAATCGTAAACCAAAAAAAATAAAAACTTTGGCCTTACGAACTCGTACGTCCGGTTTTAAATGAACATGGCGGGTAATGAAGGGAGATTTGTGTCAAGTCCATAGCAGCACTAAAGCTTAGTTTAATGTAAATATTTATCGATAGGAGTGCCATTCAAAACATTTCACCCATTCAGAGAACAATAAAATGCTGACGACTTTGTTGCAAAGTGACATGTTGGTGAGATAATTATGTATCCGTATTCAAAAGAGTAACTGTCTGTTGTAAATTATTTTCCTCCCACAGGTTTAAAACTGCCCGTGGTAGCTATTGTCAGAGACATTGTTTAGGTTTCTGTCATAACTTACAGTCTTAGCATCATTCTTCAGAAAAGGGTCGCTTATGCATCAGATGTAATGAATAAAACTATGGGAGAAGTTAAGTCCATTTGAGGAAGAAATAAACAATAGCCTAAAGAAATAAAATATTTCAACTATTTAAAAACAAGAATATACAAATATATACAGGCATGTAGTATCTATTATGGCAGCCAGAAAAATTATTTTACACTTAATTGAAAAAAATTCCACCTTACTCCTCAATACTCCTTGGGAATACTCCCTGTCTGTTTTATGAAAGGAATTATTACTTTTATAGGTCTCGAGTATATTAATATTTTAGAATAATTTCTACCTAACACACATTAAAAACAAAAATGAAGATATATTAAAAGAGAGTTAAAAAATTGATTTTTTAAAAAAAATCTGTATTTTGTCCAACATCAAAAGATTTATATCAATGCCCCAAACTGGTAGATGATGAAGTAAACAATTAAATGTAACAGTTGTATTTTCCCCTTTGTAACCCTTATGTGTCCAGTGGCAAGAAGCCTGTTAGGAGAGCATAAAAAAAGAAGCAAAAATTAATGTAGAAAAGTCGATAATGTATCCAAAATATAATTTTATTATTTTTTTTATTTCCTCCTCCTACGGGACTTTTTCATTCTGATGTTCGTAAACCTAAAAATAAAAAAATGCTGGCCTAAAAAGAATAATGATCCTTGATTAAGTCTCTTTATGTTCTTAGTGTAGTCTACTTGCATGCCACATTATATTATAATCAGACTTAAACTGTATTTGGAGTAGAATTTTGAGAGTTTTTAACAGAAATTCCTATTTTTAGTAACAACGGCAACACCGTTCATCGAAACCAAAAACCGATACACAGAATTTTGTATCTTAAGGTAGTCTACCTGTGTGCCAAGTTATATTGAAATCAGACCAAAACTGTAGGAGAAGTAGCATTTTGAAAGAATTTTACAGAAATTTCTATTTTTAGTAACAACGGCAACACCGTCCATTGAAATCAAAAACCGATAAAGATAATTATGTATCTTAGTGTAGTGTACTTGTGTGCCAAGTTATATTGAAATCAGACCAAAACTGTAGGAGGAGTAGCATTTTGAAAGAATTTCACAGAAATTTCTATTTTTAGTAACAACGGCAACCCCGTTCATCGAAATCAAAAACCGATACACAGAATTATGTATCTTAGTGTAGTCTACTTGTGTGCCAATTTATATTGAAATCAGACCAAAACTGTAGGAGGAGTAGCATTTTGAAAGAATTTCACAGAAATTTCTATTTTTAGTAACAACGGCAACACCGTTCATCGAAATCAAAAACCGATATACAGAATTATGTATCTTAGTGTAGTCTACTTGTGTGCCAAGTTATATTGAAATCAGACCAAAACTAAAGGAGGAGTAGCATTTTGAAAGAATTTCACAGAAATTTCTATTTTTAGTAACAACGGCAACCCCGTTCATTGAAATCAAAAACCGATACACAGAATTATGTATCTTAGTGTAGTCTACTTGTGTGCCAAGTTATATTGAAATCAGACCAAAACTGTAGGAGGAGTAGCATTTTGAAAGAATTTCACAGAAATTTCTATTTTTAGTAACAACGGCAACACCGTTCATCGAAATAAAAAACCGATATACAGAATTATGTATCTTAGTGTAGTCTACTTGTGTGCCAAGTTATATTGAAATCAGACCAAAACTAAAGGAGGAGTAGCATTTTGAAAGAATTTCACAGAAATTTCTATTTTTAGTAACAACGGCAACACCGTTCATCGAAATCAAAAACCGATAAACAGAACTATGTATCTTAGTGTAGTCTACTTGTGTGCCAAGTTATATTGAAATCAGACCAAAACTGTAGGAGGAGTAGCATTTTGAAAAATTGTTTACAGACAGACAGACAGACGGACAGACAGACAGACGGACAGACGGACGGACGACGGACGCATTACTATCGCATAAGCTCTTCTGGTCTCTGACCAGTAGAGCTAAAAATCAGGAACATTTTTAAGAGCTTGATAAATATAAATTCCACATTCCCCCTTTTTGTAGCTCCTGGATCTTTTCAAGAAGATTTTTCACAGTCTGCAAGTTTTTCTTTTTAAAACAGATTTGTTATGCCAATTGCAAAAGCAAGATGCTGGAGACAGCATGTTTCTCTCTTGGAAGAATCAAAAAATTTTCATGGGGATGAATGGATAATAAAATAATAAATACACAACTTACCGGCTGCTGCTGCCATCTTTCTTTTCCTAGCCCTGTGCTGTCTTTATTTCCGAACAATCTTTAAAATAAATGTTAAGATCACAAATCATTTAAATTTTTTTCTCTGAAACCATTCACGCTATGTAGCTCATTTCTAGTGTACAATACCATACGTATTTGGTTCAAATGATTATCTAAATATTTTTTGTTATAAGTCTAACCAGAACTTATTGTAAATCAAGTGTATTTCAAGTTCTATCATGCCTGTCAAATAACTAAACATATGTAGATCTTTAATCTTTAAAAAAATACTTTAATATTGAACAACTTTGTTGAAAAAATTAGTTTTAATAAGTCAGTTTTACTACTTAAGGATCTATTTATTTCATTTCTTGATTTTTATTATTGCCAAAATAAACAAGTTCATAAATGACTGAACAGGTATAAATAAAGCTTTCAAAATTAATTCAATGATAGGCATTGTTAAACACAACACATTTCAAACAAACTAAAGGATTTCTGCCATCACTCTTCAGACAGAAGATGTAATGGTGTAGCATGAAGTGTACAAATTCTGTAAAATATCAAAATATCTTAAAGATAACATTTTTTTTACACAAAAAACTTTCAAAAGATAGAAATCTGATGTTTAAAATTACATCATTGCTTTCAATTCAGATTTTTATGATATTTATCAGAAATAAACTCCCCCTTTCCAATCACATCTTTAAAAAAGATTGAGAGGTAGTAAACATTTTTTTAAAAATTATCTCTGTAAGATGGACACGATATATTACATTAGGATAAAACAATAATAATATCCTTGAAAAAGAATTAATCACTGTTCAACTCACTTTGTTGAAACAAGTTTAGAAACTGAGTAAAATTTTAAGAAAACTTCTATTAAAAGATAATTTTGATAGGTTGTCTATTACACTATATCTTTTGCAAAGCTTACAAGAAAATATGAACAGGGGCACAAGTTTGATTCCTATCATTGTTATTGATTATACTACCAAAATTATTAAGCATATGTGCTACCATGTCCAATAGTGTCCCAAGCATATTATTTAGAAAAAAAAGAGAGAACATAAAATATAATTTACATTTATAAATTTAATTCTATAATAATCATTAACAATAACATGAAACAGCCTAAGGCAACATTGTCCAAAACAGTTGTACATCATGTACGTTGTGTCATTTATATGCCTTCAACAATTCTAATTAAATTTTATTCTATATGTTATAATCAGTTTCAAAATTGCCAGTTATCTTTGAATACTGTGCGTTTAATGTTTTGGTACTTATGTCTAGCATTTTTTTTTTCTTTTTGCAAGTCTCAGTTTGGGAAGTTTCTATAACATGTATAAGCCCTGAAACCAATTTATACCAATAGTTTTGAGATTGCAGACTATTTTACAGATGAGCTGCTTTTCATGTAAATAACACTTACATCTGTTAAAATGAAATGGAAAGGAATTTAATAAATACATATGTGAACTGTGATAGAACACAGTCGAGTGCACAACCAGGGCATTAGCAAATATAAATCAGGGTAACTTGAGGAAGAATTCAATGGATTTATTCATGCGGTCACAGGTCAAAATTGTGCTTAGTCAATTGTCATTTAATGATAAACCTAAATTCTGCTGCATCATAATCCTACTGAAAAGAAAATAATCTCCTTGAGCTACAAAAGCTGCTACATAAATTTCAATCGGTTTAATTATGGGCTGCCGGAGCTGTCTGCATTGCGGATACTTACCATCTCGGTGCAGCTATTAATCCTTGTCGTTACTGCATATCAGTAGACTATCATTTTTACTGTTGAAAAAAATGAGACTAAACCGATATTTACTTCAAAATTATTAAAAATCCTAGTAAAAACACATCAAAGTACACCCAAGAACAACCGGAACCTGGAAAGCCTTATGGGAAAAGTAGGCGTTAGATCAACTTCCGGTCTACATTCTAGTTTCACTTTACCAGTTAACACACATGTCAAAAATGGATAGATTTGAAAACTGAGCGGTTTTTAGCTTTTAACTTTATAGCAGAGAGAATGAGAACACTGATTTTGGACGTCCAAAACGAACAAAACCAAAAATTCGTTTTAGAAGCTAATGTAACTTTTTTGTTCAGATCATGCCTATTTGACAGTCTGATCAATTTAGTATCACCTCTGTAGAGAAAATGTATTGCCCAATCATTATGATAATAATAATATGTACATTTTTATATATCTAATTTCTTTTAAAATTCTTTATTTTTAAAGTGTATCAGTGAGTCTTTTTTACTTTGTTTTTATGTTCTCCATACATAAGCTACAGTATGTGAACCCTTTGAAATAAAATGTAGTATTTGTATTTCAGGAAGCTGACCCTATCCCTGATAAATATGATATTGTTGTCCAGGTGAAGGCATGTGCATTATCATCACCTAATTTTAAGGTAATCATATTGCTTGAGATGATTTTAGAATACAAGTTTGGGTAGCTGCAGTTCTTTTATAAATCCCAAATCATGATCAAAATCAGATCCTCAATGCTCCCTTTTTTCAGTATATGTTGCTTATGAGGCCTCATAAGCAACACATCATTAAAAAAATTGCTAGACACAAGTCACTTGCATTGAAACTTTCCAGTGCAATAAATGTTTGATGTTGTCAGTTGTGGAAGCATGGGCCTATATAGAATAAAGAGGAAGGTGGCAGATAGGTAGTTTTATGAGAAATGAGCAGAAAAAAATCGCAGTTAGTAGAGAACCTTTCAGGAATAGGTTTCCAGACAGACAAGCTTATTAGAACCTGTACACAATTGATCAAAAAATACCCGAAGTTGGTCTTCACATAATCTACCTGTTTGAAGAGATTAAGGAATTAGATGGTCATAATCAAGTCTTGCAATTTACTAGCTTTCTTAAGAGTGATTTGGAGTAAAATCCTGGGATCTAAGCACAATGAGATGTTGATACATAAACATGAAACAACTTTGATAATTGGTCATGTTAAGAAACTTTTATCACCGCAGTGAAATTCAAGATTGAAACTGAATTATTAATGATGAGAAATTAGTGAATTAAGAAATAAGATAAAAGATTTTTTAATCAACTTAATTGTATCATTTATACACTGTATTTACAATACACATTCACTATAGGTGATCAATGGAATTAGCAACCAAATGAATCCTACATCAAAGTATATTTTATTACTCTATAATGGTAAATATATAAAACCAAGTGTGAAATTTTATACCTTTTTGTAATTTGATTGACCAATCTTTCCTCTGTTGTCAGGTTCTTTCAGATGTTTATAAAAAGTATCCTCTATCTTTTTCTAATTTGACTGAACAATCTTTCGTCTGTTGACAGGTTCTATCAGATGTTTATAAAAAGTATCCACGTAGCCGCTACATTGTGGGGTATGAGGTGGCTGGCATTGTCACTCAGAAGGGACCAGAAGTCAGTAATGTAGCTACTGGAGATTCTGTTGTTGGTAAGATTTCTTTTATACCTTAGTTTCGAATATGATAGATTCCTTAATGCTTTCTGAGTGAGTTGTATGTAAAAAAGGTACATATTTAATTTGTAAACAGGTGCATGTGTGATAATAAACTTTCTTGTTTTTTTCTTCTTTCTTAGCCTTGTTTTTTAGTTAATTCAAGTACATGTACATGTATATGTATGAGATGTCTTTTTTCATATGCAGGTATTGTTTCCTTAGGAAGTCATTACTCGGGATGTGGGGAGTACTGTTTGTTATCAGAGTATGATGTTGGTAAGCATTCTTCAGGTATACATGTACGAGGGTTGATCCAAAAGTAATGTCACAACTTCAATAAAATCGCTATCCGTCGACGTAAAACAACAAAATTATAAATGATGAAAGCTACATTTATTTCAAATCAGACCTGAAAATTTCAATTCAGCATGATTTATACTTTTCAAAATATCGGATTATATACAACGTGCGATTATGGTAGTGGCCGCAGCTAAATAACGTCATATGACGGATACGCGCCATCATACATTTAAACGCTTCCCTTCATTTCATTAAAAAATATTTCAGATTTGATATCCACAAACACGTTCACAAATTTCACTTTCTTACCCTTAGTACCCATCGGACACTTACTCTTTTCATAATTAATTCTGTCAAAATTCATTGAACAGTAGTAAAAGACCAACTTAAAATTTCACATATCGCTCTATACGTCTGTCTTTTTGACAACGTCACACACCATTGAACATTTCCGTCCGCCCTCCCATCTTTCGGTTTTCTTGTCATCTGCTGAGCATTTAAAGCCATATATGGCATATGTACAATAAAAATTATTAGACTAAAATTATAAGAACTTATTAGTTGTATCATTACTTTATATAAAGATAGAACTTTTCTGTACATTACAAAATCTAAGTCAATTGCGTTATACAGATATCACAATTTAATTTGGATTCTCGGAATTTTCTCCGACTCGGAAGAAAATACAAAAGATTTAAATAACACATTACAGAGAAGATAAAATCGTATTATTATATGAAACGAGGTGTTCTCCGTGTTCAGAATTGTATGAAAAGTTTTAATTTAAATGTATTAACTATATTTCTTGACTTAATTTTGTATTTTTCAAAAAAAATATTTTTTTGATCAGTTACGCCATTTATGGCTTTAATGACCCATCACCCACCGAAAATCGCTGAAACCAATTAAACAAGTCTCTTATTTACATTCTTTCCTCCGAAAGTCTGGTGAATCAACGTAACTTTCTCTAATGACGACTTCTCCATTTTGAAGCAAAAATGCATTACAGTTTGTTTTTAGCTTTTTTGTCCATTTTGACATTTCCTTTTTTCAATGCACCGGAATAAATCAACGATGTTTTTCATAAAAAATAGCAGTGATGTCATATAATTTTCAATTTAAGACTAGAAAATGATGTAAATTTTTGTCTTTTAAAGTATTTTGCATTTAGGCGCTTTTAAAAGATGCTTTTTAAGTGTTTGTTTTTTTTTTGTACTAAAAAAGTACACTTTAATTTGTGACGCTCGGTTTTGACGTGGCGACACCCCTATCTTATATGTTTTAAACATCTATAAAGTAAATTCAGTTAAACATTATTGAATGAAAAATTAAAGTTTAATTAAATTTATATTTGTGCATTTTTTGGTATATAATATTTGATAATATGACACCAAATATAAAAGATATGGACACTGTGACATTACTTTTGGATCAACCCTCGTACAACACAAGCATATAGATGTAATGCTATTGCAATCATATTTCAGAGTTCGGCGCAAAATTCTTTCTTGAGGTGTTCATATATACTGCCAAAATGTGAATTTATATGGAGATTATGATTGCTCTAAATTTAAAAATTTGCAAAAAATATATATACAGTAACAAATTGAATATTCAGAATAACTTGTCTTTTAATTTTTTTTAATTCTACGTCTTATATTAATATTATCTAGAATTCAAAAGTAGAATCTCATAATTCCATAGTTGACTGAGACTGAAGTGAAACTGAAATTTTAAATTGTCTTCTCGAAGTAAGAACATAAGATAAGCAGAATAGAGTTAGTTAGAAAAACAATTAGATTGAAAAAGGTTATTAACTATTGAACTTCAGTTTCTAGAGCTTGAATATCTGGAATACAAGGAATTTTCAGAATGAGTTAAAAGTCTTAACTTTAGAAAAATAAAACTTTTGTTAGTCTTACTGAGCTAACAAGGTTTTGACTTTATGTCATTACTTTCAGTGAAGAAGCCAGAACGCCTGAGCTATGAGGAGGCAGTAGCAGGCATTGGTGACTGCCTAAAGGCATACACTGCCTTATACTACCATGCACATGTCTGTAGCGGAGATACAGTCCTCATTATAGATGGGGCTTCGTCATTTGGAAATGTTGCCATACAGCTAGCTAGTCAATGGGGAGCAAAGGTGTGGTCAACTATGAAGGATAAAGTATTGCAATGCATGAAAATTCAATGTACTAGCATTAAAAATACAAAAATGATAATCCTAATTGAAGGATTCATATGATAAATATTATATTTACTACTTCAATTTTCAAATCAGATTTCCAGTTACTGAAGTTACTTTTACATATTATTTAAACAATATTTAATCATAAGTTTCACCATTTTCTGAATCTTGGTTTCAGGTGATATCTACTGCCAGTAGCAATGAGGAAAGAGGCATTCTGGAAAACCTAGACACCCCAATAGGTACAGCTAGTTAAACTGATACATGTACTTTTCCAAGTGCATGCTAAATTTTACAGACGTATGCATTAAATTGTGTTTGCTTGTGTTTAACATCCCTTCTAGAAATTGTAACTCATATCAAGATGCCACCACTTGCAAGTGGAGGGCTACAAATTATGATATGTACTCAACACATTGCATTTGAGCAGTGAGGGATCTTAATCATGCAACACAGGACCTTGTTTTAAACAGTCTAATTCAAATTACTGGTCACCATGTCCAGTAATGGAATTCGAAACTGCGACGCAAGGATCAACCACTTACATTGTTGCTAGAGCAAACACTGTAACTACAACACCACATGGGTGACTGCAATTTTATTTTCTATAAATTTAAATGTTGTTTATCAGCTCAGATAATTGACCTTGACCAGAGAAGTAACATCCTTGTCAGCAGTGTGATGGAGGAGACGGGAGGTGTGGGGGTGGATGTTGTCATCGACAACGGAGGTAAAAAAAAAAAAAATAATGAAACAGTATATTTCATTCACAATGATAGCCTGCTGACTTTAAGGAATTTTATTAAGTTTTCTGTCTTGTATTTCATTTACTGTCATGTTTTTGTTTTAGTGCGACAATTCAATGATGAAGAAGACCAAAAGATAGTGGGAGAAAATTTAAAATATCCCAAACCACATAAACATGATGTCATTTCCTGTCTAGGTGCCTCTGGGAAATGGATCACACAGCAGCCAGGCCTCCAGGTACATAAATACATGTACACATAATGTCACATTACTCCTACATGTAAGATCCTTAGATAACACCATTCCTTACACTCCTTGAGGTTATAAGTATCCTGTCATAAACCTCTAGCATGCTAATGTTTCCCGCATGCCATGGTGCAGTGGTCAGAGCGTCTGCTCTAGAGTTGCAAAGTAAGGGGTTGATTCTTACATCTCGAGTTCCAATCTCACTGTGGGAGGTGGAGACCGGTTCTTCAGATGAGACCATATAAACTGAGGTCCCGTGTCATAGTAGTTGGCACAAAAAAGATCTCTCCCTGCTCAATGGCTCTAAGTGCCAAGTATAGGACAAAATTTGCAGCTCTCCATTGGCAAGAGAAGGATATGGAGATAACGAACACTATTCAATCTCAAAGTCCATAAAACAATACAAAACAAGAGCAGAGCAAACACGGACCTCCAAAACACCAGAGGTGGGATCAGGTGCCATGGAGGAGTGAGCATCCCCTGCTGACCGGTCACACCCGCCGTGTGCTCATTGTCATGATCGTGAAATAACGGAAAAATCCGTCGTCAATTCAGTGTATAAATAATGGACTAATAATTGGTATGAAAAACGCCAGTCAGCATTTGACTCAATAATGAATTGTATTTGCTGACAAGGTCATTGTATTGACCATAGAACTTACGAAATGATGACTTTAGACGAGACTGCTGATATTCATGTTTCATCAACTTGCTTGTCAATAATTTACCTTGTTTTAGAAATTGCTCATATGTAGAGCATGCTCTTGCGTATCGAATCAACTGAGATATATACACTCCGTATGCAGGTGATGAAGGTATATTGCTGCATAAGTAAGGGAAGTTGACAATAGAAAAGGTAAAGTTGTCATGTTTATCATATAACTTGGTTGTTAGGTTACCATTAACGTCTTTTTCAAGTAAAATATTCAAGTATGCAAGTGGTGGCATCTCCATATGAGTGAAAAATTCTCAAGAGGGATGTTAAACCTTATACAATCAATCTAGCATGCTGAAGGAAATGTCACATATACATTTACAACATTTGATCCTTATTTTTTATTGAACATCAAATATAGATGTTATGAAGATTACCTATCCTTCTTAATACAGATGCTTTTTATTACATATATCACTTTGCCATATAGAAATTATTGGTCATCAAAGATTACCAAGCTCACATTGATGAATCTTTTAATATTGTAAAGGCAAACAAAGTCTCAAATGAATGGAAATGAATGATCAGGTTCTGTGCATTCCTAGATGCACATCAATGTAGGTTTCGTTTTCAAAAGATTAAAAATTTTTAGGGAATGGATTTAATAAAAATCTTTGTATTTATCACCTGAAAATGTAGGTAAGATCATCCAGGCCAGATGCTGAATCAGAAGAATGTGTGCTACCATACAATTTAGTCTAAGTAGGCTCTGTAGTTACATGCACTTGGAAATGGACTAGCTTTAAATAATGTAAGAATTTGATCGTTCATCAGAATAATGTATATTAAGTCAGATTCAGCACCCCAAGCATGATAATGGGTATCCCTAAATGCATCATCCTTGTTAGATTTATCAGCAAAGATCTTAGAGTTGCGGTACATGAACTTGGAAATTGCCCAAAAAAATTTTAACCAGGTCACTCATTTGGAGAATAAAGGTAACATCCTGCATCCGAGGCAGTATGCATCCCTAAATGCATAATCTGTGTAAGTTTTATCTAGTCATTTATAGTTATGAAATGAACCTGCTCCAAAATTTTAATCTAGTCACTCATCTGGAATATTTAGGCCAAATTTAGCATCTCAAGCTTGTCTAAAAGTATCCATCTGTAGAAGTGTTATTCTTACAAGTTAGGTTACCGTAAGATTTGAATGGACCTCCTCCAAACAATTTTTCCATGGTCATTCATCTGGAAAATGTAGGTCAGATCCAGTCAGCATCAGAAGCATGACTCAGTATATACCTCTCAAGATGCATTATCCATCCAAGTATATGGTCACCATAGGGTCAATAAATACCTTTGAAATGACCTGCTTCAAAATCTTTAACGTCTTAACTCATTTATTTACTTTTTAATTCATATAAAATATGTTATTGATTTTTTTTTCAAGCTGGATCCACCAGATTGCCAGAAATTATTTCTCAGAGGAGGGAGTGTTCACTTCCTGTTTGAGAATATATGGACGTTAGCGTACTCACAACATGGACGATTCCAGCGTGAGTATAAAACCAATGAAGCTCGTACATGTCAAATCACCTTTGTTATTCTAATAAGGGATTTAAAATAAAAAAAAGACATTTAACATGATCAAAAAATGCTTTGTAGACATTCTCCAGGATGCAGTGGAAAAACTTGAAAGAGGGATTGTCAAGTAAGTATACTAAAAAATGACCTTATTAATATCTTTCTGTATCAATAACAAACACAGTCCATGTGTTATTTGAGATGATAATTTTTGCATCTGTGTATGAAGCCCCATTTGGCCTTGTTTGCTAGATTGATGCACCAGAGAATGCATAGATTCTATGAGACTATGTTTCTAGCCAAATCCAACCTTAATTATTAGTTTGATGAATCATTTTTTTTCTTTAACAAATCTAGTCTACTTTTCTTAACAATACCACTGCATCAATAATTGTCTATTACTGCTATTTAATATTGATAATGCATTTGACCTAATAGCTTATTTTCTGTAGGTCAGCCTAATGGACTATATTACAGTGTATTCAGAAGAGTACCTCATGAATGTTTTTTCTGGGAGGGGGGGGGGGGCTTCTTAAGATTGTACTTGCATAAATCCAAGGTACATTCTTAAATCTATCAAGGAAGATTAAATTCCCATGAGTGATACATGTAACTCAATACCAGCAATATTGCTTCAGATCCTGCATCTTATATACATGTATATTCAAGAAATGAGATTTTTTGAATATAAAATTCTCAGAAAAGATATTTCTCTGACAGTAAAGCTGTAGTCAAACTTGGATCATGCTTGCATACTATATTAACTCCTTTGAATGTGTGAATAATAGAATTCAAAATTGCATATCCAGTAACTCCTGATCTGATGGCATGATTTTGAAATAAATATGTAACTAAAGCCAATAGAAAATTTAAAAGAAGGTAAGTTATAAAACAATGAAGATCTTTAAATATCAATACTTTTTAGGTGCAAGATATCAAAGACAATCTCCCTTGATAGTGCAGCTGATACCATGAAGACTCTACAAGACATTCGTACAGGAAAAGTTGTTGTGAAAATATAATCTACCACTTGTGCAAAGACATCAGTTCAGGAAAAAGTTGTAAAAATAAATCTACAACTTGTACAAAAACAAATATTTCTCTGAAGGTAATGAGGAATCTTTATCACTGAGTTACCAATTTACCTTGTCTGTTAACTCAAATATAAATGAAATTTACCAGGTCAACAAGTCTCACTATTGAAAGTCAAGAATACTATCAACATTTGATAGTTCTCAGAGACCTAACAAACATGTACATGTACATGTAGAAAATAGACACGTTTGTACCTGGATAAGATTGATGAAAATTCAAAATTATTAAAAAGAACAGTCACGTCTCTGTATACATTCGTCATTTCTCATAATATAGTATATCGATTGTCATCATCATTTTGGTCTTTTTTCTTTGAATTAATGTATTCATGTTAAATCATGTACATTGTATATGTACTTAAGTTTGAAGAATAAACAACAGAAAAAAAAACCTTGTGTCATTTAGTTTTATTAACTTCACAATACAGGATCTGAGGTAATAAAAAAAGAAGTGAAACAGGTAACAGGTAAAGAACAAAACAATGAATATTTACACCTAAGTCTCTGACGTTTAGAAGCTGCACATGTGCATGGGCTGATATCAGGTACACCAAAGAGTGCAACTTATTTTAAAAAGGGGACATAACTCAAAGCATAACAATTAACACTGAAAATATGTATATCAACCTTTTCCTATCTTGGATATATTGGTTTAATGTATATTAACACAACATTTTGCATAGCATAACTTCATAATGTTTTTACATACTAGTATATAACTTGCAAATTGAGAACTCTCTAATGTAGCTTTTATGCCAATGTAAAAACAAAAGGACATAGCATTCTATGCTATAAAAATACAATTGTCTTTACAAAAAAAAAAAAAGTGAAAATGTAAATCTACACCTACAACATAACCAAGGAAATGACTTTAACCATGTAAACCAATATTTTAAAAGCTTAAAGATTTTTTGGAATGGAAAACCAAGAGCAGATTTATTTTTATCTGCTAAATTGCCATATTTGCACAAAAAAGTGAAATACTATGAAATAACCAACTACCAACATTGGAAACAACAGAATTCAAGTTTTTAGGTTGATCACTATTATAATTTGTGTCTCCCAGCTATTTCTCTTAAAATGCACCAATCTATACTCAATGTCTGTCACAAAATACACATTCATTTCTCTTCAAACATATCTATGTTTGAGTTATAATTGCACAACTTGCAGTCATTAAAAAATGTGTAAACCCCTTCCAACAAATGGGAGAAGTAAAATTTATATCTTCCATTTGTAATCAGTTCAAATGTAAATCTAATGACAAAGCTAGCTGCATGCAGATGTGACTACAGTACTCTTACTGTATTTTTGTGCAACATAAAAATGTGCTTGTCCAGGTTTACAAAATTACATGAATGAAAAAAAGGTTTTTAAAAAAATGAACATGGAAAGATTAAAAACATGTTAGCTATTTATAGCTTTGTATACTCATGCACTCATTGTCAAAAACACTCAAACAACATGGAAATGTGAACAAAAATGGGAAGCATACAGTCATTTAAAATTATTGCGTCTTTCTTTCCCTGGGTTTCCAAGACTTCAGAAGTTGATATGAAAAGTAAATACCGAATCCATGAACCTGAATAGCTATAAATAGAAATAAGTAGAACACAAGAACGGCAGGGTATCCAAAAAATTGTCCAGTATATTTCTTCTCATTCAGATATGCGTACAAGTCATCACTTTGTTCTACGAGTCCAAAAACCACAGGAATAATACCAAAGAGTATGGACCCCACAACGTACTGTTTCAGAAGTTTAATATCATTTTTCGCCATGGATCTCCACCCAACCAATATTGCCATAGTACACACCATCCAAGCATACTCCCAGGGTCGGGGTGGAGGAAAGTTCCATTTTCTGAGTGAAGACACTGGTCCAACACCGAGGAATGAAGTCAGCCCAGGAAGGACTCGAATGAACATCAACAAACTCAGCACAATGTGAGTGATCAAGTCTGTCCGAAGTCTGGACTTGTTCAGAGAGCTGCAATGAAAATGCATCCAATAAATACTAGTAAACAGAGTTAAATATGAGTGCACATTTCCACAGTTATCATAGCTTTTTAGGCAACAATGCTTGTTCATTACGCCCAATTTTGATTAGGATAAATTTGAATCTACAATTTGTACAAATTGTAATGAGCTGTTTTCACAAAGTTAAATGTGTTTTGTGTTCCTCTCTTTTAAAGAAGGGGGAAAATGTTTTCCATCTTATTTTCAGTTCTTCGTGATGATATATTTTATGAACCCTAAATAGGGTACAGTTTCTCTTTTGTGAAAAAAATTAACCCTCTCCCTCAAAGGACTGGATGATTTTTGGAAAAGTTTGTCCCTGGCACAGGGGCTACGAGATTCTTAAGCAGTAATAAGAGTAAAAAATTGACAGAAATACATACGGTATGCTTGTTTTCACTGACTTTATTGATTTTTTTAAGAATGAGCAGTCAGATGTTCAAACTTCTTCCAGCTTAATTCATTTAACTATATTTCTTTATGTGTGATGCTTTGAGTTTAGTATTTAGATAATTCAATTTGTGTGTGGTTTAATTTATTGAATAAGACCACAGATAGGCATATTTTATTTTATGTTAGATCAGTATCATGTCTTATAATGTGAGCTAGTTATATGTTGATTATATTTTACAGTGAAAATCCCTTATTTAACATTTTAAGCATATATTATTTATGTGATTTATGTCTGATTGTTGATATTGTCCCATGTTTTATCTGAATATATTTTGTTGATTAAAAATTATTGAAAAGAATATTATTTAATCCTTCTGTTATTGATACCCAATACACAATGAATCTGAAACTCAGAAAGGCTGAAAGCTATGATAAAGTTCCATAGCCCATTGTTTAACCGCTTCAAATATGTTAACAAATAAAAGATCACTTTTTAATAGATAACTTTTTTTCAATAAATGTAGTACGTCGCACCAGCTAGTATTTCAACTAAAAACACTTCAAAGAGCTCTGCAACAATTAAGGGATACATATGCATAATGACTTACAAAATATTAAACTACGATTTTAGTTATTGAGATAAAGACCATTTCCATGGAACTAACTTCCCGAATCAAGAGTTTCTGATCCATTCTGCACCACATAAACCTTTTACAAATAGATTGACTTTGACAGAGTTAGAAATGCCCTTATCATTGGCCTCATATAAGTTTGCATGAGCCAATTAAAACATTGTTTTCACTAACCTGAAAAGGAAAAGCACATGTACTCTGATGTATAAATTAAAAAGATGTTTGAGTTTCTGATTGATGATATTTATCAATTTTTGGAGATCAGGTGATCAACAATATGTTGGATATCCCATGGGTACAAACTGTGCCCCTTTGTTAGTAAACCTGTTTTATGTATTTTTATAATTGAAGCAGTAGAATTTATATTTAAAAACATAGGTAATCAGAGATTACAGAGCTCACCTCAACAAATGTTGTCTTTAAGTAAGGCAAATTAAGTCACACAATTAACCAACAAAAAGTGTACATCCAAAAATGCAAAATTTATGCAATTTTGATACTTTGGAATAGACCTATATAAAAACTTAAAACTAGTTCTTCATCATGAAAATATAATTAAAATCCAGCATCTGAAGCAAGATTGAGAGTTTTCATCCCTTGATGCATCATTTGTGCAACTTTGGTTTATATAAGCCTTATAGTTTCTTGGTGATAGACCTGCACCCATAACTTTTACGAGGTCAATTATCTGGAAAATGTATGTTGAATTCAGCATCTGAAGCAAGTCCATAAGTGTGCATCCTAAGATGTATCATCCATGCAAGTTTGTTCAACATAGAGCTCAAAGTTTGGTAATGAAACCTGTATAAAAAACTAACCTTTTCACTAATCCGGAAAATGTAGGTCAGATTCAGCTTCTGAAGCCAGCCTAGTAGAATGCACCCTTAGATGTACCATCCATGCAAGTTTGGTCATTATAGGGCTCAAAGTTACTTGGAAATGAATCCTGCACCATAAACTTTAACCTGTTTACTCAACCGGAAAATGTAGGTCAGATTCAGCATCCAAAGCAAGTCCGGTAGTATGCATCCTAAGATGTACCATCCAGGCAAGTTTAGTCATTATAGGGTTCATAGTTATTAGTACCTTGGAAATGAAACCTGCACCAAAAATTTTAACCTGTTCACTCCATCCATGCAAGTTTGGTCATTATATGTCTCATAACTTGGAAAATGTAGGTCAGGTTCAGCATCCTAAGATGTACCATCCATGCAAGTTTGGTCATTATAGGGTTCAAGTCTTGTAATTTATGCATCCTGTAAGATGTACCATCCATGCAAGTTTGGTCATTATATGTCTCATAACTTGGAAATGAAACCTGCACCAAAAACTTTAACCTGTTCACTCAACCGGAAAATGTAGGTCAGATTCAGCATCCGAAGCAAGTCTGGTAGTATGCATCCTAAGATGTACCATCCATGCAAGTTTGGTCATTATAGGGTTCATAGTACCTTGGGAATGAAACCTGCACCAAAAACTTTAACCTGTTCACTCAACCGGAAAATGTAGGTCAGATTCAGCATCCGAAGCAAGTTTGGTAGTATGCATCCTAAGATGTACCATCCATGTAAGTTTTGTCAACATAGGGCTTATAGTTACTCGGAAATGAGACCTACACCAAAAACTGCACCAAAAATGTTAACCTGCACCAAAAACATTAACCTGGTCATTCCTTTGCTGAAATTGCAGCATCTGAAACTTTGACTGGTACAATGAAACACATTAGAAACATCTTCCATGCATGTCTAATCAATATAGGACATAGAAGTACTTAAAAAGAAAACTGCTCCAAAAAACCTAACCTTAACCCAGGACGCCGACGCCGAGGGTATCACATAAGCTCCCCCCAACTTCGCTGAGGTGAGCTAAAAACTTAAACATGGGAGGAAGAAAACACTTGGCTTCACATTTAGATATTTGACAACATACAGGGTTCGACACTAACATTCTTAGGCTTTGATCCGGCCGGACTAGTGCTTCTTTACTTTTACTAGTCCGCCAGCAATTTTATGAGTCCGTCAAAAATATAAGTAAATACATGTAAATAAAATTTATGTTGCAATGTATTTTTATACTCTTTTGAAATAAACAGAGCATTTACATAAAATGTTTATACCAAGAATTCGTTGAAATAGCTCAATCAGGAACTACGATCGTATTCCCGATCTCATTTGTTTTTCTCTATACATTATTACATCATCCAAACATCCGACATCTTTCTTTATTTGTTATACTAAATCATGATAGCTAAAATGTTTAAATTCATACCAATGAGTCTCATGTCTATAGTTACAAGTTTCACACTATGCCCATACAAGTTTGATCAGAAAGGCTTTTTTGAACTTCTAGCAGGCAATGAACTCCTTACTCTGTGACTCTACATACAGCAAATGCACTGACCACTGCATGACACCCGCAATGCATTATGTACTCTATTAGTGGTTGATCTATAGGAGGTTTAGAACAGTCAACTTGAAACCCTGCATGAGACAAACTTTTTTACCCAAAGATTATTTTATAAAAATAACGTTATCTCCACCGTGTCGCTGAAACGATAAATCTTTCCCTACTGCTGTTCAGTTATGAAGCTGCTTCACATCAATATGATTGAACAATGTCACCAAAAAAATACGAGTATGTCTTGTTCTGTTATTTGTCTTGTGACAAATCAAAGTTACGTGCATCAATTCATTAGAAAATTACATTAAACTTTGAAATTTTAACTGATAACTTACTCTTTCATCCATGGTGCACTATTAAACATTCTCTCAGATAATGTAACCTCTCCAAAAAAAACTACTTGTACATGTCTTCAGGTAGATAATGAGGGTAAATGGGGGATAGATTTAGCTAGAGCATGCTCAAGATGCTGCGAATTATTCAAGTTACACTTGGAAAAAGACAGATTCCCATGTTACATCAGAAATTTGTAACAGATCTTTGACCTCATACCTAAATTTATACTGCCAGGCAACACTTTCTCTGTGCCAGTGATCGCTCCCGTCCGTGCCAACAGGTCGAGGTCCATATTTGGAAGCCATGCCGTCGGTTCTGCTGTCTCTCTGCGAATGCAACGTTTCACTTGCCGGGAAAACCTCTTCCGGCTGCCGCTTAAATCATCAGCAATACGAGATTTTAAAAAAATTATTGGCTAATTTATGCTGTATTTATTAATCAAATATATCATAAATCTGTTGATTTCTTTATTTCTTAAAGTTAACTGAATATTTTTGTAGTGAAGTCGAAAAAGAAATCTTTTTTTAATTGGTGTAAGGGATGTAAACAAGAGTGGACTTGTTGACGATTTTTCAGCTTTTTGAGATTGCTTTATAGCTCTTTAAAGTTTTCAAATGAGTTTATTCAAACCATCACATGTTTTTGCTAATCTCCCGGATACAGCATCAGAATTAAACAAGATGAATTCATTTGCAAACGATGAAAATCAAATCACAGAGGCCAAAATTGACAATCGTGTAATCCAAGTTTCCTCTGTTGGAGTTGTTACACTGCCACCTGACAGATGCAAGCTCACTATCAGAATAACATCCACAAAAGAAACTGTAGCAGATGTAAAAGAGAGCACTACAAGAAGGCTAGATTACATCATACAGACGCTTCACAATCATTCAGTGAAGGTAATAGTTTTTTTTTGGTTTACTTTGGTCTTGTATCTTAATCATATATCGATATTGTACTCATATTCTTGATACTTTATTTACCTTTCATTGGTCTCAAACAGCCCTTTTAATATGGTGTTAGAATGCTAGTTTAGAAATTCTCCCATTTACAACACCATGAACAGGTAGCTTTATTTTAAGGGGGCCGACTATAGTTTTATTGTGTGAAAACTACAATAGCGAAACTCTTCATTTTTATACCATATATAACTTACATTAACTTTAGTGTACATGCAAAGTTTGGGGAAATTTACCGTCCAGGTATTTTTAAGGGACTGTCTCAAAATACAGGTACATTATATAGGAAAATGCCAATTTTTAGCACTTTAAAGCAAATTATACAAATACTACAATAGACATTTTGTTCAAACTCTAATATTTGATGCGTAATACTATATCATACAATATATATATAAGAAACACAAAATTCTACCGTCTTGTTACCAGAAGGGGCATCTCAAAATGCAAAAAATTAGCAAAATTTTCTATTTTTATAGAGTATTACAAAATATGACATACACAATGGATTCACATGAAAACATGAAAAAAATATTGGAGATACTCTCAAATTTCTATGTTTTGAATTTCAAGAGCGTATGTTTATTACTTTTTCCTTAATAATATTTTTATTACCCCTTTCTTTAAGAGCTACAGATTATCATAACGTCAAAAACACACTGCAACGACGTCAACCTACCTATCAATTGCAAAATCGGTTAAAAAATCAGTTATATGACAAATTGTAATTACATTTTTATACCTATAATTTCTTAATTTTGTTTGATTTTAATAATCAAGCAAAAAAAATTGCATTAAAACGGTAAATACGCTTCATTTTACTATGATGCGCGAAATATTGTGCAATGGAAACTATAGTCGGCCCCCTTAAGTTGATTTAATAACCTCTTTTTCAGTGTGACCATGGCATCAAATGCATTTATAGCATCAAAATTGTTTACATAGCTTACACTCACATCAAACTTCAAATCATTAGTACAGTCAAGACCGTGACTTCACATACATGTTACATAGTGTAAATTGCATTTTCTTCAACAGGGTCTAAAATAGGCGATTATGTATATGCATTTACTTTTTTGTTTCTCTTAAACTGTATGCAAGAGGTAAATGCTCTCATTATATTCATGTTATATTCACCATTATCTTTTGAAATGTTAGCAGCAAAGGAAAACTTTGAAGGTTTTACAAAAAAAATTGCTTGAGGACTGAGGAGCAATAGTTTTAGTTTAAGTTAATTTTCTGTACATGTTCTTGCACATTTAGTTATTTGAGTTCAGAGCACTCACGATTACATGTATACCCAAAATAAGCATGATAAGCCATACTGTACAAAGCTTACACTAAGTTACAGGCACCATTTTTACAAACTCCCTTGTGGAGTATTCACTTAAATTTTTATATTCCTTCTTATATTTTCATAGGACTCAGACATACAAATAAACAAGACAATGAGGAGGTCAGATACAATGTACCAACTGGATGTTGAAGTAACAGCTCTCTTCATAGATCTTCACAAATGCCAGAATGTGTCCAATCTTCTAGTGGAGAAGCTTGACCCTACAGTGACAGTGTGTTTACCTGAGTTTTTTCATTCATCTGTCACTCTCCAGAATTTGAGGTTCGTAATTTATTACTGTATAAACTACAGTATACACTGTACGTACAGGATTATTTTTGCTCTGTATTATTTTCACCCTATAGCAATAAACATTTTCAAACAAGAGATTATGTTGTCTCTTTTTAATTTGCCCCATTTCAAATTCACCCATTAGCAGTGAGGGCAAAAAGGGGCAAAAATAGAATGGAATCAAAAATTTCCCTGTACATACATTTCACTGTTTGCATCTGATTGAAGTGGCATTAAAAAAAATGGTTTGTTTAATTCATATTATTACTTAGTAGCATTGTGTATTTTTATTTCAGACAACAAGCAAGTTTACTTGCCATTCATAATGCAAAACAAAAGGCTCAAGAGATGGCTCGCTTTGTAAACCAGTCCGTTGGTCGTCCAATCAGCATCAAGGAACTAGAAAACAAAGAATGGCAGGGGACCGAGGACTCACCCGATGAATTTAACACACCCAGGACTTTACAGCAGAAAATGAACAACTCCAGTGTCACTGTCTCAAGTAAAATATCAATAACATTCGAATTGAAACCAAAAGTGAAAAAATCTGGACCAGATGCAAAGAGTTAGCACCACATCACATCATAGCATCAAATTGTTGGATTTTTATTGTTTAGTTTGTTATTATTTTGCACCTGTGATATAATTTTAAATATGGATCTGAAAATGGACTAGAAAGGTTGTGAAAGAAATTGTTAATTTCTCTCCTTTATGTCTTTTTCATAAAGTGAAAAGGACTTTACAAATTGATTATGCCTGTAATTATGTTCCCCAAACGGAGTTTGGGAACATATTGTTTTTACTCGGTTTCTTATTATTATGTTCCCCAAACGGAGTTTGGGAACATATTGTTTTTACTCGGTTTCTTATTATTATGTTCCCCAAACGAAGTTGGGGAACATATTGTTTTTACTCTGTTTCTTATTATTATTATTTTTCTTCTTCTTCTTCCTGGGTACTTTTTTGTCCGGGAGTGATCTTGTAAACTGTTCATCCGATGTAGGTAAAACCTTTTTAGGGTCAGTAGACATGTTATGTAGATTTGCGGAATCAAGGTCATTTTGCGCGCACGTGCTTGCAAGAGCGCGCACGTGCAACACGTGAAATGACCAATATAATAGATATAGCCGCAACTTTTCTATTTTTTTTTGATGAAATGCTTTGAAACTCACAATGTGAGGATATATTAGTAGTATAGACATAATGACATGGTCAAAATAGCAAGAACTCATGTGCATGCACGTGCGCTTTGCTCTGATTGGCTGAAACTAAATTCTCAATATCTGTCTTGTTTTTTGACAAAATCCTTTGAAATTTTGAACATAGTCATACATAATGAAGATCTACAGCATGATGTATAACAATTATCATAAAAGCATGCGCATGCACATGTGCTGCAATCTGATTGGCTGAAACTTTAAATGCCTATAACTTTCTTGTTTCTCAACAAAACGGGATGAAATTTAGAATATGAATAGGTATGATGGATTACTACATTATGCTACTATCAAAATGGAATGCAAGGACAAGCATGCGTGCAAGTGCACGCGCACAATATGCAAAATGACCAATATATTTGAAAAATGGTAACATTTATATTTTTTATGATTTGTCTTATTGATTCTCACGACACAAAGAAATGTTTATGGTTAAGACAACATGTTGTGATCATCTTGCATGTGCATGCACGTGCGTGCGCGTGCAATGAGTTAAATAAAATATAGTTGATATCATTGTAGCTTTAATAATTCTTATATGAAATTCTTTGATAATGAGCATATTTTAAAAATGTCGTACAGGAAAATGGCACAAAAAGGGATTTGGGGAGCGTTTGGGGAACATCTGTAACGGTCCCCGTTACAATTAAAACTAGTTATGTTCCCCAAACGAAGTTTGGGAACATATTGTTCTTACTCTGTTTCTTATTATTATTATTATTATTATTATTATTCTTTTTTCTTCTTATTTGTTCTCCGGTACTTTTTTGTCCGCGAGTGTTCTCAGAAACTGTTCACCCAACTGAGCTAAAACCTTTTTAGGGTTAATAGGTGTGTAGTGTAGGTGTGCGGAACGAAGGTCATTTTGCGCGCATACGCCTGCACGTGCGTGCGCGTGCAACACGTGAAATGAATGATATACTTAATAAAGCCACAACTTTTACATTTTTTAATGAATTGCTTTGAAACGTATTATATAAGGATATATTACAAGTGTAGATAATATGACACTGTCAAATTAGCACGAACTCACGCGCATGCACGTGCACTTCGCTCTGATTGGCTGAAACAAAAATCTCAATATCTTTTTTGTTTTTTGACGGAATGCTTTGAAATTTAGAACATAGTCATGTATTATAATATCCTACAACACGATATATAAAAATTTTCATGAAATAACGTGCATGCGCATGCGCGCCAATCTGATTGGCTGAAACTTTAAATGGCTTTATCTCCTTTGTTTTTTGATGAAATGCTTTGAAATTTAAAACGTAGTCATGTATTAAGATATCCTGCAATATGATATACAAAAAAAGAAATCAAGAAATCACGCGCATGCACATGTGCTGCTATCTGATTGGCTGAAACTTGAAAGGGCTATATCTCCTTTGCTTTTTGATGAAATGTTTTGAAATTTAAAACATAGTCATGTATTATAATATCCTACAACATGATATATAAAAATTTTCATGAAATCACGTGCATGCGCATGCGCGCCAATCTGATTGGCTGAAACTTTAAATGGCTTTATCTCCTTTGTTTTTTGATGAAATGCTCTGAACTTAAAAACGTAGTCATGTATTAAGATATCCTGCAATATGATATACAAAAAAATTCAAGAAATCACGCGCATGCACGTGTGCTGCAATCTGATTGGCTGAAACTTGATAGGGCTATATCTCCTTTGCTTTTTGATGAAATGTTTTGAAATTTAAAACATAGTCATTCATTAGGATGTCCTACAATAAGATATAGAAAAATATCATGAAATCACGCGCATGCACGTGTGCTGCAATCTGATTGGCTGAAAATTGAAATTGCTATAACTCCAATGCTTTTCAACCAAACAGGATGGGATTTAGAATATAGATAGATATAAGGGACTCCTACAAGATGGTATGGTCATCATACACGTGCACGCACGTGCGTGCATTTAGAACGAGTGATATTAAAAATACACTTTAATGAGTGATTTTTAATACTTTTGGACTGAATGCTTTCACATATAGTATATCAAAACATATAGATAGTGTAGAAAAATGATATCGTCATTACGCACCTGCATTCACATGCGCGCGGGTGCAATTAAAATTTGAAAATAATTGGTATCCTTCTGGGGAAACGTTGTTAAAGTCGAAAATGCACAGACTTTGTCTTATTTAATGAAGCTTACAGGGAATATGGCACCAAAAGGGAGTTGGGCAGCGTTTGAGAGAGAGAGAGAGAGGTTCCCGTTACAATTAGCACTAGTTATTATTATTATTATTCTTTTTTTTCTTATTTGTTCTCCGGTACTTTTTTGTCCGGAAGTGTTCTCGGAAACTGTTCACCCAACTGACCTAAAACCTTTTTAGGGTTAATGGGTGTGTAGTGTAGATGTGCGGAACGAAGGTCATTTTGCGCGCATACGCCTGCACGTGCGTGCGCGTGCAACACGTGAAATGACTTATATACTTAATATAGCTATAACTTTTACATTTTTTAATGAAATGATTTGAAACTCATTATATAAAGATATATCAAGTGTAGATAATGTGACACTGTCAAATTAGCACGAACTCACGCGCATGCACGTGCGCTGCGCTCTGATTGGCTAAAACAAAAATCTCAGTATCATCTCTGTTTTTTGACGAAATGCTTTGAAATTTAAAACATAGTCATGAATTAGGATATCCTACAATATGATATAGAAAAAAGTTCATGAAATCACGCGCATGCACGTGTGCTGCAATCTGATTGGCTGACACTTTAAATGACTATATCGCCTTTGTTTTTTGACGAAATGCTTTGAAATTTAAAACATAATCATACATTAGGATGTCCTGCAATATGATATACAAAAAATTTCAAGAAATTACGCGCATGCACGTGTGCTGCGATCTGATTGAACAGAGGCTGAAACTTTAAATGACTATATCTCCTTTGTTTTTTGACGAAATGCTTTGAAATTTAAAACATAGTCATTCATTAGGATATCCTACAATGCGATATAGAAAGAAAATCATGAAATCACGCGCATGCACGTGTGCTGCAATCTGATTGGCTGAAACTTGAAATGGCTATAACTCCCCTGTTTTTCAACCAAACAGGATGGGATTCAGAACATAGATAAATATAAGGGACTCCTACAAGAAAGTATGGTCATCATGCATGTGCACGCACGTGCGTGCATTTGGAACGAATGAAATTAGAAATACACTTGTATGAGTGATTTTTAAAATTTTTGGACTGAATGCTTTCATATATAGTATATTACAGGGAATATGGCACTAAAAGGGAGCGTTTGGGGAACATCTGTAACGGTTCCCGTTACAATTAGCACTAGTTATTATTATTATTATTATTCTTTTTTTTCTTCTTTGTTCTCCGGTACTTTTTTTGTCCGCGAGTGTTCTCAGAAACTGTTCACCCAACTGAGCTAAAACCTTTTTAGGGTTAATAGGTGTGTAGTGTAGGTGTGCAACACGAAGGTTATTTTGCGCGCATACGCATGCACGTGCGGGCGCGTGAAATGAGTGAAATGACGGATATACTTTATATAGCCATAACTTTAACATTTTCTGATGAAATATTTTAAAACTCATTTAATAAGGATATATTAATAGTGTAGATAATGTGACACTGTCAAATTAGCACGAACTCACGCGCATGCACGTGCGCTTCGCTCTGATTGGCTGCAACAAAAATCTCAATATCTTTTCTGTTTTTTGACGAAATGCTATGAAATTTAAAATATACGCATACTTTAGGATGTACTACAATATGGTGTATAACAATTGTCATGTAAACACGCGCATGCACGTGCGCTGAAATCTGATTGGCTTAAACTTTAAAAGGCTATAACTCCCTTGTTTTTCAACGAAACAGTATGGGATTTAGAACATAGACAAACATAATGGACTCCCACAAGGAGGTATGGTCGTCATGCACATGCATGCACGTGCATGCACGTGTGCTTTGCTGTGATTCGCTGAAACAAAAATCGCAATATCTTTTTTTAATTTTTGACGAAATGCTTTAAAATTTTAAACATAATCATGCATTAGGATGTCCTACAATATGATATATAACAGTTGTCGTGAAAACATGCGCATACACGTGCGCTGCAATCTGATTGGCTTAAACTTAAAATGGCTATAAGTTCCTCGTTTTTCAACCAAACAGGATGGGATTTAGAACATAGACAAACATAACAGACTCCTACAAGAAGATACAGTCGACATGCACATGCATGCACGTGCGTGCACGTGAAATGAGTAAAATTACAAATACACTAGATTTAAACGTATTTTTTAATACTTTTGGATAAAACGCTGTAATTTCTAGTATATAAATAGTGTAGACAGGATGATATGGTCATTATGCACATGCATTCAAATGCGCATGCGTGCAATGCATAAATTTGAATATACTGATTATACTTCTGGGAAAACATTGTTATAGTCTAAAAGGCATAGAGTTCGTCTTATTTAATGAAGCTTACAGGGAATAAGGCACCAAAAGGGAGTTGGGGAGCGTTTGGGGAACACCTGTAACGGTTCCCGTTACAATTAGCCCTAGTTAAATTTATTTTTGTAAAAGTTTATTATTTTTTGTATATGATAGTTTTACTTAATGTCTTAGCTTAAAATGAATAAATGAAATAAAAATTCTGTTATAAAGTTCAGTTTCAAGTAGATGAGATGTCAGTTACTGTCATTTACGACTCTAATTATTAGTTTTAACTCACAGTTACAAAGTAGATATCTTTAAAAAAAAATATTAAGCAATCTATTCTCCTTAAAATTCAAGGAGTATAGATTGCTAACTTGAATAGTATAACGCTACTTGAGCATTTAAATTAAATAAAAATTAAAATTTTTAAATTAAAATATTTCTTAAAAATTTGAATATCACCCGAGAACATTCCAAACCCCTGTGATCATGGCATATATATTTTTTGAATTTATTTATTACATGTTAAACCATTACTGCAGAATCTCTTCAGTTGTGACCAGGTAGCTGCAGATCTGTTGCTTGGTAGTATTAACATCCACATCCTAATTTTCCATATGAATGTAGGCACATACAGCAGTGCATGTAATATCGTTTTTAAAAAGGGAGAAGGTAGTTAGATTTTTTTGACAACTTACTTGTAAAAAATAATGGGGGTCTCAACTTGAAAATCCCATTTCATTTTTTTTAACTTTTTAAATAATCCACAAAAAACTGGGAGCCAACCAGTCTTCCAATGTACATTTTCAATCTTTTATGTTTAGATAAGGGGGAGGGGGCACCATTCCCCTTGAAATAAAGTGCCTGCAATAAGCTGCAGATACGCAGCTACAAGTCGCACAAGTTATTAGAAAACACTAGAATCTATTTTTTTATGCAGGTAATGTTAAATCCATTGTCTTGTTGTGGCTCCAAGTACATGTACATGCATACAAAAAAATAGTCCGAAATACCTGACTTTTCCAGGTTTTTCTCCATGATTTTGATTTTTACATGTCAGGAAAACGTAAATATCAAAATAGTGTAAAAAAAAAAAAAAGCCTGAAAAACTTAAGATATTTTGGACTGACCAAAAAAAAAAAAAAAAAAAAAGAGCTTAAGGTAGTCCGATCCTCAGGTTAATAAAATTAGCAGTTAAGTAATCAAAAATACTCATAAAAGTATCTCTGAATCCACAAAGTTATGTAAATTTGTCCACAGTATTTCTTTAAAGTTAAAGATTACAGTTAATCATATTATATAGGGAAAATTGCCAAATCTCCCATATTTTTGCAGAAAAAGCGAATTGGAATATCTGCAATACATTTTCTGATTGCAAATTGATCAACAATTATATTTTAGGTTTAAAAACGATAGGTATCCAGGCATTCGGAGAAATCGTCATGATTTTTATACTTATTTGGTATTTTTTGTCTGCTATTTCCGTCAAATATTCTAAAGTACATAGTGTAAAAGGCCTTTGCTATCACTGCAAGACACCACAAATCACTTCGTATTTCATAACATGCTAATAAGCATTGGTATCTAAGCCTGGATTCAAGAAAATCTTATTTCTCTGAAACTGTATTATTTTTTCCCCTTTTATAGGGTACAAATATCAACTTTTATAAGACCTTTTCTAAGACTTCCAAAAAACATTGAATCTCATGAAGATGAATAAAATGAAAATTGTTGCATGAAAAAATTTCATTTTCAAGCTTCATTTTGATGCATTTCAAATTTAATATTGATTTTTGGAGTTATCCTTCCTGGCTGAGGATCGGATATCCTTAATTTACATTAGATAGCGATGTGCATCCATGTAATAAATATTTTTTTTTTCAAATAAATGTGATACAACAAAGATTAAAGCACATGCAGATTAAATAATAGGTTAGGGATACATGTATAAATCTTCACGTGTAGATCGAATTTTCTTGCATGTATTTGATTTAATTAACTTCCATATACCGGTATGCAGTGGGTTTTAGTGGAATTAAATTTCATCATATTCCACATGTTCCAAATTTCCACATGAAAAAAAAAATGATTTCAAATTAAAGTTTCCAATCTGATTATATTCAAAAGAAATTTTACTCATATTTTGAAATTTAGCTTTGAGTAATAATAAAAAAAGATAAGAAAGAAAGAAATTTTACGTTGTAGGCTATGGGATATTTTTTTACGTATATGAATAAATTGTATGCAGGATTTGCACCTGTTGTAAAAATATAAACAAAAGACCTTAGCATAAACGAACATCTCTGATAACAATGACACGAACTTGAAATCCTTTTTTTTTCATCTCGATAAATTTCTCGTTTGAATGCACACATCGCTGACTAGTGTATTGAAGTAACGAGATTATTGGTGCATTAGAGTAAGGTGCCGGGGGTAACACCACCTCAGTCACGATTGGGGGGTCACACGACCTTAAAATAGGATATATAACGCGCGCTGAATGGGCGATTTAAACGACAGATGTTCGTGGGGAGATGAAAACCCCAGTCACCAGCTGCGAGAAACAAAGATCACCTCAAAGCAAACAAAGAAACCCCTTCCCCAGGTCTATCCGGCGAATAATGACAATTCCTCGTGTAGAGGGGTGAAGCGGACGCCGGGCAGACTTCAATGTCCCTCCCGTGGTAGACAAAGGTTTAATACAGAGGCTGTCTTGTAATGTGAACAGATTCAGAGAACTGGACGGAGGAAATGTTATCGGAAATTCTGGGTCTTTTTGTTGTCATTGCTGCAGTTCTAACGTGTACAGGTATGTGTTATATATATTGTCTGATTTCAAGAATTTTTAAAGATAACCAAGAATTTGTTTTACTGTCATTAATAATCTTTCGTTATAACATGATAAAGTTTATTTTGTAAATATTTATAGATTCAATGATTTTGAAGTATTTGTAATGACCCTTTATTCAATAAGTAATTTTTCTAATTTATTTTTTTTTAAATGAAAAGTACATTCAACATGATAAAATAAGTATTGTAAAAAAAAAAAAAATTGTAAAATCCTTTTACAATATTTCTTTTTACAAAACCTATTTCATGTTAAATGTACTTTTCATTAAAACTAAAAGGTGATCGAGATAACGAACAGTAATTACTCTCATAAATCCAGTAAACGAAATGAATCGCAGACAGGACAAAAACCGGACAAAAACGAATTAATCGGCCAATTTTTCTATTTTGGTAAGAATTTTTTATTCTTTCGTTGGAAAAAAATGATCATTTTTATTTGCGTGATTAAAGAGTGAAAGAAAGGGCACGAACCTTGATGGTTACCCATTTTCATCTCTACAAACCTTAAACACGAAGACAAATACTGCGTTTATAATCCCTAATCATAATATTTTGTTTCTTAGAAGACTACAAAAGCGTTCATTTTACATCGTAATGGTTTCCTTTCAAGAACTCTCAAGTCAACCATTTGGATGGTTTAAAAAAGAAAATTTTTCTTTGAACTTTGCTTTATGTGTCAAGAATATTGAAATAAACTTGCAAAAAAAATTGCCTATACGTATCAAGCATAGAATGCACATAAAAATACTCTATATTCAATAAAACTCAAAAATAAAAATAATGCTTCATTTGTAATAATTCGTTCTATTACAGTTGAATTTCGGTATCTCGAACTCTGATATCTCCGTAGTTTGTTGTTTCGAAATTGAAACAAACCCTTGACCAATATTACTTTTAAAATTTGATGGTATACACTTGACTTCTCCTTTGAGATAAGCTGAACGTAACAACCTACAATCTATATAAACATATTACTAGTGATTTAAAAGTTTTTGTTTAGTTGTGGGAGAATCTGCCTTTATCTGTACCGAGAAGGAAGCTGGAAAACAGACAGTCGAGCTTCGTTGTCCCACTGGAACCGAAATCCAAATAAAGGAGGCGGTCTACGGCAAGAACAAGTGGCGGCAGTGCGTATACACCTCGGGGGACTGCACGGAGCATGTAGACATTTCAGAGGAGTGCTGCGGCCAACGGAACTGTGACATTACGGTGTGGAGGATATATTCCATCAAATGTGAATACGTCACTTTCTTTCGCGTCATTTACGAATGCGTAGAAGGTAATGTATTTATTTTCTTATCATTCCTATTTTAAACAGTGTTGCTTTCCTTAATAAACAGCTAGACGAACAGCCTGATTAAAATCAAACCTTCATTAGCTCCTTTTTATTTTGTTTGTCGACACGACAAACAAAATAAAAAGGAGCTAGAGAAGGTTTGATTTTAATCAGACTGCTAGACAAACAGACGAATGGACAGGGCAAAACTATATAACAAAAGTCCTTCGATTAGGGGGACATAAAAATTATACAAATTGAATACGAATTAAAGAAATCAATAAATAAATTTCATATTTTTTCCCCATTCGTGTTTTTCAGAGGGTGATGCAGAGTGCGAGGACGAAGAAGACCCAGACAAATACGATCCAGATATCTTTGAAATTACGTCACATGACCGAATTCCATTTACGTCACCTAAACTTCATACATCCAAATCAATCACGCAGAATCAAATTACATCAACCAATCATCTGTCAAATTCCATCGGCAACGATCCAGTTCCATCTCCCGCTATGTCAACTTCAGCTGAGGAGGACCAATCAGATGGCGGTACCAACCTATTTACTCTATTCCTTTTCTAATTTTTATATACGGACATGGTAGAAGTACATTTGTACTGCCAATTAAACCTCTGTGTCATGTTTAAAGTTTCAACCATTGCTCTATGTATAGACGACCTCTTGACCAGACTCAACCAAATGACTGATTATCATGTAATGATTAGAATATAATTTTCAATTTTGATAAACTTCATTTGAATGTTGAAAATTTTATATTTTCAGGACTAACAGTGATCGTATTGTCTGCTGTTGCAATAGCCATTTTGTTGGTTTGCATTATAATTGTCGCCTTCTTTCTCAAAAAGTTTAAATGGTAAGAGTTTTGTTTTTTTTTTAATCAGAACCATGTATTTTTGTCAACTTTCAATAATCTTTTTAGCCCATATTTCGTATATTAATTGAATCAAGTGGTATTTTCTTAGGCAAGGAGAAAAAGAATGCGTTTATAACATATTCGCCGGATGGTGCAAACGTCATCCACCGGATGGATGCGAAAATCCAGATCCAGAGCAGCCTTCTACGTCACGTGATATAACATCACCCACAAATAAGACCAACGTCAATAAGCAAAACCGGGAAAACCTACAAAAGCAGGAAGTGGCTACATCTACTGCGAGAACTGTTTCACGTGATGTTAACCATAATGACAATTGTGACAGTAGTCAAAAAGACTCCGTAGAAGACTCCAATGAAGAAAATCATTATGTCGTCTTTGAGAGTATTAAGGGAGAAAAGTATAGTAATCCAGTGCTAAGGTCCCTAACTGCTGGGCGTGTTGTCCTGGACCAAAAGGCTTATAATTCCACCCCTGTGGTTTCAGAGGGGCCGGGCACCACAGCGGTGTAAATAATTATCATTACTTTATAAACCACATATATATATATATTCTACCTCTGTGAAGGCTTTCTTGGTTTTGGACGTTATCCACAATTGTTCGCGGGATAAGTTTTATACCAGCTATGTATTCCTACACTGCCAACCAATATACGATGTATTATTTTATAATCCTATGCATTATGGAGTTTAGTATTCATTGCAAATTTGCGCAGTTTTACTCTTCAAAGTGAATTTATATTTGGAATATAATTTCTTTACTCAGAAATGTAGATGCTGGGTCATATCATAAAACATATGGTTTTTACGGTTATTAAAAGTCTTTATCCCCACCCCACCCCCTCTTTAGAAAAATGCAATATATCAGGAACAAGTTGAACTCGGAACAGAACACTTTCAATCATGCAGAACTGTCAAGCTTAATGACTGTTTAAATGAAAGACTGATTGTGATTAATATGAATGCTGTTTAATGATGCATGAAAATAGGATGAATGATCGAAGAAGTGCACGAACGTCAATGAAAGGTCAAACTTTGTGGTACGATTTGGATAAAAAAACTGTTTCTTTATACAGCCATAGTTCAACAATACATGTACTTCCGTATATGAGACAATGGTGCACAGAAAGATGGTTCTTTCAGTATGTTAAGGAGATTATATGCTTTATGTTGACTAAACATAGGAGTATAAGAAGTTTTGCTTTGCTAAATATTTAAAAGGACAAATTTAAATAGATGATTTGTCAATTTTGTGTCTCTCTACAAATTATTTGTAAATAATTTTATATACACATTTTTTCTCTTATTAAATATCTAACTGTAATTTTTTTTGTGTTTTTGCTACTTACTACCATTGATAAAATTTTATGGCGATGAAGTATTTTCAAACAAAACAATTGAGACGCAGTTATATTTCAACTACACTTCTCTTTAGATGTGAGCTTGATATAAAAGATACCACAGAGTCTGACACACCTGTTTCATATTCGAACATCTTACTTGAACAAGACGTTAATGGTAATCTAACAACGGCGCTTTATGATAAACGTGATGACTTTAAATATTCAATCGTAAACTTCCCTTACTTTTGCAGCAATAAACATTCCTCGCCTGCATACGGGGTTTATATCTCTCAGTTGATTCGATACACGAGCACGCTCTACCTATGAACAATTTCTAAAACGAGGCAAGATATTGACAAACAAGTTGATGAAAGAAGTATATCAGCAGTCTCGTTTAAAGTCATCATTTCATAAGTTCTATGGTCGATGCAATGACCTTGTCAGCAAATTCAATTAATCGTTGACATTCAAATGCTGCTTGACGTTTTTCATATATACTAATGTTAAGCCATTATTTACAAAATAAATTGACAGATTTTTACATTATTTTCCAATCATGATAAGGAACTCACGGTGGATGTGACCGGTCGGCAGGGGATGCCCACTCCTCCATGGCACCTGATCCCACCTCTGATATTTTGGAGGTCCATGTTTGCTCTGCTCCTATTTTGTATTGTTTTATGGACTTTTGAGCTCGAGTACTGTTCGTTATCTCTCTCTCTATATATATATTCCATGTCTTAATTTTATTTCATAAACCATCAGTTGCATATAAGCTTTTGTTTCCAAATTGCAATTCAAGGAATTTATGGTTTCGCTTGAGCGACATTGTCCTTTATCATAATTTCCCAAATCATTTACAACCAGAACACGTTGGTCACGAGTATTTGGTAAAATATATTATGTTTTTTCCTAAAGGGATCGATAAATCTGAGGGACATGGGATGAAGAACGTGACAGTCTCATTGGTCATATAAGCAAGCAGTAGAAAACGATTGAATATTTAAATGTATTATCTATTTATGATCGACCGAGCCTCACCCTTGGACCTTGGTCTGGCCTTGAAAGTGTTAATTTAAGCAGCTTATATACAGATTCATAATCTGGAAATGTTGAATTTTGTTAAGTAAAAATTGCTTTAATGTACCAAAGGTGATTAACACTTTACAGAAGTAGTTAGAATGAACATACTGAACAGGTATGAAGTCAAAAATCTACTAATACAATATGTCTTAAAATTGGGCAAAGTAATTACCGGCTCTAATATTTTAGGGATGGGTTCAGGTAACTTGGAAGAGTAAGAATCCCCTGCTACCGGTGACACCCGCCATTTCCTCCTTGTCATGACCGATTAAATGCAAAACTTGACGATCCAGTTTAAAAGTCAGACAGTAATAATACAGTATCAGCCATCATAACATCAGAATGAATAATTTATATAAAAGATTTTTAACAAATTTTAACAGGAAATCCTTGTATCATCAAATTATTTATCATTAGCTTCTTTGTTTTAGTAATGGGCCTTACGTAGAACATGCTCTTGTGTATCGAATTAGCTGGCTACACAAACTTCATATGCTGCTGATAATGATATACTGTTACGTAAAGAAAGAAAGCTGACGAAAGAAAAATTGAGATCGTCGTATATTTAACAAGGTTTACTTGTTATAGATAACCCTCTTTATGAAAGTTAAATGCAACACAAAGATGATAGAAGCACGAGGTACAAACATAGTATATACAAGAAAGAAACTTTAGGCTAAAAATGAAAAGTAAATGACAGTCAAGAAAAGTACCAACTTAATGAAATAAATTTATTTCTAATTTTATCAGAAAATGATGTAAAAATACAGAATTTATACTTTTTTCTCTTTCATATCACATTACGCTTTAAATAGTGGTGCCGTTATCACAAGATAAATCAAAGTCAAACAGTACATTGACATACACAGAATATGAAGCATCAGGATTGATAATTTGAAACTGTTAACCTAAAATATAGAAATAAAAATGTATTTATATTATGAAATCATGCAAACATTATTGTATATAAAGTAAACAATACAGTGTATCTCAACTTTACAACTTTAATTAAATCTAAATGATAACTGCATAAAATATAAAAAAAAAATGTAGCAGTAATACTGAAACATTTTTTTAAAAAGATTTAGAAATTCTTTAATTTTCAAAGCATCTTCACTTACTTTCGATTGAAGATTAAATGAATGATATTCTTTCCCCTTCGATTGGAGAAGACTTTGTCTCTCTGGATCATCACCTAGTAAAATTTATTCACAGTTTGAAAATTTACACTTAAATTTAATTAAATTGAAAATAGCCATTCTTTATACTCGATTAAACAATATTGTATATTGCACTGTTATTGTTAAAATCTGTCTGTATTTGTACACTATTCATAATTCAGTGATTGTATTTCCTCAAACCTATTACTTAATTGTATATAATTATGATGAATTGTATCTTGATGAAGTGTATATATTTTTGTATTTGATATATATAATTATATAGAAGGCCCTGGGGAAGAATAGTGCATGCACTAACCAGGTTACCTTCTTTAAATAAAGTTTTATTATTATTATTATTACCTTTCATATCACTGAAGTAGCTTTCACTTTCTAATAAAACTTCAACGATGATGTAAGTTATGACGTAACCTATGACGACACTTGATGTCCCCACAGGCGTGTTCGACTTTTCCAGATTGACACCAAAATATATCGTTATGGCTACAAAAGAAAAAAAACTTATACTTATCATATACTAGTTTTTATGAGGCTGAAACCAATTAAGTCTGATGCTTTTGTTTTGGTGGAATTTATCAAAGAAATGTTTTTCAGTTTCAGACAAAATACTTGTAGAGTGCCTATATTTACACCTACCTGCCATGATTTGTGCAGAGATTCCAATAAACTTATGAGAATAATAAAAGACGTGTCGGTATTTGTGATCAGGACTGCAGCGAAAGAGAGCAATCGTCGGCTGAAAGAACAAGAGGCCCATGGGCCACATCGCTCACCTGAGCACTGTGGCTAAGAAAAAGTAGATAAATACTTTAAATCCAAAAGTAGTCCAATGACCAATCATGGCTTTGCTATTCTTGATAAGATATTTTTAAAGAATTTTCCTATATATGCCTATGTAAAACTTTGATTGGCCATTTTGACCCCGCCATCCCCCCGGGGGTCATAATTTGACTAAACTTGAATCTTCACTACCTGAAGATGCTTCCATACAAATTTGATCAATTATGGCTTTGTTACTCTTGAGAAGAAGATTTTTTAAAGATTTTTCCTATATATTTCTATGTAAAGCTTTGGTCGGCCATTGTGGCCCCGCCTTACCCCCGAGGGTCATGATTTGAACAAATTTGAATCTTCACTACCTGAAGATGCTTCCATACAAATTTGATCAATTATGGTTTTGTTACTCTTGAGAAGAAGATTTTTAAAGATTTTTCCTATATATTTCTATGCAAAACTGTGGTCGGCCATTTTGCCAGTCATGATTTGAACAAATTTGAATCTACACTACCTGAGGATGCTTCCATATAAATATGATCAATTATGGCTTTGTTATTCTTGAAAAGAAGATTTTTAAAGAATTTTCCTACATATTTCTATGTAAAACTTTGGTCGACAATTGTGGCCCCGCCCTACCCCCGAGGGTCATGATTTGTACAAATTTGAATCTTATCTACCTGATGATGCTTCCATATAAATATGATCAATTATGGCTTTGTTATTCTTGAGAAGAAGATTTTTTAAAGATTTTTCCTACATATTTCTATGTAAAACTTTGGTCGGCCATTGTGGCCCCGCCCTACCCCCGGGGGTCATAGAAAAACAACCTAAAGATGCTTCCAATAGATATGATGAATTATGGCTTTGTTACTCTTGAGAAGAAGATTTTTTAGAATTTTCCTACATATTTCTATGTAAAACTTTGGTCGGCCAGTGTGGCCCCGCCCTACCCCCGGGGGTCATAATTTGAACAAAACTTGAATTTACACTACCTGAGGATCCTTCCATATAAATATGATCAATTATGGCTTTGTTATTCTTGAAAAGAAGATTTTTAAAGAATTTTTCCAATATATTTCTATGTAAAACTTTGGTCGGCCATTGTGGCCCCGCCCTACCTCGGGGGGTCATGAGAACAAACTTGAATCTACACTACCTACTTTCCCCATAAGTTTCATCTTTCCTGGCACAGTGGTTCTTAATATATTTTCATTAATTCCCAATGTGAGGGCAAGGCCCTTATTTGAACAAATCTGAATTCCCTTCACCCAAGGATACTTTGTGGCAAATTTGGTTGAAATTGGCCCAGCGGTTCTTGAGAAGAAGATGAAAATGTGAAAAGTTTACAACAATGACAACAACGACGACGACAACGACGACAACGCCGACAACGACAACGACGACGACAGACAACGGACAAATTGTGATCAGAAAAGCTCACTTGAGCCTTTGGCTCAGGTGAGCTAAAAACAAAGGAAAAGATATTGAAGGTAATACTAGTAAGTAGGTAGTCCAAGAATACTGAGTATTGTTCTTTTTGGTCGAAGGCAAAGACATATAATTACATATTTTGCTCTTAGTATATGTGTAAATTATTATCTCCCCTATCAATAATCTATGTAATACAGTGTATAAGGATATCAAATTTTTGCAACTGAGAGAAAAAGAACACAAAGAAAAATCAGTGTCGTTTCTCTATTTTTGAAAAAATTTCTTGAAATACAATTACATGTACCTTAAAGTACCCCCCCCCCCAAAAAAAAAAAACCCACTATAATCATATATTCTATAATAATATGCATTATAAACCTTGCAAAATAACAAGCTTGAGAGTAATTTTAGGATTTTTAAAATATACACACGTTAACAACAGTCAAGGCCATGACAGTGATTCCTAGAATAGGGTGGTACTTCAAATAGATACCGCAATCTGTTACCTGCATAGCAACAATAATCATAATACTGTAAAATTTTAATGCTGCTTGTTGTATTATTTTAACCACTATTAAATATATAAACTAGATGTTAATAAATTTTGTAATGATTAACACACACCTGCAGAAGTGTACCAACTTGCATGAAGATTATAACAAATGCCACAGTAGTAATGATAAATGCGAGTGTCATTGCAGTTCTGTGTATCTGAAAATACAAAAGAAATACATGAAACTATAGATTCAACATTTCTAATTGCTACAATAACACTTCTGAAATAACAAAATTTGATTTTGATATTTTCTTTGCAGAAGTATACTTCTGAATCCAGATTAGATGTATAATGTATACTTACAGCAAACCAGACTTGGTCTCCACATAGCATCATATCCCTCCGCTCTGTCTTGTAATAACGGGCGGTTATAATGCCAATACTGGACAGAAATATCCAAGCAAATATCATCAAACTACCTAAAAATAACCGATTGTTGTAATATTTTCCTGTATATAAAGTAACAAAGTGTTTGATAACAAAAGTTACTCTTGATTGGAATAAAAATGTACGAATCAAGAGCTTAATTTAATCAGTCCCCTGGAAGAAAATGTTCTAGAAATAAGTTGGTTTTTAATAGTTAAAATACACTGCAGTTTGTTACAGTAATTATACAAAGCTTTTGCTAAAAAAAATTATGGCAGTTAAATATTAAATAATCTTATAAAACTACTAACCATGTAATTTGTAGAGAAGCATGGAATCTTCCTTAAAGCCAATAGTCTGGTTTAACAAAAAGTCGACTCTTTCATCGCTGACAACAGGAGTTCTCGCATGTCTCCTGGGGTTTCCTGTGAACGGCATTTAAATTTTAAAGTCGAAATTTAATCTTTTTTTAAACTTTGACTTCGTAGGCGATATATGATACTGAAATCAACAACTTTTCCTCGTCTTTTCCATTGGACAAATAGCTGCAGAACTGTACGTTATGTTTTTTTTATATTAGTCTTTGACCATAACAGCGTTATGGTCAAAGACTAATATAAAAAAAAACCCATATAATTCTACAGTTCTGCGGCTGGCATACACAATAATATTTTTATTTCTTTAATTTCGACAGTTGTAGAGAAGGGTTCGATTGCTCCTCATATAACAATTAGCATTCATGCAGATAAGGTTAAAAAATTTATACAATAACGCAGAATGTTTTTTATGTGAAGGTGTTCAACATCATTATACTCTGCAAAAACTTAAATTAATTGATGTATAATTGACTTCATTTCTTTACAGACCCTAAAATCAATTCATATATTTATGATATTGTATATACACTATATATCAATATTCTTACCCAAAGTAACTGGTCCGTTTCCGAGTATTATAAAATATTTTTTCATCAAACTGTACACATTGCCAAAATCCCCAGTGACATTAATTTGACGTGAAAAAGAGCAGTTCAAAATCTGACCAATAACAGAGGTAGTTATGTTGATCAACCCAAGGGAAGTCTGAAAGCGGAAACAAAGAATTAAAGGCAACGAAATATTTTATCTAAAATTCAGGCCAGTTTTTGCATTATATTTGAAAGTAAAACCGAGTATGTAAACTGATAGAATGTCTGGCAAAATAAGATGGAGAGGAAATTCTTACGTTTGGAAGTACTGAGAAACTGTAACCTTCATTTATGCCCTCCAAAACATGTACTTCATTATTGGAAAGAATACACATCACAACGTTTGTATTCGGCTGAAAATACAATCTAGATAATTGTTATGTGTATAATATTCATTTTTTAATTTTGGATTACTCAATATTCAGGAATTTTGGCAAAATAAAAAATAAATAAATAAATAACTGTGAAAAAAAAAATAATAAGGTTTAAAATTTAAAAGTTCTAACCATTTTGCCAGTTGGTGAAATTCCAATGGCAACCCATTTGTCGTTTTGATTTCGTAGGCGATAAATAACACTGAAATCAACAACTTTTCCTCGTCTTTTCCATTGGACAATAGTGTCACATGACTCTCTGGGGCATGTTTTAAAGCAACCGAAACCTTTGCTACAGCGGGGATAGTCAGAAGGCGTCTGGAAACAACATATGTGACATTTAGCAAATATGGACCCCAAATCGTCTCAATATAAATCATACTTGTTTACCTGTTTAAAAACTTCAATTGTTTGAGAAAAAGTCACATCTTAATTTAGCATTACCCCTGTCGTGCTTGAAATTGGAATTGGCGTGGTAATATCAGTGCTAGGAACTGTAGATGGAGGAATGTAGTCAACACTCAGAGACTCAGACTCAATATTTGTCCATAGGACTTTGAGGGACTGGACAACTGTAGCCCTGCAAATAGCAAGGGATTCGAACACACTAGGTACAATTATCATTTTTAGATTTCTTTTTAAGAGTAAAAATTGATCAATAATTATTCTTATTTTATGCATAGACATTCATTGAGTACAACAGGCCAGGACAATGTTAAATCTAAAGAACATCAATGATCATAAATTGGTTTTTATCTTTATCAATACCGGGATCTTGATTGATAGGTAATAATTGTTAACTACATGTACACACGTTATACCTGAATTTTACGATTCCTTTAAAACGTTTTGTTGGATTCCAGGGAAAATTGATAAGCAGCTTTGGGTTATGGTCAGTATGAGTTACACCCTATAAATAGAATTAATAGAGAAAATAAAATCCCAAGTAAAAGAAACCAAAAAGGCATGAATAATTTACAGTAATGACTTACTCCATCACAGCGCCTTTGAGCATTATCAGGTACTTCAAACTCTCCTCCTGTGAATGGTATAGGAGCTTGTAAGTTTGTAAAAACCTTCAACAGGAAACCTTTGAAGGTCGTCTTTCCATCTTTAGATGAAATAGTGACTGAAAGAAAATATGTCACAAATATTTCTGTACTAGAATTAAACCATAACGAATTTTTTTTCTTCCCAGGGCACCGATAAGATTTTGATTAATGATATTTTCCTTGTTTTTTTTTTGTACTTTAAAAAGTGATTATAAGATATTCGGTCTACCTGATCAATGTATAAGGATCACGGCATTTAATGTTTTTTAGCCAAGTACTTCTGGAAAAGTAAATTTATCACCAGCTATTTAAGCTAAATTATAGGCCTACTACATTTGAGATGTGTATTCACATACTTGAAAAATTATTTCCTGTAGTCAAACTAGAAGATGACATTGTAATGACGTAAGGTGATGACGTAGTTTGTGAAGGAGCTCCATGCACGGGTGTCATGTTGTCACAAGCAGATTCAGGTGCTCCAAATGGGTAACCATGATAACCGCAAAGTAATACCAATCCCAAATAAACGATTAACATGATGCCTGATGAATATTTATAAATTAAATTTTGGAGAACAAACTGATATTTTTAACAGTTACATAAATTATTCTTTTAAAACAGATTTAAAGTTCACAGAGTAATTCAATCGGAGATAACAGCTTTTTTCAAACAAGAAAGAGGTAGGCAATTAAAGAATACAAAAGGGAAACGAATTTGTTCACTTTATTAAAATTAAGTTAATCGTTTGGATGTAAATTTTTTCCCCCATGAACATTTGATTCCTCAGGTAAATGTTAAAAAAGGGTAAAAAGTTTAAAAAGATTCCTTTTAGCCATGTATATTTTACAAAAAAATATACATATGTGAAAATTAAGTGCCTAATCACAATTTAACATGTTTTTAACAACAAAGTTAATATAGTTTTTATTTGTATCGTCAGCTTTTCAGAAAAGTCATGAAGAGAGCATGTTTGTTTTACAGTTCCTCGGAGTCACGTGTCATGTATGTTTTATATGTACTAGATCTTAAATAAGAAGACTGACATATTAACAGTTAGGTTACCCATTTTCCTGTTGTTATCCTAGAAGGAGTTATACATCCATCAGATGATAGTGAATTACTATGTCTAAATATCCCCAAATCATCGGAGTATCAAGTCAAAATATCCTGGTTTACTTTGCATGGGCCGTGCTGCAATCATAATGTAGTTATTTTAACAATGGTTCAGTGTACTAGTTTTTAAAATATGCATTTATACTTAAAATTCCTAGAAAGTTTTAGTCATATCCCGGTTCAAAACGTTGAAAATCGACTTATATTAATGGAGGGTAGATGGTATTTAAATACATGATTTAAAGTTTGCAAGACAATGCAATATTTAGATAATATATTATGATTCCACAGTATGAACGTTTAAAATATCTTGCATATAACTTTATACTAATATAGTATGTACAAGGTAAGTTTTTAAATTTGCATTTTTATTTCAGAAATAAGTTTAGTTTACTCTGGTTATTTGGCTCTCTTTTTCGTAAAATGTGAAGATACTGAGCGGTGAGTGATCTCAATAATTCTATAATACACGAGGATGGTGTAAAACACGTACCCCTGGAAACTTTAGAGGTGGGATCAGTGACCTTAACAGTTGTGGTAGAGTATTATAAAAGGTTTTATCAAAATCTTATTAACGACGTTCGATCCTGATATTTAAAGTCTTAAACTTTTTTTGTGAAGTATATTTTTAGTTTCTACATACATAGGTTAATTAAAAATCAGATCACAAAATGGGGGTCAATACGTTTCTTTTGGCGCTACAGTACATTTGCTATGACCTTTTTGCACTGAAATTTGTGTCTTAATTAAAAATAATATTTTTGACGTTTTCCCTCCAATATTTTTATCCAATTAAAGCATGAAACAAAATGAACTCTAAGTTTGTTTTTAAAAAGACACTTAGAAATTGTGACTAAGAAAAAAGTTTTAAATTGCTTCGCATAATCAATTATTTGACCTTTCTGCACTAATAAATAGTGATTTTTCTGGCATTGAAAAATTTAATAAGCAAGAACATTATTTTAAAGTCTTAAACCTTTTCTGATTTTAAGCAAAAAGGCCAAACTTATCTTGAATATTTAGAAAAGAACATCAAAAGCGAGGGTATATGATGTAAATTTTCAGATATTACTAAAAAATGTTAATTTTACGTTAAAATTGGCTCAATTTTTTCCCGGATTTTCAGAATATATTTACTATATTTGTCACACTTTGTTGATAGAACTCATAAGAAATATTTTAATAATTATTTCAGAACCAGCATAACACATTTAACTGCAAAAAACAGCTTTTTGTGCAACCAGGAAGGAAAAAAAGGAATCCAAAATTAACAGTACTGATATAGTTCAAAAGGGAAAAAACAGATCATTTTCTTCTAAAAAAAAACTTCCGTCACGAAATATAGTTCCTATTTAATTCTACTTGAATGGAATTTAATCGTTTTTTTTTCATTGAGTATAGTTAAATTTGCACTGTAGAATTCAGATTTAATGTTAGAACTTAAAAATGATGGAGAATTTTATAAATAAAGGACCTGACCAAATTACGCTCAAAATCTCAGGATCGAGCGTCCTTAATATCCCTGACAGTATAAATAATAGAAACATTTTAAATGAACATTTGGCTGCACTCAGGGTTATCCCGAGAACATTTTATATTCTAAAAAACAAAATGGGGCCTCACCTTGAAGTTCTAGACTATAGTTGTTGTTTCCATTTAGATACATACAGTTTATAAAAATTTCTGAGTATATATATCTGGTGTAAAGTTCATATTAGGTTCAAGGTTCGTTAGCCAACTCTCTTTTTTGTTTCAAAATTTGTATATGTGCTTCTAGTTTATAGATTAAGTTATATTTATGCCTTTATAATTGTCAAACTTATAAAATTTAAAAAAAGAAGAAATCTACAGGTAATTGACGTTTTACCAAATACCAAAAACAAATAATAAGATTATCTCAAAGTAATGTTAAGTTAATTAAGGTATGTCACTCGTCAGCTTTTTAGAAAAGCTCACGCAGAACCTCTTACTTCAAAACTATTTATTAAAATTCAATTTTTACAACATACTTTATTTCAACAATGTTAATGTTTTAACATTCAATGAAAAACTGCTCAAAAAACTTAAAAGAAGCAAGATTTATGAGGGACTATTTCTTGTGGTGGAAGGATATTTAGCAGATAATTTTGCAAATCTGCACATTTATTAAATTTAATATCTTGGAACTTTAGCCTCACATACTTTTTCTTTGAGAATATTTTCCGTCATGATATTGCTAGGAATATTTAACATAGGTCTTAATTCATATTTTTAGGGTTAGAATATGAAGTTTTACACTTTCCTTCAACAAGCTTTGCCAAAAAATGAAGATATGTCTAAAAAGATATTTTGACCAATATTTCAAAATTAACATCACTGACCCCAACTTTTTCTTTCATTATTTTAAAGTACTCGATACTTGTGACTGATCAGCACTTAAGTCGTAAAAAGCTTGATTTAAGAAAATGTTTTATTGCCTATTTAGTTTTTTAATACCATAAATTTGTTACTCTTTAGTGCAAAAAAAAAGCACAATAATTTACGCGCATTAATTTGCAAGATTTGTTAAATGATAAATATCATTCAAAATATTTTACGTAAAATAAAGTCATATTTATTGCCATAGTTACATCTGATAAAATATGACAAGTAATTAACTAAAGAGTTAAAATTTAAGTGCAAAAAGGTCATCTTCATTGTACCGTAGATCCGTAAGATGAACAATGATCCCCTATTTTCTTTGCGATTTTGAGTCACTCTATATGAGTACTTATCCAAAATATACTTCTCAAAAAATCCTTGATCTAACAAATTTCACGAGTGACAAACCTTAAATGGTATGATCAAAGACAAAAGAAATGCATAAGAAATAACAATATGTTAAGAACAAAACTTTCGTGAATCAAAAAATATGATTCAAAAACCTTTTTTTAAAATTAAATCTGATACATTCAAAGACAAGATGATATGCGGAGTATACACAAGGGGAAAAAATGCAGCGTTCAATAAATATAAAACAGTACGTTAACCTTTTTGGCATTATAATTTTGTCTATTCAGGGTTAAAACGTTTCTTTTACTGTTTAAAACATGAATAACTAAAGGTATTTTTAATTATTAGTATGCCATTAATTTAAAAAAAAAACCCACACATTTGTAGTAAATGGAATTAACATTTACCGGTAGTAATATCTAATCTGATATTAAGATACTTTATTTAAAGACATTCAAAGAAATTTTGAAAGAAATAATAAGGATAAAAAATTATTAGAAAAGTAATGTGCAAGATATCATCTTGTCCCTTTTCCTCTTAATTTCATAATTTATTAAAATACGCAATAAATATATTGATTCTTATACATGTAATTGAATAATCATGTTTCCCTTATAATTAGCGTTTTATCAATGATAATAAATTTTAAAAAAAACATAGCTTACCTATTTGCAACTTCCAGTATGTTTCAAATCATTTTGGCACTATGTGAGCAACTTGTTTACTCAACCAGGACATATAGTTCACGTCCTTATTTCAAAAGTTTTCAAAATCTATTCATGGCCATTCATGAAAGAATATCAACATGATCAAGGTCATTTTGTCATGAGGACCCTTTTCATGTTATTTAGTACAGTGTTACCTTTTAGCAGCCTTCAGACGGTCTTACCTGTTGTAATCATGTGACAAGTTTATTTTTAACCCTGTCACTGATTTACCTGTGTAGGTATTGGGCGCACTGAATTTTACAATAGACAGTTTACTTTGTCAATTATGGTAGTCAGATCCTCAGGTTTTTAAAATTAGCAGTTAAGTAATCAAAAATACTCATAAAAGTATCACTGAATCCACAAAGTTATGTAAATTTATCCACAGTATTTCTTTAATGTTTAAGTTAAACGTTAATCATATTATATAGGGAAAATTGTTAAATCTCCATTATTTTTGCGGTAAAAGTGAATTCGAATATTAGCAATGCATTTTCTAATTGCAAATTGATCAACAAATATATGTTAGGTTACAAAACGATAGGTATCCAGGCATTCAGAGAATTTGTCATGATTTTTATACTTATTTGATATTTTTAATATTCTATTTCCATTACATATTCTAGAATACATAGTGTAAAAGGCCTTTGCTATCATTGCCAGACACCACAAATCACTTCACATTTCATATCATGCTAATAAGCATTGATATCTAAGCCTGGATTCAAGAAAATCTCATTTATCTCAAACTGTATTAATTTTTTCTCCTTTTATAGGGTACAAATGTCAACTTTTATAAGAACTTTTCTAAGACTTCAAAAGACATTGAATCTAATAAAGATGAATAAAATGAAAATTGTTGCATAAAAAAATTTCATTTTCAAGCTTCATTTTGATGCATTTCAAATTAAATATTAATGTTTGGAGTTATCCTTCCTAGCTGAGGATCGGATATCCTTAATTAACCTGTCTCATGTACGGAGATACAGAATTTATAATAAATAAGAAAACCTTTACAGCGGTCATTGGTATGATGATAAGTGCGTTAAGGGTATGAACTGTAAAAGTCAACGCTCCTTGCAAAAGCCCATTTATATGAATTATATTATTGCTGCCTTTCCCGCGGTATCTTTTCCGATAGATGTACTGATTCGATTGAATACAAAGCATAATATTAATATATTAATATCATCATGTAAACTATTAAACTTTATATCTTGTTTAGAAGTATAATCCTCAGCTAGCAGATAGAGATTTCTTTTTAGTCATGTCACTTTTCTGTCTTACAGTCTTTTTAATCTGTTTTGATTGAATAGTTGGTTTTTTATTTATGATTATATTCCCCGTTTGCGTTTTCATGAGTTCTGGGGATTCATATATGGAATGCATTTTAGAAACCTTTTTGCTAACTTTAGAGATAAATTACCGCAAATACATTCTTGAGCAATCACTAGCCTATTCTATTTAAATTTTCTTCTAGCTATTCATTGTTTCATTTTATAATGTCAAAATTAAATAGAAATATCAATAAAACTTATTCAAAACTGATAATATTTAACATAATCAATGGAAAATTCTAATATATTAGTAATAGTATAGTAATACATGATTAAAATTTGAAAAGTAAGATTTTAAAAAAATTAATCATACTTTTATCATCAAAAAATTCTATGAGATGGAGGGGATAGAATTAATAAGTCTGTTTATAATGTAAATCAATCTCCTTAATAATTCTACTACTCCTCAAAATTGCTTTGGCGTTATTGCAAAAAATAATTAATAAATTGGATGTCCATGTTATGTGATATTAAAACTTGAAGAAAACATTTCAACAATTTATTAACAAAAAATGTAATTATCACAGTTCTTATTTATTAATCCTGCATCTCTAATCACTCTCCATGCAATGTACTTTAATCTCGTCTTATCAAATTAAACAAAAAGGTAATGTTAAATGACTAGTTAAAGTCCCAAGGGTAGAAAGATCAAACAACGAAAATTCAAAATGCATGTACATCGAATCACAGGTGAAACAAGTGTATAGGAATAAACATTTGTGCCTCGAGTCAAAACATGCTGCGAATCGGAACATGTTTAAGAACCAATATGAAGTCAAATGTGTAAGAAAAATACTCTAAGTGTGGAAATAAATAAAATAAATAAAAGAAAACAGTACAATGTGCCTTCCATTTCCAATTCTAAACAAAAGATCTAAAGAAATTTAGTCAACAATGTACAAGGACAATTGGAAATACATATATATATGAACTCTCTCTCACTCTCTCTCTCTCATCGACAGATTATTTTGTTCTTGCTATGCTGATGCAACAAAATAAATAAGTGCTAAACAATACACGGACATACATAAGAAATGGAACATCAAGATGGAAAATTTCAAACCATTTACCTACAAAAGAAAGTCATTGTATTTAAACGTATTACACAATCGTTTAATCATCAACACTGTATAAACATTTTCAATCATACACAAAAATCTTAAGATAATACTAATCTAAAAGGAGAAAATATTGTTAAGTAACGTACTTTAGACTGTGATTTTGAAGATGGATGCTCGCTCAAAGCCGATTTCAGAAGTAAATGTCTTTCAGAATCATCTACAAATAATAAGGTTGAAATATTGCCGACTTTGCTTAAAAAAATAATCTATCAGCCATCAGAAAAGAGTGATTGCAGAATGAAAACGAATAAGACAGTTTATAAATACATGTAACAAGATACAAATTACTCATAAAAGACCTCTCTAAGTGTATGTTTTTACCTCCTCGAGTTCTGAAATATTTTTCACATTCTAACATAAGCTCAATGATGACATAAGTGACTATATAGGCTATAACGATGTATGAGACCCCCTTTGGTGTATTTGACTTTTCTAGGTTCACTCCAAAATATATCGTAATAGCTGCAAAAGAAAACAGATAACATAAGATGACAAATTGCATGTTTGTAACGAGCATCTAGCCCTAAGTCAAATATAGAATGGTACCAAGAATTCGTGATCCATTGATCCAGACCTTAGGGTCGAACTAAGTGATATATTAAAAACAGTTTGTTTTTGAAAATCATTTTTATTCTTAAGCACATAGAAGAAAAGATCATGCATTTTAAAACTAAAATGACAATAAAAGTTTTAATTTTTAAAATTCCTGTCATAAGGTGAAAGCAGTTTAGTTTCAACTAAGGGCTTAGTTTCCTAATGCACTTTAACTCAATGATACTCAGGTCATTTCCAAGGCTTATGAAGCTAATGAGCATATAGAGTTTATGTTACAAATTAAGTAAATTGTAATTCTATGAATTACACACTTTACATTTTAATACCTACCTGCTAGAATTTGTGCAGAAGTTCCAACAAACATGTGAGAATAATGAAAGACCTCCCGATATTTGTGACCAGGACTGCATCTAAATAGAGCCATAATGGGCTGAAAAATAAAAGAATCTATTAAACAACCATTACAGTTTTAAACTGATCAAAACGGAAATACAGAAAACATCGCATTATTTCCTCCATGAAAGAAATATGCGTTTCCGTAAAAGAATAAGAAAGAAAAGAAACACTTAAAATTTTAAAATTTCATTAAATCTTTCAATAATATTACAAAAGCAATGTTAAATATAAAAGATCAAATTTATACAAACGTTTACAACTGTCAGTGCCATGACGGATATTCCAAGTGCTGGATGGTACCTCAAATAGACGCTTCCTTCGTTTTCCTAACAATCAAATAATAAATCAATCGCATCATCTCCGGTCTTTCCGTCAGAGGTCGGAAAAACAACCTCGAATGTATTAACATCACCGGATGTTAAAAATTTATACATTTCCTGTTTATTCAAATATAGGATAGACGGAGTTAGAAGTCTCTTCTATAGTATATTTTAGATAATACCATTACATTGAATAAAGTTAAACTCCTTATTCCACAGACAAAAGATCTCCGTGCATTTATTTTAGATCGTGAAAAGGGGGGTTGTCATGGCGTCTACCTATTACATTCGAGGTCTTTTTTCCGCTAGTCGGAAAGGCCCGAGAAGTTGCGATTGATAATAAATATCAGTATACAAATGTAGCATTGAAATACATGTAGTATTTCTATGGTATAAAAAGTGTGTTCGGAATTCATAATGTGCAGTTAGATACACTTTATAATTACAATAAAAAGATAAGTTTCCAAAGAAAAAACAGAGATGAAGATCTTTGAATAAAACTTATGTTTATGTACAAAGACCTTGTCAGCAAATACAATTTATCATTGAGTCAAATGCTCAGACTGACGTTTTTCATTTTAATTGTTATTATTTATTATTTATTATTTATACACTGAATTGTCGACGGATTTTCCCGTTATTTCACGACCATGACAAGAAGCTCATGATAGGTGTGACCGTTTGGCAGGGGATGCTCACTCTTCCATGGCACCTGATCCCTCTGCTCCTATGACTTTTGAGCTTGAATACTGTTCGTTATATCCATATATTTCATATAAAGATAAATTATCATATTATAGAAATAAATGAATTATAATCGAATTATAAAATTTAACAAAATTATACCTGAAGAAGGGAACCGACTTCCATAAAGATTAACACAAATCCTCCTGTGGTAACAAGAAACACAAGTGACATGACTGTCCTGTGAATCTAAAAATTAAAGCATAATAGATTTGAAACTACCTCCTGTATACACACAGAACTTAAAAAGTACATGTTGAATCCAATGAAATGCAGGCGTTTCGAAACATAATAGCTTAATTATGGATAAAGGATGCGGTTGCCATTTTTTTTTAATAATATAGGCGTTTAAAATCAATACTACAATGTCTAAAATGGAGGACAAGGTCAACTGTACGACGACTTACAGCAAACCAGACTTTGACTCCGCATGGCATCATATCCCTCCACTCTGACTTGTAATAACGGGCGGTTATTATACCAATACTGGACAGAAATATCCAAGCAAATATCATCAAACTTCCTGGATAAAATTCATTTATTTTAAATAAAAAAAAACTACCGGGTTGGAAGCATTCTTATGATACAATGGTATAACTGTTACTGTATTTTGTTTCAAAAAATCATTTAAAAGTATTTAGTCAAACTTTTTCTGAAAGGATGTAACAATAATTATATTATGAGAATGATTGCAAGTATGAATACTTACCATGTAATTTGTAGAGGAGCATTGATGGTTTCTGAGGTTGAATATCCTCATTCAGCAGAAAGTTAACCTTTTGGCCACTGACTTCAGGAGTCTCCTCATGCTGCTCAGGCTTACCTGAAAAGAAAATCAGAGTATTTTTTTTTAATTCAACTTTTTTTCCAACACCCATTAATTAATACATGCATTATCTATGGACTTTTACGAGGAAATTTACTGACTTTTACAGTTAACGGCTCACTTTTAAACTAAGACAATGTGCGGAAGCTCTTTTACGATAGTTACATATTTAGCTCAACATTTAATTAAACGAAAATAACGGGTTTTTTTTCAAAAATCAAATTATTTGTCCTTGAAGAAAACGACAACCACCTTACCCTCAACTCCCGTCCTTCATATGTAAGTACCAAAAACACCATATTTATGACCACTAAAAGGTTTTCTGATCTACTATGAATTCTGTGCCTCCGTACATGATATAGGTTTAAATCAAACGCATCATCTCGGGTCTTTCCGTCAGAGGTCGGAAAAACAACCTCGAATGAATTAACAACACCGGATATTAAAAATTTATACATATCCTGTTTATTCAAATATAGGATTAGAAGTCCCTTCTATAATATATTATAGGTAATATCATTACATTGAATAAAGTTAAACTCCATGTTGCACAGATAAAAGGTCTCAATGCATTTATTTCAAAGATCGTGAAAAGGGAGGGTTGCCATGGCGTCTACCATATACATTCGAGGTCGTTTTTCCGTTAGTCGGAAAGGTCCGAGAAGTTGCGATTTAGGTTTAAATGTCAGAGTAAGCTGACAACTGTGAAAGTCAGTGATTCTCGCAAAAGTCCATTAATAGTCATGCAATTTGATGAAATACCAGGTATAAAGTTATATTTAATTTTTTATGTATTAAAAGACAATAATATATTATTTGCTTATAAATGTTTATAAGATCAAATTGGAAATGAGTTTGACACTTTTTCTTTTAGTTCATATGTTTAAAAATTCTAAAGATCCGAAAATACCATGATAAAATGGATCGGATTTTGTTGTACTTTAATGTTTTTTTCTCACTCAGCAGATTTTATTTCCAAGATTATCCATGTTAGTTGATTGACAGGGTGCTTTCATTGCGTACTAAAACGTGTCCCGAGTTTTACCGTTTCTGACTGGTCCATTTCCGAGTAACAGGAAATATGTTTTGTTTAAGCTGTAAACATCTACAGAATCCTCAGGGACGTCAATTTTACGTGAAAAAGAGCATGTCATAATTTGACCTGTCACATTAGCAGTTATATTGACCAATCCGAGTGTGCTCTGAAAAAAGGTTGAACATTAAAGAAATTAGTTTATACATGTATTTTCCTTTTAAAATGAGGATTACATTTTAATAACGGATTAGAATTTTCCTTTATTAACAAATTTTTAACGATATCACAAGCAATTTATATATGTAACTATAGTACATGCATTTCTAATGTTAAGTAGTATAGGTAAATCTTACATTTGGTAGTATAGAGAAAGTATATCCATTATTTATTCCGTCCAAAACTTCAAATTTATCATTGTAATACATGCACATCATGACACTGGTTCGTGGCTGGAAATATAATCATCGTAAAAGATGGTAAAGGTACTATTATCCTGTTTCTTTATTATCTGAAAGAATTTCTGAAAGACGACACCCTAAACTTGTACAGCTTAAAAACTAGCAGACTACATGAAAGAAATACAAACCATTTTACCAGTAGGCGAGAGTCCAATAGCGATCCATCTATCGTTGGGATTTTCTAAGCGAATTATAATGCTAAAATCTATGAAATTTTCTCTCTTTTTCCATTGGACGACGCCGTCACATGACTCAGTGGGACAAGATTTGAAGCAACCAAAACCTTTCTCACAGCGAGGCTGGTCGTCTGGTGACTGAAAGTGACAAGATTTATAGCAAAATTAAAAAAAAACACTGAAGAATTTTTATCTATGAAATACATGATTAGGAAACAGAGATTACATTGAATTCATATATCATTAGTTCAAAATACGTTTCAAATTCAGATTTTGTTTGTTTCTTTTTCAAACTTTCTGGTTATATTGCAATGCACTATTTTGATTGATAGTTTATATTTTGCATTTGAATTCAATGCTTACAAGCCATATTTTTCCTCAAGACACCTACCTTTGTAAAAGGAGATGCAGATGGAAGAAAATAATCAACGCTTAGTGATTCAGACTCAATATTTTCCCAGAACGTTGTGTAGGATTGTACAACCGTGGCCCTGCATAAAAAATGTGAAAATTATTTTTCTGAAGGTAAGACCTTCAGACATTTGTTTCGATTAATTTATTAGGCATATTATTGTCGGGTGATAAATTCTTTTTTTTCTCTATTAGATTTGATTAAAATGGCGAATTCTGATGTTTTTTAAACATTATCAACGTTACTTTTCCCAAAAAATTTTGATATTTCTTTACTTTAAAATTTAGACATGTAAATCATAGTAGTTAAGCATTGCGTGCATTCGATTTTAGAAATGCTTTCTTCTTTGAAAACCTCTCCTTCGCAAAACTTTGATTTAGAAAAGGAAATCGATATACGAGGGCCGTTCAAAAATTACGAGGACTTGTTGCACAGAAGGAATTTTTGACGACATAATCGGGCAAAATTTTACAAATAATATAAAAGAATCTTTACTTATATGGTCTTCAAAATTTCATATCAAAATGTTGTAAATTGGTATTAATTTTGAGTGATTTTTCAGGACATACCATTAAGTCACGGCGCAGCAAATTCTTCGACGTCACAAGCATTATAAAAAATATGTGATTGAGCTTTCATTTTCTCAACATTTTCCCTTGAGTACCTGTATAGTTTGAGTTACCTTATCTACTCAACATCAAAACAGCATTTCTTGCCAAGCTTAAAATCTTTTAAACAAGTAAAGAATATTCTTTTTTTTTGTTTTAAAACCAAAAACTACTTATAAGATATAGTGCGATATTGGTGACTCTCAATCACGTTCTTTACAATCCGGATAAAGTTAACTTTTCGTCTATAATCTTCTTCCTGTCCTCCCGTATAGCATTTTTACAGAGGTCTAACTGTCAAAAATTTCAATTTGCTATTTGTGGGAGAATGTCACGAGTAGTCTTGTTCACTACATGTTTTATTATGCATATTTTGGATCTATGTTGCCAATATCTCGAACATTACACGTATTTTAACAAAAGTGTGGTGCGCCGTCAATTCAGGAGACGTCATTTCCACAGTCGTTTTTACGGGAATCGCATCAGAGAAAAAATCACTATATTTCTGTTGGTACTTCAAATACTACGTTCGAAATCTAAATATATAATAATAGAACAATTAAAAGGTACATTTGAGAAAATTGATGAAAAATATCGCGAATTTTAGAAAATCAATGAGTTAAATTTTTGAATCCGCATGCTTTTGCTTCATTTTTTTTGTCATGCGCCGTACCTCTCCATCAACGATGTCAACATACCGATAATCTTAGTAGAATTTTTTTAAAATACAGAAATTTTGCCCAAAATTTATTGGAATCTTTAAGATACTTATTTCTGTGAAATTTTATAAATATATAACGTCTTTAAGAGTAAATAATAGCACAGTCCGCGTAATTTTTGAACGGCCCTCGTATTTGTCTATATTTTATATACTGAATATAATGTTACTCAGTTTTTGACAAACACTTTACCTAAACTTAACTTTTCCGGTAAAACTTGTAGTAGGTTTCCAGGAAAGGGTTATAATTAGTTTTGGGTTTGCATCAGAATGTGTGGCACCCTGAAATCAAGGCATAATACTAGTACATGTATTAGAATATTTTTTCATAATGAAAAAATGTAAGTATGTACAATGTAACAAATTAGCATTGAAATGAAAATTTATGAAAAAGTGAAGCAATGAAAGAACAAAAGTAAGTTTCACAGTTATTTGAATTTTATTGTGTACAGATTAATGTATGATGTTTCAAATTTACCCCATTACACTGTGTGTGAGCATTGTCAGGAACCGTGAATTCTCCTTCTGAAAACTTGACTGGACTTGCCAAGTCTGTATAAACCTCTATTAGAAAACCTTTAAATGTCGTCTTGCCATCATTAGGAGAAATTGAAACTGAAAAGGAAAAAAAAAGTACAGCTGTAGTCTAATATCTCTATTTTAATATTAGATTATTAAGCTGAGAAATTTCATCCGTAGGTTCAATTGATCAATGATTATATTCAAATCTTTCTTGTACATATTCTCATCTCTTTTACCCCCTCTTTGTTTAGTAAAAAAAAAAAATAAAGTATGATTATTCTAGGTTTAGATTTAATACTTAAAAAGGCAAAGTTATTGTCTTTATAATTATGTCAAAAGATTTATTTCCGAAGACTTACTCGTAAGATATTCATCGACAGATAACTTGGAAGTTGACAGTATGATGACGTATGGTGATGGCGTCTTTTGAGGAGAAACGCCATGGGCTGGGGTCATGTCGTCACATGCCGATTGAGGCGCTCCAGATGGGTAACCACGGCAACCACAAATTAAAGCCAAAGTCAGAAAAACCACAAACATTTTGCCTGAAACATATGTTCATTAGTTAAAAAGTAAATGTTGTAAAAACACATTAAAAAACAACGTTATACACGTATATCTTTCTTCTATGCAATCGAAGTTCAATTTCCTCTCAATCGAAAAAAAATTAAATTTTTTGAATTAGAAAAACTGAAGGAAATAATTAACGCTTTGATCAATAACAAATTAAATTTACTAGCATATCTTCCTTAAATATCACGAAAATTTATGTGCATTTAAAATTGTCACATATAAAATACTTACTGTCAATTAGATTATTTCCGTATGAAAGTTCAAAAATTTTAATGTTAGAACAGCAAGTGTCTCACATATGAATCCAGGTAACAGTGCACATGTTACCAAGATACGATCCATCACATGCAAAGTCACATGTAGATGTATGATTACATTGCACAACTGTCTTAAATGTTACAAAACAAATCAATATATTTTTAAAAATGTATCCTCGTTTTAATTTTCCTAGTAACGAAAATTAGAAATTGTAGTTTGGAAAGATACATATAACATCAAGTTGACGATTCAAAAGAAAATAACATTTGCAATGTAATCAAATGTTAGGACTAGATAACCCAAATTATTACCTTTTGTTTACTGTTATCATCTTCGTCTTTTATCATTATCATAGTATGGGTAGTTATTACACTCCTTATACAGAACTGAATCACTTAATATTTAGGAGATATATACATTGCATTGTATTTACATTTTAGCTAAATTAATTTTCCAGACATATGACTGTGTATGGTTAAAATGAAATATGTGTAAACTGAAAAACGCCCACGATTTAATTTAGAATGATTTATCATTACTTAACTTTATCTATAATAAATATATCTATTTTATTTTTACACAACATTTTGATTAAAACATGAGAAAACTCGAGTCTTCTATATTTATAGACTTATGACAATCCGTTTTCCTGTAAATAATTCTTTTTGCACGACAAATTTAATTATAGCTGTGTAATATTTGATCCATAAATATAATATAAGATTAAAATATTAATTAAGATTATCTTTCTTAGCAAATAAAAAAAGATTTCTTTTTTTGAAATCGTGGTTACGATTTAAAAACGCAGCAGACTCTATGTAACAAAATATATTTTTATGGAAGGGAATCTGAGAGCTATTTTACAATGTTCTGAATGATGTATAAAAATCTGAATAAGAATAATATAGGTTTAAATTCAAATTCATGTACCATGTAGTAGTATTAAATATAAAACAAAGACACTTTTAATCGCAAGAAAACAAACATAAATATTTGAGCTGAAATATGCTAGAAGATAACAACTATATCTGCATTATGTGATGTTTATATTCAGAATTTCAGTATGCCATTTACTAGAATAAAAATCCATTGATGGGAATGAATAACCACATATACTACACGTGGTCATAATGGTTGGAGTACTATTATTTAAGTGAATGACCTACTTTTCATGTTAGTGGCCCTTGAGTATTCCTCTGAAGATAAAAGCAAGTTTAAACTTGAGGAACTTTGAACACTGAGCTCACTAAATGAAAGCTCCCCTCCCATACTATTATAATGGGAGAATCTATGTTTTGCTTTGGGAGACTCGAAATAAATGTCAGACTAATAGTACAAAGGAAGTGCACAATGACATTATGTAATAAAGAGTCTGTGAATTATTCATTAAATTTTATTCATGCAGTAGAACAGGAAGAGTTGCAGATAAGAGATTAGGTACCCTTCAATGGCAGTGTCCATGTTTTGCTAAGGGAAACTCGAAATATATTTCGGAAAACAAAATAGGAGAGGATAGGAGGAAAAGGAGACTTTCACATAATCTTTTTGACATAGTGCCACTGTGCACCTTCTATTTTACTTTTGGATCAGACACATATTTTGGGTTTCCCATACAAAACATGGATACAACCATTCTTTCTGTGATATTAATTGTGCACATCTCTTGTCCTCTCATACAATGTACTTAACGAAATTTAATTTTACCTTCATAAATTCTTTATTTCAAAATACATTTGTGACCCCCTATTTTACTTTTTGATCTGACACTTATTTTGGGTCTCCCAGAAAAAAACATGGACTTTGCCATAAGCATATGGAAGGCGATGTATCATTTAGTGAGCTCATTGCTCAGAGTATCTCTAGTTTATTTAATATGTGTCGTCTAGAATGGTTGTGTTTATATTTTAATTCTCTAATGCATTTACCCCTTAATTATTTCAAATATACATCTTTAGCACACGTATTATTTGATTTTTTTTTTCAAAATCCTGCATGTAATCGAAAAAATACTAAAGCTAATTTGATTTTTCTCTGTATCTCCATATGTGTATTATTTAAATTATTTAACTTTTTTTCAAATTTTCTTTAAATAGTATGTAACATTAAATATTGATATTGGTTTTGAAAAGTTAAGTTTTTATTTTGTACATTTGAAACATTTTTCTTTTAGTGATAATGAACTTTATATCGATCTGTTTCTCTCAACTATAATCCATTGGAAACCTCATCCTTTTTTATTCTCTGTAATCGTTATTTAATTAGGGAAGAAAGAAAATAGCTTACCTTTTAACTTCCAAAAATGGTAGACCTATCCTACTGTCACCTTTCATTCAAAATGTATGTCATATGACTATTTTCTATATTAGGCATTATTCTTTCATGTCATTATTACGATCAAACGACATTAATGCACTCTTATATCATACTACAGGTTAACAATGATGTTTTATAAGATTGTCATGTGTGTGTTGTGTCAATGTGCAGCACACGTGTTTGTAAAATACATTTTTTCTTGAAACCCCCAGTTCAACAAATTTGTCATATGCGGTAGTACATGTATATAAGGTCGGGACTTTTGGGTTACCAGAACAAATAATAAATTTTCAAGAAAGATAATATATAAATATTTTTGTATGTATATTTGAAATCCTCAAAACTTATATAAATTGATACGCTGTGGAAGCATGGTTTACTGCTTTTATAATTCATTATTGAATGATTTTCAATTTGAATTGATGGATTTCTTGCACACAGTAAAACATAAAGTAATAAAATTTTGTCGATGGACAGATTTTTATTTTTTTTTTCAGTGTTCAGTATTCTATAAATTATACAAAAAGGGCAACTTAGACCTTTTCTACGGTTACACATACAATGTACCACGAGGCCGAAAATCAAACATTTACATTTAATGTATTATGTTGCCTCAGGGTTGTGTTAACAAAAGAAAAGGATGACTTAATTATAATATGTTACAAATATTAATCATTATTCATAAAATGCGCTTTATTCTGAGTCTTTTTGATTTGTAAGTTAGATATACTACTAATAAGGCTCAATAAAATAACTTTTAAATTCTGATGTTATTAATCGTTTCTCTTGGATATACTTAAAATTGACCAACAAATCACGTCCTAATTGAAAAAGGGAAATGCTTAAGTAGTTATTAATCTTATATATATATATTTCATTTTTATATATTTTTTTTCATTTCATATAGCCTAATTTGCATAAAATCCTTCACTTAATTATACTTTATACAATGGCCAAAATCAGTACTACAATATTTACACAAAGCGTGAAGTTTGATTTCAAACATTAAAAAAGTGATGTTTTCTAAAGAATTCATAAGCATGAATGGAAACAGGTTAATATTGATGCAGAAGCATCTTACATTACATTGTGATTTAAAAATAACGTGGGAGATCTATCTGAGATGATAAGAAAACACTTTGCACTTCCATAAAAGTTCAATCTATCAACATTTGATAGGATTAATCATACCAAAAGTTTAAGCTAGAGCTACGAACCACCAAAATATGCCTACTTCCTAGAAATGTTTTGACAAGAAATGAAATTCCTGAAAGGAAGTGGTGGTGTTCACTTCTCGTGAACCAGCCGCTAGACTCCTCTTCATATGCAGGACATCTCAGGATATTCATTTTTTTTTTTATTATCCCATGGATATAGCTCATGTGATATCGTTTTCGTATCCCACAGTTGTGACGTCACAATGGATTTTGCGTTAGCATAATGAAGTAAAATAAAGTGGAGTCCTATACGTAAACACACTGTAAAACATTGATTGGAGTGCATAAAAAAAAGTAAAGCATGGGAATGATTTTTGTCCAATGAGTTGTGTGTTTTATATCCCCGCAATTCATGGCGATTTTTTGTGGTAAATGAAGTATCTAAAGGATAATTGGCTGAAATCGCAACAACTTGGCTCTATGACTTTAGCTTCGCCTTTATTAATATCATTCTTTTTTAAATAGATATTATATAAAACCAATAATAAAGATAAGGCTATTTAGGTATTTAAAGATAATCTACATTTCCTTATTTTCGTAGATCGGATATAAGTTGGATCCTCAAATAAATTCATGTATCAAATAATCTATAAATTAAAAATAAGACTTATTTGCAGAATTTTATCAAAACAAGAAAAAAAAGACATTAATAAAATGTAATTATATGCATGCAAAACCATGAAAAACAATTTTGAACGTACCAGAATAAAGCTTTCATGGGAAAACAGCATCCTTTGTCACTTAATTTTTTTTAAATTCATGACTTTTAACATAGACGATTCATGGAACATGTTATAACATGCAGGATAAAGCAGTCAATTTATCTGATTTTCCGGGGAACTTCAACAACAATTTTCACATTATGAGCATGTCGATAGAGGAAACAGTTTTGTTTTGTTCTAGTGGTCTAAAAGCTTATATAAGTACACACAGAATAGAAAGTGTTTTGCATGCATTGATTCTGTAGGATATTTTTTTTTTTTACAGATTTGAATATTGTTGCGATTTTGTTTTATAATTTATTGAAATGCTCGATTGTCCATGACCACTCATGAGCTTGAGTAGTTTAGTGCATTTTAATTTTTACCTTTTATTTATGACTTAATATAAACTCTATATTTATGACACATAATGCTTAGCATCGGTAATATATTTAATTATATACGCGTAATTAAACAATATATATGTAAATACAATTAAGACAAGTAAAAACATACGCAATGCAATTCTCAAACAATCCTACATTACATGTATATATACCCGGTACAAAAAAAATTATATATGATTAGAGTATTTATCAAATGGTATGAATATTCATATTGATATGCATATTTACATAAATTTTGCTAAAATATAACTTTTTTGGAAATAAGAGATATATATAATAAATAGAGGTAATTATATAAATATTATTAAACATTTCATCCCCTTGAAACAGAAAAAAATCCTTTAAATAGACGGCTATTATGAATTGACATTTCACAACATCCTACTAGAGTTTGTTTACATACAAAAAC